TTTGAGTGAAAAATGACCAGAATACCAACAAATACAACACAAGCTGATTTTGCTGCATGACAATGGACCAGTACACAAAGCAAAGCAGGTCCAAGTAGCAATAAGCTCATTCCATTGGGACCTTGGCCCATCCGATTACTACTTGTTTGTATCGGCAAAAATCTATGTGCTTCTCAGAAAAGTCGAGGGAAGAGAGGAAATACCGTTGTTATTGTTGTTGTTGCAGAACAGGCGACACTAGTCTAAATAATCGAGGCCATCTAACGGAAAGCCCAGCAAACGAACGGTTTTGTTGGGGGTCAAGTCTGGTTAGCCAGGAGCTAAGACACGACAGTCGGTTCAACGCACCGGAGATGATGCGGCCAAGGGCTGTCACCTTTTCGGCGACCTAACCGCGTTTAGATCATCAGGTACGTCTAGTCTTAATGAAATGCCACTATTCGCTTGCCGTGTATAAAAAGTAACGAGAGTGTTGAAGAGGGCAGAAAAGATGCGAGAGCGAAAAGGCTATTATTAACTATTTATAGTATAGTATTTACATATGTACATTGTAACACAACAAGACGTAACTTACTTAATTCGTATAATAAAATTTATTAATCAAATACAGGATACTGAATTTACGCCAAGTGAACACAAAGCAAAGAGGAAGAATACGAGTATGTATGCATGCTTATATTAATTTGCGTCATTTAATGTAATCCAACCCTTTGTATAATTTTCTTTGGATTTATTTTTTGTAATTCTTTTTTTTTTTTTTGTCATCATTTCGTACCCACTACTCGTGACCATTGCTTTGAAGTACACACTTCTCTACTCTACCTTTTATATCTTATCTTATGCATTATCTAGAACGTGAGTGTATGTAGATATATTTACGTTATAAACAATCAGAAGATTTCTCGTGGCTGTAAATCTGTTCCATTCAAAATTATACATATACATATGTATATAGATTTATATATACTAACCTATTGTTCTGTGTAAAATAAAATTGGCTATCCCTTCTTGAATCTCACATAAGAATTAAGGATTTAAAACAAAGAATCATGAAAATGAAATTCTGTACATAGCCCCAGCCTTTCTGCACCAAGTAAGCATAGTATTTGTCTAGCGAATGCAACACTGTCTCCACTCATTCTCTACCAAACCTTGATTATAGGTCTGTTTAAATCCAATCCGGTCTCTCAGATTTCAGATATATAAACAGCAAGCGTATTTTTGTAATTTATTAAACATATGTTGGAACCAGTGAAATAGTGACTATTCAAATATTATTTATGATTTTAGGAATTTAATTAAGAAATTCGAGACTCCTTTCTTATGTTAGCGGAATAAGAAGATCTTAGAGGGTGGAGATTAGGCTCACTACTGTAACTGCTAAAACGTGCCAAGCTACTCCGCCAATTTAAGGTATGCGCCTTGATGTTTCTTCAACAAATGGATTGCCTCCGCCCAGCTTTATTTTATCTTATTTTATTATAATTTTATTTTATTATAATTTTTATATATTTTCATTATTTTTATTTAATTTCGTTATTTTTTATTTACTTTATATTTATTAATTTTCATTATTTTTATTTAATATTCATTTTTCTTATTTATTTTCATTATTTTTATTTAATATTTATTTTTCTTATTTATTTTCATTATTTTTATTTATTTTTATTTATTTTCATTATTTTAATTATTTTCATTATCTTTAATTAATATTCATTTTTCTTATTTATTTCTTTATTTTTATTTATTTTCATTATTTTTATTATTTTACTAATTTTCATTATTTTCATTTAATATTCATTTAATTTTTTTATTTACTTTCATTATTTTTATTTGCTTTCTTTACATTTACTAATTTTCATTATTTTTATTTAATATTCATTTTTCTTTTTATTTTCATTCTTATTGTTTACTTTATATTTATAAATTTTCATTTTTCTTATTTATTTTAATTATTTTTATTTAATATTTATTTTTCTTATTTATTTTCATTATTTTTAATTATTTTCATTATTTTTAATTATTTTCATTATTTTTAATTAATATTCATTTTTCTGATTTATTTCTTTATTTTTATTTATTTTCATTATTTTTTATTTACTTTATATTTATTAATTTTCATTATTTTTATTTAATATTCATTTTTCTTATTTATTTTCATTATTTTTATTTACTTTACATTTACTAATTTTTATTATTTTTATATAATATTCATTTTTCTTTTTATTTTCATTCTTTTTGTTTACTTTATATTTATTAATTTTCATTTTTCTTATTTATTTTCATTATTTTTATTTAATATTTATTTTTCTTATTTATTTTCATTGTTTTTATTTATTTTCATTATTTTCATTTTTGTTATTTATTTTTATTACTTTTGTTTTTATTTTAATTTATTTATAATCTATTCATTTATTATTTTTATTTATATTATAATTTCTTAATTTTTTAATTTTTCTGCTTTTTTTAATTTTTTAATATTTGCCAAACGCGTAATATATATTTACATATATAGTAAGCAAAGTTCACTCACCCAACGTGAATTGCATGTGATTTCGTTGTCAATGCAATATTTCTTAAACAATAACCCCCCTTTTATCAACAACAACAAAGAAATCTTACAAGATATGCAGAGAAATACAAATTTCCACAACATTTTTCGTTCCACTTTGTTCTAAATCGAAATATAAAATCTTTCATGAAGAATATCCAATCACCTGATAATCGATAACATACAAAACGTTTACAAACAGTAAAAAAGAACACATTTTATAAGCATAAGTATGTTTATGAGAGTTTACAGATCTCCAAATTGCGAGGACGGGGTAGCATGAACAATGATATTTAGTATGTAAACTATGTTTGTAGTGGGGCACACGCTTTTGAAATGGAACAAAATTTTTTATATAGTAACCGTTACCCGCTTTCACGATGCGTATCATTAAAAAATATTACAAATGGTAGCGCACACAATACAACTACATAAATGTATGTATTATGTATATATAAGGAAAAACATCAAATGTAAATATAAAAATATGGTAAATGCGACTGACACTACAAAAAAAAAAAAAACAAATAATTCCGACATATACGCTTGAGAATATGTAAGTACATACTATGTAAATGTATGCACGTGTAAGCGTTTGTTAACCAAAAAAAATCTAAATTCAATATAGTAACTGTTAATAATGGCTTAGTTAGGAAACTTAAGACTTAAGTTTTTATATTTTTTATATATTTATATTTTTTTATCTTTTTATATATTTATATTTTTTTATATATTTATATTTTTTTTATATATTTATATTTTTTATTTATATTTCTATTTTTTATTTATATTTACATCGTGGCATATATATTTTTGTATTTTTCTATGTATCTTTTTACATTTTTTTATATCCTTTTACATATTTTTCTACAATTTTTATTTATATTTTAATATTTTTTAATATATAAGTTTTATATATGTTTGAGGTTTTTTTATATCTTTATTTTTTGTTTTTTTTTTCTTTTATTTTTTTTTAATGTTATTTTTATTTTTTTTTCTTTTTTTTTTTATTTTTTTTTTTCTTTTATTTTTTATTGTTTTTTTTTTTATTTTTTATAGTTTTTTTTTCTTTTATTTCTATTGTTTTTTTTCTTTTATTTATAATTGTTTTTTTTTTTGCTTTTTTTCTTTTAATTTTTATTGTTTCTTTTATTTTTTATTTTTTTTATTTTTTTATATTTTTTTATATTTTTTTATATTTTTTTATATTTCTTTATATTTTTTTATATTTTTTTATATTTTTTTATATTTTTTTATATTTTTATATATTTTTATATATTTTTTTATATTCTTTTATATTCTTTTATATTCTTTTATATTTTTTTATATTTTTTTATATTTTTTTTTATTTTTTTATATTTTTTTATATTTTTTTATATTTTTTTATATTTTTTTATATTTTTTTATATTTTTTTATATTTTTTTATATTTTTTTATATTTTTTTATATTTTTTTATATTTTTTTATATTTTTTTATATTTTTTTATATTTTTTTATATTTTTTTATATTTTTTTATATTTTTTTATATTTTTTTATATTTTTTTATATTTTTTTATATTTTTTATATTTTTTTATATTTTTTATATTTTTTATATTTTTTATATTTTTTTATATTTTTTTATATTTTTTTATATTTTTTATATTTTTGTTTATTTTATAGTTTTTTTTTTATTTCTTATCTTATTTCAAATTTTCTAATTTATATTTTCTTTATGAATTTTTATTTTTTATTTGTTTTTTTGGAATTAGTTTTTTTTATTTTCTTGCTAATTTATTTTTGTTTCTATTTATTTAATTTTTTTAATTTTTTATTAATTATTTAATATATTTTTTTATTTATTTATTTATTTCATAATTTTTATTACTTATTTTATATATTTTTTTTTTAATTATTTATTGTAAACATTTATTTATTTTACATATTTTTTTCATTCTTATATTTTTTTATTGCCTTTTATTTTTGTACAGAAATTATTTCTGCATTTCAAGTGAAGAAAATTATAAAGTTTTATTTTTTCAAGCAACTTTAATATAAATTTTTTTGCAAGCAATTTAGAATAGTTAGTCAAAGCTTCACGTCTACATGTACATATGTATATAAATACATACGAAATAGGTTCATCCGTTAGTATGAACCTTAAGTACTAATATTGCAGGAATTATCGATTAAAAAATACACTATTAATTCGCTTTTTTCCTGGAGCATGATGTTTAGATGCTTTTATGAATTTAAGTTTTATTTTTGAAGTTCCTATATGAAATCTAATGCAGTGGATATGTCGATAAACGAATATGTAACTGGTAAAACAAATATTATGTATAATACGAACAAATGTACTACATACATGGACGTCTGTATGTAATTAATAAAGTAGGCATACATAAGAAGTATGTATATACACATTTGTATATGAATAATATATAATATAACACAAGCAGTCCACTTACCTTAGCCGAAGAGGTTCGCTGTTTCATCGACGCCGAATTCGAGTGTGAAGCCAAAATATTTTTATTAGCAACAGGCAGCGGAGCAACACCACCGCCACCGCCTCCGCCGCCGCCAACATTTGTTATACCGGTGGTGGTGTGATGTTGATGATGATTTATAATTACGTTTGCAGTTGTATTATTTGGTGGCAATCGTCCACCGCCATCGGTGGCTGTCGCATTATTCACAAGATGATGGTGATGTTGATGCTGATGACTGTGTTGTTGCTGTTGTTGTTGTGGCTGATGATGCGACTGTTGTTGTGCTTGTTGCGGTTGTTGTTGTTGCTGCTGCTGCTGCTGCGATTGCGATGTGCTATTAACAGTCGTATTTGCTGTTACATTACTCGCAACAATTGGTGTTGTTGCCGTTGTTGTGGCAACAACCACATTAGTTGTTGTGGTTTGTGGCAGTGCAATAATGTTGGCATTTGCCGTGTCATGTTGCTGGTCCTTGACTGAATGCACTGAACTATGTATGGTACTATTATTGTATTGTTGCTGCTGCTGCTGTTGTTGCGTAGTGTTTAAGGTAGTGGCCGTTAAAGAATTTGTCGTCGTTGGGGTGTTTGACGGTACCGCAGCCGTATCCGTTGTAGAGGACACATGTTCGGTTGGTAGGGATTCAGGAACTGTTTGTAATGTCGCTCGCATTGTAGCAGACATTTTATATCAAACAACGCCAACTTAAATTTAAACTAACACAAAAGCAATATTTTATATCTGATTAGGAATTGCGTAAATTTTTGTTGCCTTTTCCGTTTCCTATGTGTGTAAGGTATGTGTTGTTGTTGTCGTCGAATTCGGTTTTTCTTTTTCTAACGTCGCTACTTAAGCTCTCTACTTGACGCTGTACCAACAGTCTTTGTGTGTTGTTTAGTTTAGTTTTTGGCATCAGTGAACACTAGAAATGCTGAATCTTACATATATAGATGTTCACCAAGCCTAAGCTGCAATACTACTAAATAAATTTCACGACCATCTGGAAAAGAGAGAAATATATAGAATTAAAATGAAATGTGAAAATTAGAGTGAGAAAGTTATAATTTTCAGTGGGTTTCTACAAATTTTCATATATTTCTTTAAATAGTCGTTCCTTTCGTTTATTTAAAAATGCATTTGTGCATTGGCCCAGGAGTGCGGATGAAACACGAGTTGGGATAAATAATAATACATTCTTAAATTGTTATTTTATTCTAATATAGGTTTATATATACATATGCCACAATTATGTATGTGTTTACGTATAACTAAAATTAGTTACTTCATTAGTGTTTAGTCAAAATTAATTAAATAAAGCCAAACATAAAATTATTATTCTTAACCTTAACAGAAGATTGAAACTTAGAATACTAGTGCTTTCTTCTTTTTCTTTTAATTCATAAAATTATGAAATAAAATTCTTTCAATTACATCAATACATATTCTTACAATATTAAAGGGTAACTTTAAATTAACTGTTTATTAATATAAGCAAAAAATTTAAATTACATTTGTCAATAGCTTCATATTTATGCGCATTTACTTATAAAAAAAAATGCAAATTAAACTCAACAATTTTTCAATGTTTAAATATATAAAATTATAAGAATTTTGAAATTTATCAAAATTTTATAAATTTACAAATTTAGACTAAATGCACACACGTGATAGATATGTGTGATGTATTTGTTTTGCAGATACTTTAAATCACGAGATTGCGTTTTATCTTATTTGGCAAGTAGTCTTTTATCAGAAATCTTTGCGAAAGACTATGCAATTCATCGATGTGCACCTTCCTTTGTGAATATTGTAGCGCAAGTAATTCTACGCGTATAGAGGGTTTTAAATAATTATTATGTAATATATTTTGCAATTTACGATTATCGGCTTCCTCTAGTTTTGTGCTACTAAAATTAAACATATTTATTTCTGTTGGGTGTAAACCTAACCATTGTATAGCTGGACAAACTAAATTGTTTGAAATATTTTTTTCCATTTTACGTGAGCCAAATTGGTAGATTAATAATATTTCGATACCAAATGGATCAGCATCAAAAAGTGCATATATTGGTAATTTATGCACGGTAGAGAGACGTTGTAATACATAACGTGTACAAATATCAGGATAACCTTTGCCGGTAATCAATATAATATCCGTGCCAAACGATTCGAAAATTTTCTGAGATATTAATTTTGAAAATAGTGTGTCTTTTTCGACAAGTAGTACAAATGATGCACTTGTTTCCATATGATCGATTTCATTGTGATCTTGTGGCAATAAAACAGCGCCACCATGCGTATAGCAGTCGATCATGTCACCGCTAATCATAAGAAAACGTATTGCACCTACAAAATAAAGAAGAAATTAATCAAATAATAAAATTATAGTGAAATTTTCGTAGAATAAGGAAACAAAGGAAAACCTGCTATTAAGCCTTTGCCTGATGCGAAAATGCGTAAATTCCATGGTGTTGTGTGCAAGACTGCACAGACGTCCTTTAAACCATTGTATATATTGGTAGTTTTACAGCAATTTGCCGGATCTTTGTAAAAAAGTTCCCTTAATGAACATTTCCCACCATTCAAAGTCATATTATGTACTTCCATCAGAATGTAAAAACAAAAGGATGAGCGTTGAAAATTTGTCATTTTACAAGTAACTATGCGTTGAGTTAATGTTTTGATGTATAGATTTCTGCGTGCGGATAACTGACAATCTCCACTAGTACAATACTTGAGTTGTTCCAAAAAATATATTACTATTTGTTCAATATTATATACTATTACCAAATGCATCCTCAGTATTCTTAAGAAACACAGAAGTAGAAAAGAAATAGAACAAACAGATGTATAACTAAATATGTTTTGCAAAAATCGTAAAAATTATGAATGTACTTGGATTAGCGGATAAACAATCGATATTGTTTCCTCACAAATGATTGTGCATTATTAATAGTTTTAACCGAGCCCAAAAGGGAACAGTATATAAAAATAATTTAAATCTTAATCATTTTTAGTTTCATTTTTACGTACATATGTACATGTGTATGAAATACAGAGCACAGAAGCAGTCAAAAAAAATTTAATACATGTACCTACTAAAACTTAATTTCATTATATGTATGCACCACGAATCTATAGTTAGCATATCTATATCAGGTTAATTATTAAAACAAATATAAACTTTACTGTGCAAATATCTTTGCTTTCTTATTATTCATCTTGCTACAAGTATAACCATTAAACTAGTTTTCTTAGAGCTTTTGACCTTCTTTCTTTTTTACAGTTTTTATTTATCTACGTTACCATTTCTTTCTGCTGCTCAAACAAAGAAATCCAGCATATTTCCCTACTGCCTTTTAAACCAAAAATATACGTTAATGAAAAATGTGTATTCGTCTATATGTACACGCCTTACTAATATTCCAACCATGATTCCAACAACGTTGGCATAAAAACAAAAATTCTTTCAACTTAGTATTTTGAAGTATTTCATATTTTTGAGACGATTTAATTATTAATTTTTATTTAGTAATGAATTAAACAAACTCTGTGGATGAAGTCAGATGAAAGACTCGTGCAGTTTTAATAATTGTGTTAAAATTATTAAACAAAAAATAGGAGGCTGACCTTTTATTATCGATTATTTTTTAATGTGTCTTTCTTTCTACCTTCTTCACTTACCATTTACATAATTTAATTTTTCTTATTTCCAATATCAAAATATAATTAATACCAATTTTTGTGTGCATTTAAAAATATACTACTTCTATACTTAAAATCATTCACTTTTAGGATTAAGACAATTTTTGGATTTCTCTTTTCGATATAAAGACTCTGCTTATACTTCGTACGGGTCGGATAAATCAACACACCGCTGCAGTATCAAGGCCGACTCAGAAGCATTGAAGTCGACGTCACACGAACTTCGACGCGATATCTTCTTCCTCTTTTACATATACATATGATGTATCCGCAGTTTTTTTTCGGTCGTCTTAGCCCGATTTTTAATGGGTTTTATTTTTGTAACAATAGCCCAGGAAATAAATATGACAATAGTAGAATTATAGTTTTTTTTACACACGCGAGCACTTACAATATCCATAAATGTAATATATATGCCACGGGTCATTAGCGAACGTCCCGAATGAAAATTTACCAACTTCCACACCTTAGCCACACACAAAAATTTATATGCACTTTTCTTTATTCAGTTTTTTGCATTAGAAACACCACAATTTTAAAATTCTTATAAAATATCGCGATACACACCTTTTGAGTATTTTCAACTACTATTTTAATTTATTTATTATGCAAAAAATACTATTTTACTTCACTTTAAAATTACTGCAGTCTGCAGGATCTTCCCAAATTTTGTAGATATACGTACGAATAGCACTCACACGAGCGAAAAGATGGTCGCCATCTTTAAAATCAGGTATTCGTCGCAACGACGTCAATAGCATATGAGTGAACTGCCACCTGACTATAAATACGCTCATTCGAAAAAACAAATGGTAGCACAAATTTTTGCAGATATTTTTGGAATAAATATTTTAGAATGAAATTTCCTTAATTAAAAATTAAACAAAATTTAATAAAAATCCATTTGTTTTCTAATGTGTTTGTCAACTTACCTATATGTCTAGTCATAGCCCAACCGTGATTTCAATATTATGTTATACTTTCCTTGTAAGTAATATGTTTGCACATAATAAGTGTAACAATAAAATAAATAAGCATAAAAGAAATAAAAACAATAACAAATCATCTAAATCAAAAATTCGTAAATATTTATTTATTTCGGATTTCAATAAATTTAATGTTTGGGCATTTCTTTTATTTAAAATCTGGTAGATCCGGAAACTCAAATCATTACCATAACAACCATTTGTTATTCCATTTTCGAGCAGTCTTTAAGACAAAGAATAAAAACTATAATAAAAAAGTATAATATATACAATAAAAATTTAATTTAAAAAAAAATGGGGATGTTTAAGAAAATTTCAACATTTTTTAAAAACAAGTCTGAAAAAGTTACAATACTTGTCATTGGTTTAAACAATAGCGGTAAATCAACTATAATAAACCATTTTAAGTCACCGCATGAACAAGCAGCCATCACAGTACCAACCGTTGGATTTACTTTGGAACAAATTAGAAGTAATATATAGATGATATAATAGAAGAGTCAAAATATTGTATTACTTAAACCGTTGTAAACTTCATAAGGCGAAGGCGTTTTATTCACTATGGTGGACACATCCGGGGCATGGCGTTATAGAAGCTTGTGGGAACATCACTTTAAAAATTGTCATGGCATAATATATGTTATTGATTCCAGTGATCGCATGCGGTTGGGTAGGTATAAAAAGATATTAAATTTATTTTCTTAAACTGCTATTATTTGCATTTTGAATTGAGGAATTCCATTAAGAATTTAGCAAGAGCATTTCTAGATCCTTGAAGACGCTAAATCATATACATATGTTTTCAAAATTATGCATTGGATTTTTTCCATAAGTATTTACTTTTTTGTTGTTTCCCAGTTGTGGTGAGAGACGAGCTTGACACACTTCTAAAACATCCGGATCTAGAAAACCGAAGTATGCCCATACTTTTATATAACAATAAAGTGGACTGTGAAGATTCATTATCGAGTGTGAAAATAGCTGCCGGTGATTAATATTCTTTTCGATGATATCTTTATAAATATAATCTTTAAATATTTTTTCTCATAATTATTAGCTTTAGGTTTGCATAATATTGAAGATAAGCCATGGCATATAACACCAAGCAATGCAATTACAGGAGAGGGACTTGAAGATGGTGTTCATTGGTTGGTACAACAAATTAAATCAATGAATACTCATAGCAGAAAGCTGAAACGTTAAATGTAAGAAGTAATAGTCATTATAGCAGTTTGAAGAATAAACACATGTACATATAGATATCATATATTAAATAAAAAAAAACATTGGCTGAGCACATGTTTTATTACAATTCTATTTAAATTTGAAATTTTTGTTATGTTCAAATCAAGGCGAAGTTGACCCCTCTCTGGTTGCTTGCTCTTTCTTATATATCCCCAAAATACACAAACAAAATACATAAGCAATAGCTGTTGACATTTAGAACGTTCGATTACACAAAAACAATACATTGGGCAAATCTAGGCTTTGACAATACGATTCTATGCTTACATAAGCAAACTACATGGGCTTTGTTTTCAACTACCGTGTGTGAATTTGCCTTGGCTCATTTATGTAGTTTTAGGGCTACTTTCATTAACAGTCTGGTAGTGTCAAACTGTTGCGTTGCCAAAAATTATGAATTTACCCAATGGAAACAGCTGATTGTTTGTTGAGAGTCGACCAAAGCCGATAACTTTATCTGTTCAGGAATTAAAAGCGTTCTTTTGTATAAGTGAACCAAAACAAGTTATTTCACCTGTTTATATTTTTGAACAAATGCAGCAAAACAAATTCTTATTTTCGACTGCTATATGAAAATAAATTAAGCCTACAACTAAATATCTTGAACGCTGCTGGAAAAAGTTGATCAACAGATTACAAGGGCCAACCAATCTATTTGGAATCACTTTTTAGAAGCCGGTGAATGAGGAAATAAAATATAATAATATATTGCCCACTAAGAATGATCACAATATTACGTGCATGAATATCCACGGAATTGTATGTAAACCTTGACGAAAATGCTGAATTTGAACGATGATTGTCTTCTATACATCATAACCTTCCTACGGCGAAATGATCAAGTGCAATTGAAACGAGTCTGTTTGCGTTTAAATAATTTGATCAATTTATATTGGCGACATAAATATAAAAGATGGAGTAGTTACGATCAGCATTGTCAAGGTAATGACTCATTCCTATGGATGGTATATCATTTACACGACCATATTGAAGAACTGAATTTGGGCTGCTTACATACTGAGCATATGGACATTTTGGGTAGTTTTGTATTTGAAAATACACATACACTAGTAGTTGATGCGGAAATTGTGCATACAGAAGCTCTAAACGAAGTGCCTAAAGCCTTTCCAAACTTAAATAGAATAGATTTAGTTGGCAATATAAGTTTGAATGTAGTTGCAGAAATGAAATACCTAAGCGAGTTGAAATTAGATTATGTTCTCTATGAGGGTGATTTCAGGTTGGAGCCAATTTTTACAAATTTAAAGCTACGTAAGTTCAGCTTTGGTTACACGAGAGGTATACCACAAGAGCTTTGTGTCAATGATATTAATACTATCACATATTGCCAAACATTGGAGGAACTGTCCACAAATGCAGAGTTATTGGATATGATAGCAGAAAAGTTACTAGAATTGAAAAATCTTAGATTAATTGGCTGTTTTGTACATTTGCATGATGTTACATATAGAAATATATATGACACAATTATTGATTTATTTAATGCAAGAATACATACTCTCATTAGCGACAGTTTGTTGAGTTACTTTCCCATGCATATATTACCGAAAATGCCATATTTAAAAAAGTGGATTATGAAAGATCGATTCATGAGTCGTTACGATAAGATAACATTGGAAAAGAGCTTACCGCAATTGGAAGAGTTGGTGCTAATAAATCCTAAGCATATTAAACCAATTAATAGTGATAACTATGAAATGATGGATGAAGAATATTTGGATCTAAATATAATTGAACTTATTTCTGCATGTAAAAATCTGAAAGTGCTGGGAGTACCATTAGAATGGCTTAATGAAGAACTGAGTTTGAAAAAGCTTTATAATTTGTTGAAGGAGCAATCTGAATGGAAATCACATCGCTTAATAGTAAAGTGTTTTACGCAAAGTTTCAACTATAATAATACAGAGGTGATTACCGAAATCTAAAATTATTTTTATAAAAATAATTGAAGAACTTTCTATATTTCTTAGTAGTAGAAGTACTAAATATACATACGTATAAATGTTTATTTATTTCAGCGTCTACAAAAGAGTTATGGAGATCAAATGAATATTATGGTAACGGCTTATCCCAAAGAAGAAATAGACCGCTATACCCTACATTACTTCTGTGAGCGACTATTTGAAATACATTTCAACAAGCCGGTGGACTGACAGCAAGAATGGATTTGATTACTTTTGGACACTGCCAAAGAAATGTGAAAATGTGGACTTCTTAAATTCTTATAAATAAAAAAAATTCCTAAATTCTATTAGATGGCGCAATGAAAAACTTGTTTAAGGAAAACTTTCGTTCTTAGTGAAATGGTAATCTTTTTTCAGTTTTGACGTTTGTCTTGTGGTTCCGTTCGTAAACAAAGGCAAATAGGGTTTACTGCAGCAATTTTGCGTAATATCTGGGCAGTTGGCAGGGTTGTATGGAAAATTATCGGAAGTTAAATGAAAAAGGTAACAACATTTTAGTTGCTTATATGCAAAAAATTGTTAATTAAAGCACCCTCTTATTTACAGTTCTTAAAATTATTACTTATGGGATAGTTTTTCCCAACTGTTTGACTAAAATTTCTATAATTGTTTTTTAACATAATTTTTTTTTGCTTTTGAGAACCCTGCGAAAATTACTTTTACAGCTTTGGTAGGCTTTCGTTTATTTGCTGCCTGTGCTTCTGCTTTATTTCATTTTCGACCTCGGTTTGGCTTCTTTGCTCAAGTGTAGTAATAATTAATCAGAAAAAAAGTATTTCTAAAATATTAAATTCAGAATGATATAAAAAGTGCAGAATATAAGGTGTTAAATGTGATAATGGAGATGAGATTTGCTGATTAAAGATTTATGGTAATTGAACTAATTAATTCTATATTATTATTTACTTGTATAAAATGGAAAGTTAGTAGTATTGCTATATACATATGTATATCAGAAGTTTCTTAAGCCATATAATTATAACTAATATGTATCCGATAAATATAGGAGATATTGAAGTAATTTAAAAAGGTAAAAAAAAACTATAACCAGGAAGAAGAATGCCTGAGTAAAAGAGTTACAAAAATATAACAAAGAGTAAATTGAAAAAGCGTCTTTGAAAAATGGTGCTGCCATCCATAAAGTAAAAATGACGGAATGTTCATGGAAAACATGTTTAATGAAATTAAATCGTGTTAGATGATCTATCCAATTGTTCGTCACTCACAGCACCCATTTGTTGCAAAGAAATCTAAATGACAGTCAAGCAAATGTATTTAGAAGCATATTATAGCGGAAAGCTTTATGTGAAGTTATAAATTTGAAATGTTCTGATGCAATTTAACAGATTGTTAGAAGATAATAAAAATTAAATAAAAAAAACGGAGGTAAAATGTGTAATTAGTTGTATGTATGGGTTTCACACTTTCAAATATTAGTGCTGTTAAAAAACGACCTTTAAAAGTAAACCTTATTTTGCCGGAATAAACCCCTGTAGCCTATAAATAATTAAATTTTTTTAAGTTGAAACTCCAGAGCATTCAACGTGGGGTATACCTACTTGCTCTTATTTGAGTTTGATTATAGTTTCTGAAAGCATATTAAGATATTTCTACTGTAATGGATAACGTTTCCGCTCGGAACTAGCTTAAACGCTAAGGAAAACTAAATGGGTAAAATGAATAATTAAGACTAAATAGAGTGGCATCACTAAATCACCTTTTTAGTACTCTTCTCTTTATTTCATATCACTTCTCTTTTTATTTTTCGTTATCATTGGCTTATTGCTTTTATTTAAGTTTTATTGGTGGTGCTACTATTCTCATTTACATTACTTTTTCTTATTCGTTGTCGTTTGCTAATAGTTTGAAGGGGGGTATTGATAATCTTTAAAAAAGAAAACTGTGGATGAGGGGTTCAATAGACTTGCACATCGAGCAGAGCGGCAAACGACGTAGAATAGCTCGACAAAGTGTTAAAGAAATACATGCATATAGGTACGGTGGACATAAAGAAACTGTGGTCTGGAGAAGCAACTCAAAGGTGTTGAAAGGAAAAGGTATTAAGTAAAGATAGTTATTATCCCCAACGGTGGCTGGTACATTTTGCTTGAAAGCCTTGCGAAAAATCTTTGGGAATTCATTTTTCCAAATGAAATAATAAAATTATATTTAATAATTTTTGCCCACGGCGTAAATTGCAAGTGCTCAAAGATATGAAGTTAATAATAAATCTGTATGCACATATGTGATATAAACGAAACAAAACATGCTCAAAATCTCGAATCCCGTATTGTTTTTTTTTTTGCACAAAAAACTATACATTACAATCTTACTTTTAAAGCAATTCCTAATATAGTTTCATTGTAGGGTAACTTTTGCCAGCGCTTTACACTAATTATACTATTTAAGTTGCTAGTGGATAATATTCATGTACATGTATACATATTTTCATAAATGGAAGTGCATGCATACATATGTAGGTATATGCATTCTTGCCTCAAGTATGTAAAGGCCTTGTTAAAAAAATTACACATTTATTTATTAAATGCATATACATCCATATATACAAATGAAGGTAGTCATACATATATAATTTTTAATATATTTATGTACCTATAATATATTTTAATTAGGTGCGCACAAATTTACAATAACAATTAGAATTGTATATACATACCTACTTGTATGTATATGTATTTACGCACATAAGAAATTAAGTATGTATATGCTAGATATACATAAGTATGTAAGTACATCCGCGCTTATTGTGTACCATAGACATTCGTACATATATATTTACATACATTCATACATAGTACAAATAAACCATATATGTATTTCTATGCATACGTATAACCAGATTGTTAGAAAGACACGAGTGAGTGTGGAAAAAAGCGAGAACTGTGTGGAGACGGAGCCTCCAAAAATGCACGCAATGCTGGTGAAGTGGAAGTGATCATATGAAAAAGTGCTGAGCCAAGCAGCAGCTAAAACAACAACAACAGCAGTAGCATAATTTGGTCATCGAATTCAAATTTTAGAAGCAGCAACTGTAATTTTAAGCGACATCAGCAACAATATCAATATCAACAACAGTCGATCGATCACACAACATACATAATTACAGGAAGCGAGCGAAGCTAAAGTAAGTTGGCATCATCATTCAATAAAAATTTATACTGAAAGTGAAAATATGCAAATATTTTATATTAAATATTATTATTATTAATATTATTATACATATTTTTTCCTCCGTAGTTTCCAGTGGCAATTCAAATCAACAATCTATCAATATATTTTTGCTACAATATAAATGCAATATATGTATTGCAATTATTTAAGCACGTACAACAACTAACTGATTTTCTCTCAGCGATATGGTATCGACACGACAAATGGCCACAAGCAGTGGCAACGGTACAGTCCATCAAAATTCTGCCACTTCAGATTCCGCCCGTCTCTCCGTAGTGACTGCACAAACACAACGTGGCATGATTGCTGGTGCATCAATAGTGTCCACAATCGTGGCCACTCGCCAATGTGGTCATCATCAAAATAATCAGCAAACCCAACAACAAGAGCAACAGCAGCTGGTTAGCGTAAATGAAAGCATCGTTGCCACAGATGAGAACGCAGCCGGTACCAAAGTGGAGTTGCTTGATTTGCCCATCGAAATTTTAGCAAAAATATTTTCATATGTAGAATATCGAAAAGTTGGTCAATTGAGAGCTGTAAGTATATAAATATATAAGAAATGAAAAGTTTCTTTGAATTTTTTTTTTTCACAAAAATATGTGGAAAAATTATAAAATTTTTTTGAGTTGAAATTGTTATGTTAGTAACCAATAACGTATAATTTATTTTCCTTAAATAGATCATTTCAAAATTTACTTTAATTCATCCTCTGTTTGCAGATTTCGCGCAAAATGAACGAAGTCTGTATGGATGTATTGAATTCAACATTTTCACGTCTCATTACACAAACATATAATCGTTTTCATGCCATCAAAGCGAATATGCCGCGTCGTGAATCAGCGCGTCGCAATCATCCGTTGGCGTGCGAGTGTGATATCATTGAAACGTGTTATATGCGCCTATCGCTGTTGCAAATGTCTTTTGGTAAACATATCGAACGTGGCCACTGTTGCTTCTTTCCGGGAGCCGTAAGTCTATCTAACTCGAAATTTATTTGAAATTAAAAAATACACAATATTTTAAAAATATTTGTTGTTTTCTTTGCAGATTTTAGATGAAGTATACAATATTTTAAATTATATAAGAAATACGCCACGTTTAGAGCGGCCTTATCGGGTTACCGATGAACTTTTTGATCTCTCTACAATGGCCATGGAATATTTCAGGGATCGTATTGAAAAAACTTTACCCGATATTGCTTACTTTAATAAGGCCTTTTATAAATTGCCCACCACCACAAAAAGACGTAAGTGACATGAATTTAAATTTCATTGAACAAGTTTGTATGCACATATGTCTTAAAAAATTTTAGCTGCTTTGGTAGCATCCGTCGATCATGCTGACAGTTCTTCGTCATCACCACCACAAAGCAATATGGTTTTACGTAAAGGTATACGTAAAATAAAGCAAGGTATGAAAATCTATAATAATCAATTGTCGGTTTTACGCAACGAGCTACGTACTTGCAAACGGAAATCATCGGAGCAGGGTAAACAAATTGCTGAGCAGCAAAAATTGTTAGCCGAGCAGCAGAAACAAACCTTAGAGTATGCAAATCGTTTAGATGAGAATGATAAGAAAAATGAAGAAATGGCACGCAAGTTCTCTACTTTATTGCAGGTATGAAAACGAAGAAACCACACTGGATGATATAAATAAAAATGAGAAAAAAAAATACTACTAATGATAAAATAAAAAAATACTAATAATGATAAAATAAAAGAAATAAAATAAAAAAATAAAAAAAATTAAAAAAAAATTAAAAAAAAAATTAAANAAAAAATAATATAATAAAAAAATAATATAATAAAAAAATAATATAATAAAAAAATAATATAATAAAAAAATAATATAATAAAAAAATAATAATAATAAAAAAATAATAATAATAAAATAATTATAATAAAAAAATAATTATAATAAAAAAATAATTATAATAAAAAAATAATAATAATAAAAAAATAATAATAAAAATAATACTAAAAAAAAAATAAAAAATAATAAAAAAATAATAATACAAATAAAAAAAATGAAATGCTTAAAAAAATTAAAATGTTAATTTTATTAAAAAATTGAAAAAAAATAAAAAATTAAAAAAATTATTAATAATTATAAAAAAGGTAAAAAATAATAATATTAAATATAAATACATATAATAAGTAATAAAAGAAAATAAATGAAAATGAGGAGATGTGGTGATCTCCGAAACAAATATTCAATTCATACAAACAACAAGGCCTCGTAGTTTACTTAATAAAATAAATATATATAATGGCCGCAAAAAACACATTAGAAACAAATTGTTGTTCACACTAAAACAAATGACATCTACTGAAAACGACGCGAAATGACAGTACCTTTGAAATGAATATAGCCACAGATGAACACGACGCGAAGTAATACTAGTAGTACAAGTACTGTTACTTAAAAAAAGTAATGATAATTAGAAAGAATGACAATAGTTGCAAAAAATTAATTAAAGATTAATAATTATTCATTAAATAATAATAATTTAAAAAAAGTATAATAGAAAAATTTTAATACAAAATAATATAAAATGACAATTAATATTAAAATATAAAAAAAGAAAGATATAAGCTTAAAGTTCTCCCAAGTTCCGCCTATAAATGGTAATGTGATAATTTTACATCTAATATATTTTTCAGGAACTGAACAAGTGTAAAACCGAATTGCAATATTGGCGTTCCAAGAGCCCAGCCATACCAATTTGCACTTCATGTGGACAGAAACTGGCACCACTCCTTCCGCCACCAGAGGATTTCCAAGCACTGGTCAATCAGGGTGTCAAGCCTGAGGATATAATACTCAATTTGAGCGACGACATAGAGAACGACACCGAAGCCAATACGATTGAGAATGGAATATCAACTCATTCAACTACACAAACTTCAGTGTTTGCCTTTCCCGATAAAGAAACAACCGCTAAATTATTGGCTGTTAATAGCATAGCGGCGAAAAATCAACAACTCAAGCGGCAACATTCATCAACGTCTGCAGGCTTGACTTATAACGCAAGCAACGAGGGCAATAGCGCTTTTAATATTTATGCCAGCAGCAGCAGCACAGGTGGCGGCAATAACAGTAACTGTTGCAGCTGTCAACTAAACAACAGTGACAATCATCCGGTTGGCATGCATTCAAATGCAATATCAAGCAATAAAACTCCCATGGAATCAGATACAAGTAATTGTAGCCGAAAGCAAACACCGCCGCCGGTTAAACTGTTGCCAAGCGAAATGACAAATCGTTTGCATTATGTACGCGGCGCGAACGTAATACGTACGACTACGAGTGCTGCCAGCAACGGTAACAATATATCGCATGAAAACCATACGATCACAACAATTAATAAAAACATTAGCGATGTTGAACCAATTGCAGTTGGTGGGCTGATTGCACCACCGAATCTCGGTCGAACGCATAGGAGCGTTATTGTTAGTCCGGCCATGCGATATCAAACCAACACAGGCGGCAACCATTGCTGTCTGCATCTAGGAATGAGCGGTGCTCGCAATACTGATGGTGCAAGTGCCGATGACGTGTGTATTGAGAGAGACAACAGTGTTGCAGCGCTTGCATCGAAACAACTTGATGTTAGCGTTGAGGTTAACGGAGTTGGTGTTGGAGGCAAGCAGCAGGATGGCGGCGGTGTTAGCAGCGATGAAACGGCTACCACAGACGTCGTCAGTTTGCAAGCCATCACTTCACAGGAAACAAAAAAAGCACGTAGAGTACAAAAAGCCACGAGATGTTTAAATGGTAGTGGCAAACGCAGTAAATAATAATCATATGTATATGATATATACATATACTATACACATATATATAAAATATTTTAAATGTAACACTTTTACTGTAGTATTTTCCTTTTATTATTCGAATACATGAAATAAGGTATGTAGAAAGAAAAATAAGCAGCAGAAAAAGTGAAGAAAATAATAATAATAATAAAGCATAAAATATGCTACAAAACAAACAAACAAAAAAAGATGAAAGTCAAATTGCTAAGAGGAGGCAGTAACGGCAATAGTACGCAGTTTAGCTTTGTGATTTTCTATAAAAAAAAAATCATAACAAACACCTAGTTCAGACACAGATGTTTACATGCATATTATTTAATACAATTAAATACACGTAATCGGTTGGAAATTGTTTAGTATAATTTTCGGCAACGACAACGTCGTGATAATTACTTAACATTAATTTTCCGTTATAATTTATTACTGAAAATGTTTTTTTTTTTTTTGCTAATTTTTTAATTTTTTATTTTAACACAAACTTTAAATCAAACTGAAATGTCCCATCTTCCTGAAAGGAGTTGGCTGACACTCTCTCATATACAAAACACATGTTTTAGAGTAACTCACATTAAAAATATGTATAATTACATATATATGTATAACATAAGCTATTAAAAAAATGCGAATTTCCAATGTATGAAAAGCAATGCAGAAAGACAAGCAGTGAATGTAGACTCTTAAGCAAGCAAAAATGTGTTTAAAATCAAACTATGCATACCTACATACCAGTATATCCAAAACTACAATATACATACAATAAATATGTATTTAAATTTGTTTAAAAACAAACCATAGCCAACAAAAAGCGATTCAATTCAATTTATTCATTGTATGTTGTTCGCTAAAATTTTTTTTTACTAATAATATTTAATGAAAAAAAAAAAAACAAAAAACGCCAAGAAACTTATATTTTTGATTTTATTTCGCTTAAAACAAAAGAAAGAAAAAACACAAAAATAAGAAATAAGAAAAACAAAAATCAAAAACAGTAAGAAAAATGTATTTCTTCGAAGCTTAATGGCAGACGGATTGGCGTTCTAGCAGTTTTAAGTTTTCTGTGTATGAAATAAAACTTTATTTAAAACCAATTGAGTGTGTTTTGCAATTTTCAACATAAGAGAGACATTTGTAGACAGAAGAAGAGAAATAACGCAAAAGAAGAGGTGTTTTCGGTCCTTATATCTTCTATGACCATAGCCTCAAATCTGAGCTAATCGGTTATATGGGAGCTATTTACTACAGTACTCCGATTTCGTTCATTTTGAGCTATGAATAGTTCATCATATGTATAAAGTTTACCAAATTTCACGCTCTGAGATTAATACCAAAAACCTCAATTTTATAAAATCGTTCGTATACGAGGTGTGTACAAAAAATATCGCGAATTTTGTGTTTTTTCAAAAATTATTTATTTATTCATGAACATCTATTTTGTCCCCTTCAAAGTAATCCCCATGAGATATTATACACTTGTGCCAACGGTTTTTTCCAATCATCGAAGCACTTCAAAAAATTATTTTTTTTTTAAGTTGTTCAGCTCCTCCTTCGATGCCTCCTTCGATGCCGTCTTTATCTCGTCAATCGTAGCGTAACGTCGTCCTTTCATGGGCCTCTTCAGTTTAGGGAACAAGAAAAAGTCACAGGAGGCCAGATCTGGTGAGTACGGTGGCTGCGGCATCATTAGTGTGTTGTTTTTGGCCAAAAAGTCGCGTATAAGCAACGATGTGTGAGCAGGGGCGTTATCGTGGTGCAAAAGCCAATTTTTGTTCTTCCACAAATCCGGGCGTTTCTGGCGGGTTGCTTTGCGCAAATTGCGCATAACTTGCCGGTAATATTCCGTATTGACCGTTCTACCCTGTGGCAAGAACTCATGATGCACCACGCCCCTGCAATCGAAGAAAACTGTCTGTTGTTGAAGTGCTCGAGCGTCCGGCACGCTCTTCGTCGTTCACATCTTCTCACCACCGATAAACGTTGTTTCGGTCCAAGGTAGCTTCTCCGTATGCCACAGTCAACATTCGGAATGCATCCGCGCACTTAATTTCGTTTTTCACACAAAATTTGATACAGGTTCTTTGATCCATTTTTTTGAATAGGTAAAAATCGAAGACCATCCAAAACACGTGCAAGCAAAGCAACTGTCAACAATTAAGTGAACATTCAAAATGGCCGAGCTTGTCGGCATAAGTGACAGACATGAGTACCAACATAACGCCATAAAAAAATCGAAATTCGATTATACGTAACCCGCGAAAATTCAAAATTCGCGATACTTTTTGAGCACAACACGTATATGCTGTGTACCTACCAAGTTTGGTTGAAAGATCACAAACAGCGAGGATCTAGTTTACGCCGACATCAACAGCCGACGCTACCATAGCTGGGACTGGTGTAAGGCATTAAGAGTTCTTGCCTCAAAGTCGTAGAGTTCTTTCGGAGTTTTAGGATGAGCTTAAGCAACGGTTGCGGGTAGAAATTCGGAACCTTGGCCATAAGCGGCTTTACTTATACCACTACGCAACTGTTTTAATTTCTTTCAACTCTAACACATCCAACCTCCGTAAGGCTGGAGCTGGGAATATCGTAAAAGATATGATGTCTTGATCGGTTGTTAGCTGGATACCCAAAGGTGGTCATCTGCACTCAGCCGTATCCACTTTAATGAGCTTGAGAGGTAAATGCCGAGTCAAAGCAGAAAGTTCTGAGTTAGGCGAAGGAGCTGGCTCGCGCTGGCTGTAATAATTTTCATTTCCTTCTCACGCCTTGCCAAATGTATGGCTACCAGAAGCATAATAGGATTTACCAGTAAAGCAGTTGCCTATTTGAAACTTTTAGTAATGCCCTCAATGTTTGTATGGACGAAGTTACTTTGGTTATTGGAGTAGTCACAGAATAACTCAGCTTCTGCGGTTATTTCAAATTAGCAGCGCTTCACTTACAATTTATTGTCAACTAAGTTTTTTCTTTTTATCTGAATTTCGGTGTAGTGTAAACCTCTCTGTCAGGCTTAGGGATAAAAATCATCTTGCTCACTTGCTAACTGCTCGATGTTTAAACCACCAAGCCGATGCACGCACTGTACGCGCTGCGAGTCTTTGTACCAACAGGTCAGACAAAAGGCAGGAAAGGTTTCATTGATACCGGGTGCTTTAAAGTATTTGAAGCTCTTGAATGGTATTAGCGTTGAAATATATTTCCCGTCATCCGGTGCAAATAATTGGGGTTCGAGTGCTTAAAGTACTACGTTACGTTGCGGAAAGTAAGTATTTAATTAAGTTTTTTTTTTTTGAGACTTCTAAATTTGGGGCTATCAACCAAAAGAGACTTTAGTCTTTTGTTAAATAATAAGAAAACTATTAGAGAAGATTTTTATACGACTTCCCTTACCAAATCGATTACAACGTTAGGGCATTTAACATCGTTAACATCGGAATTAAAAAAAAAATAAAAAAAAATAAAAAAAATAAATATAAAACTAAAAAAAAAGTCTAAAAAAATCAAACCGAAATACTTTTTAATTTGTGATATTAAAAAAAAAGTCTAAAAAAATCAAACCGAAATACTTTTTAATTTGTGATATTTAAAAAAGTTTACGTACGTATATACATACATATATAGGGTTATTCACTTTGTGATTTCAAAAATAATGAACTATACTTTGACATCTTAATCAAAGTCAGGGATTTATTAATAAAAAGTTCGTGTGCTTGCAAAACAAGTAAAGGCGGCGATTTTTCTAACAAAATTTTATTTGGCTACAAAGCACATTTCTCACTCGGGAGATAAATAAATAGGCAAAATGGTCGCACTCCGAGAATCCTCAAGCGACTTGAACAATATGTGGTCTTAACAAAATTGGGCCACACTGATGCCTTTTTTGTGGACTACGCCAAAGACCATGTTTATTCGGATAAATCTTTACCACTCGAGCAGTTGGAAACCAACTTTCGTTAGGTTATGGCTGAAATACCAAACAATATGTGTCAAAAAGTGGCTGAAAATACTTAAAACGCTTCAAACTTTATAATAAAAAAAAAAGTTAATGAAAAAAGAGGATTTCAAATGCATTTGATTTACGGTTCTCTGCGAAACCGCAAAAAGGATAACCCTGTATGTATGCATATATTGTATTGTATATAAAACTTTTATACACACACATTTGCATAATTGAGGAAATACATATGTACATATATAAATAGCACGTTAACCAAGTGTGGTGCAAATGAGTTTGTGCCCAGGAAGGCAGAAACTTTGTTTTTGTTTTATAAAAACTAAAAATATCCCTTTAAAAAGTTCGTTAATGGCTGCGAAAAAAAGAAACGCAAAAAAAAAGAACAACAAAATCACAAGAAGTAAGACAAAAAGTAATTTAGCGAGCCGTGACCAAATGTGTTATTTGCACATGCATACCTACTTACATACACACAGACTTATAGTTTAGTATTGAATTTTAAAAATAATCTTAAATTAACGCACAAATCGGTTTTTCTTTCTCGTATGAGCTGCCAGTAATTAATTTATAATGTTGCCACTTTTCGCCACTAAGAAAATCTATCAAAAATTAGTTTCTCTTTCTTTTTCTTTTACGGGCAGTATTATTCGATATCCAGTCGGAGATGATAAGCGAATCGAAAGATTCAAGTTTTCAAATTTATTTTTCTTAATCTTACGTGAAATCTTTCTCTAGAAAACTCCAAACGTTGACACTTCTTTGGAGATGGCTTAGAATAAACTGTAAGTTCTTCTGTTGGTCCAATATCAAGACATGGTGATTTGCCAGGTCTAAAGCCACACTGATAAGATCCAATCAGTTTGTTGGCGGTGGGCTTAGTATTTCACCCAATACGTTCGGTAGAACTTTATATGTGATATTTAGGATTCGCTATCGAGATTATTGCTATGGCCAGGAAACTCAGATTATGTAGATGGTGAGCTTATAATCCTTCTACAATTCCTGGTCATGCTTGAATTTATCTTTGGCGATTGTAAGGCCGCCTGGCTAGCACAGTATGTAGTTCTCCCTATGCTCTCTTAGTAACTCACTAGAGCTCTAGACAGATTTTCAATACCTAGTACTTCCGCTTGAAAGCTATTGGTTAAGTTGGTTAGATCAAAAAGAGGGAGATTTTAAGATTTTCGAAGTACACGCTCACCTTCACCCTCAGTTTATTTTGGACCTACTAGTGTAGATTGAGATGGAAGCCTCTACTCCTACCTCCACCTCTGCTTTATTCGCATTTCGAGAGCATAGAATTAGAAAACTTGGACTTTCTTTGTACAACCCTTTGCGATATCATTTTTTTTTGTTAGAGATTTTCAGACCCAAATAAATACCGGCGTGTGATCATTCACCGGTGGCAAGGATGGCGTAAGGTAATTGTTACGCTTTCAATTAGTGTAGTGTGGTTATTCCTTTCTTTTTGGCATTTGTATTTGAACATGATAGAAACTAGACGAAGAGTAGCCATTGATGTTTGCAAACACATGAAACACCCTACAGCAGCATTCGCTGAATTTTATTTGCCAAAGTATTTTATCCAAAGAGAAATATAATAAAGGATAGTTTCTTTCTTGAGAAAAAGGGCAAAATCTTCGTAAAAAAATTATGATAATAAAAATCAGTTAATAAAAAAAATATATATATAATGAAAACTTAAATTATAGTTCTTTTCACAATGTTAATGACCCCCTCCCAGCTATTGTAGGGCACTTGGAACTCAAAGAATTTGGCTACTGCCTATGTATATTTGTATGTAGCAACTACTTCTTGCCGATTTTTTATTGCTCAATTACGAACCGATTGGGGTTGATGTATATAATGAACAAGGAACTTTAGCCATTTAAGATATTTATGCTGCAATGCAAAGTTATAGTGAGAAAGTAAAAATTGTAAGAAAAGCAAATTTCGCGAGGTATTTTAATGTGTTTTTTTTTAAGTGATTGTTGAATTTAAAAAAAAAATCGTATACCATTAATGACGCTTTAAAGAATTCGTGAAGCCGTAAAATTAATTAAAAATAAAATGCTATTGAATTAAAATAATTTAAAATTTAATTTGCTGAGTTGGATAAGACCATATTTTTTTGAAAAGTTAACAAAACAACCTCAGACACTCCAAAATATAACACAAAATAAAAAAGACAATAAAATTTAATAAAAAAAACGAAATAAAATGAAAGAAATAAAAAAATAAGTGAAGTACCATAAGATGAAATATAATAAAAACTATAATAAACATAAATCAGTTATAAAAAATAAATAAAATTAAAAAAATTAAAATATGTAATTAAACAAAATTAAATGAGGTAAAAAAATTGAAAAAATTTAGGTAAAATCAAATTAAATAAAACAAAATAAAATGCCTTAGGGTACAAAAATTAAATAAAAAAGTTAAAAATGAGATAGGTAAAAAATTACAATAAAAAACATCAAACAAAATAAAAATATAATAAATTGTATTAATGTTAATGATATATGTATATATTAATTAAAAAAAATAGTGAAACAAAAAGATGAAATAATGAACAAAATTAAATGCAAAAATATAAAAAAGATATGAAATACAACATAATTCAATACTATAAGAAAAAATAAAAAAAGTTAAAAAATTAACACAAGTAATAAATAAAACCAAACAAACTGAAACAAAGTACAAACAGATGAAATGAAATAAAACACAATAAAACAACGTAAGATAAGATGAAACGAAAAATAATACAAATTTTACTAGTAAATAAATAATAAATAATAAAAGACAAAAAAATATTAAAAAAAAATTTTTGAAATCAAATTAATTAAAAACAAAAAATATTAAATAAAAATAAAAACAAGGAAAAGCAATTTATTTCTTTTATGACCATATCAATTTTATGGTATTTCATTTTAGGATTGAATATTAATTCTCATACCTGAAATGTTGAAGTTTCCGATTTCGATGTTTTTCATTGTCAATGTCCCTTTACGTGTACAAAACATCGTTCTCTTAGATGTTTTTTTGTGGGATTTTTGGTCCAAGACCTCATATCCAAACCAATCGAATGTAGAATGAAAAATTTCTTATTGTCAGATGTTTCTTTGACGGACTTTTGATTGTAGACCTCGGAAAGTTGTATGATGGCTATATTTTTAGACATTTACAGCACCAATGTGTCAATCATCATGTGTATGCAAAATGCCAATTTTTAACTTAGTTTTTTTCTATTCATGAAGAAAACCCGGAAAAATCGGTCGTATGTACATATCGTATAGTAATCCCATCTGGCCGGTTCCGACAAATGATCGTTTCAATATACTCGTACAAGTGCATTGGTGCACCTGAAGGACTAGTTTTCGTATAAACAGACGGACGGAAGGACGTGACTAAATCAACTCAACGCGTAATGCTGAACTAATCGATATAAATTCTGATAAGTCTATCTCTTCTCCGTCTAGTACTTGCATACTTCGGACCAAAGTTACGATTTCATGTGATTGAAAGGATGACATAAATTTTTTCTTACTTGCAGCCGACAACTGGTGGCTACCGCAGATCTCTTGCCAGGCGATGTTATCTTGGAAGAGCAACCCCTGCTGGTGGCACCTCATTGGGAGTGTGAGCAAATGAAGTGCAGCCAATGTATGCTGGATTCGTTTGTGATGTGCAAGTAAATCTTTACTCAACAATCCAATGTGTGACAAGTGTCTTACTCATATGTCTAAATGTGTATTTTACGCTTCTACTACGTCTTTAAACTTACACATACCCACACTCACATCCCAACTGACATCCATACATACATTCAAACATGCCCACACACAAATATATACATACATACTTATAGGAAATGCGAATTCTTTCCGCTATGTATCGATTGCGCCAACCATAACTCCTACGACTGTGATTTCTTCTGCAACACGGGAGCTGGCGCTAAGATTTCCAAAAATCTTCTCGTCGAGAATTATGCCATTTATGGAGTACTCAAATTACTCTTACTCATGGAAAATCCAACCAGTGGTGAACAGTGCGCTGCTTTGAGTGCTACGCCGGGCGCTGCCGTTGTTGATAGTGATGCTTGGCAGGAGCGTGAGGTGCACATTGTAAATCCTCTACTACAGTCGGGCATAGCACAAGCCTTCAAGCAGGTCAAGGTCACACACGAGCTGCTCCACACACTTTGTTGGCGTATCGATGCCAACGCTTTCGAAGTGGCCGCAAGCGATGGCAACACGTTGAAGGGCGTGTATGTGTGTTGCGCACAACTGCCACATAATTGTGTGCCCAATACCGTGGTCACCATCGATGAAGAGTTCCACCTGAAACTGTATGCTTCGGTGCGCATACGTGCCGGCGACATCATCTACAATTCATATACGAATCCACTAATGGGCACCAGCCAACGCCAACATGAGCTGCGTCTGACGAAGGGCATTGAATGCACGTGTGCGCGTTGTAGTGATCCACTTGAGCTTGGTACGCACATGAGTTCTCTGAAGTGTCAGCAATGTGCTACCGGCTTCGTGGTTTGCACTGGGCCTATACGTGATGGCAAGCGCAGCGGTGAGTGGAAGTGCACTAGCTGTGGCGCCACTATGGACACGGCGATGGTGAAAGAGTTGCTGGTAGATGTTGGCGAAGCGTTACTAGAGACCAACAGTGAGTTGTTAGCGTACGAGTCTTTGCTGGATAAATATGGTGGACGCTTTCATCAAAATCATTTTGTTTTGGTGGAGATCAAACAGAATATTGCAGCCATATTGCGCGCTATACTCATGAACCCGATGTGTGTGCCTGGCCAGGATTTGTTAGAACGAAAGTTGCAGTTGTGCGAGGAATTGATGCCATTGGTGCGCACAGTGTTGCCAGGTATATCGAAATTGTATGGCATTGCGTTGTATGAGTACCTGCTCTCCTATATGGAATTGGCCGAGTTGATGTACGAGGACAAGGAAGCGGGGAATGCGGCGTTGATTTTTCAGGTTAATACCAAGAATATAAATATTCAAGTTTAGTTTTAGAAATTAAAATTTGTTTCTATTATTTCTTCACAGGAAAAGTTGGAGAATGCGCGGGATATTGCCGCTAAGGCCAAAGAGATGTTACGATTCGAGCCGAGCAATTCACCGGAGGGTCATTTGGTGAGTCGCATTGCAATGGAGCAGAAACGTATTGAGGAGAATTTAGGACAATTGAATTCGAAACGTAACGGTGTATAGTGTTGTGTAAAGTATGTGAAAAAAATGTGTGAATTTGCTTGAACGGATATTAAATTAAAAGTACCAAATAGAAGTCGTTTCATTTCATCGAAAATGGAGTTGAAACCGCAGTCCATGGATCGTTGACTGTCATGAGATAATTGCTGCTTACAACCGCGGGTAAATTCTAGAGCTTCCAAGCCGTCGACCCCGTTTCCAACACCCAAAGGTCAAAGGTATGGATGACACAGTACCTGCTTTCATGCGGAGACAAATTTTGGTAAAATCACCATAGAATAAATTTCTAATTGCGGCCTCATATGTCATCGGAATCTCAACCCCGCCGAGACAAACATTCTAATAAAACCGGCCAGTCTTCGGAGGCGGCTGGAAAAATACTGTACACAAATTTTTATTTGGAAAATTATTAAGATGCACGATGACGAAATAGAGGGGAGATAAAGCACGGCCGAAAACATCTGCAGCGGTTTTAAAGTGCCAGGTCAGCTCAGTGAAACACAAGTTCTGTTCTTCCCTACTGTTCTTCTATACTATTTAGTAACTTATCACTTATCAGTACTTGAATACTGATATGGGCCACTGCCTTCTCCTACCTGAATTCCTGATGTACTACGCGGTGGTTATTCTACATAGCAACCAATACATGACAGGATAGTTTCAGCATATCAAATCCATACTCGATCCAATTTTATAGGGGTTTCTAGAAACTAGATAAAAGCAGCGTAGGTATATACTTACTTCCATCTATTGCATCGCCGTAGCATTTCTCAAACGCTACTGATGACCATACCTGAGGCTATCAAATGACAAGGTTGAAAGGGTCCTCTCGGTAAATTGAATTTTCAGCTTTAAAGGCTCTGGACTCAGAAAGAACCGCCGCAGATCACTTAACATAATGACCAAACAGTTTTTTCTCTACTACGTATGGCAGTCAGTGCCCAATAACGTACCGGGTCCTAAGATAGCGGGCGAGCTTGCAAAGTTTTGCACTTCCTTTCCACATTCTTCAACAACTTGTAAGCGTACTATAAGAGCTGGCTCCAATGTGAACAGGGCTTGCTAAGAGAATGGGCTGGACCATCAAAAATCTGCTGCAAAACTTGTCGAAAGGAAGAACTGCTTTGTTTAAGTCTCTAATGACTGCAATCTTTAAAGGCTCTAGCAAAATATACACCTACAATATATACATATATATAATATATGCTGATTAATATATATGACTAAATCCACCTCTTCGTTTGACAAGCGAGTGGGGACTATTAGGAACCTCGGTGGTATCGGTGGTGGCCCGTTAAACTTGTAATGACATCCAAATCATTTCAATTTGCAATGGATCAAAAGTAAAACATCTATAAATGGGGATTGTGTTTTATTGAAGTGTACTTTGAAAATACTAACAATTTCCACCTGTTAAAAAATATACCCCAAGCGGTATGCCGAGCCCTTCCTACAACGCTTGTTTATCACATACCCGCACACAACTATCCGTAAGGGGGGAGCCCATTTGCACTGCATTTCATACGCTCAGACATTTCGCATTAGATCCTCTATTGTTCACTTCTGAGTCTTTGTCGGGGAGAACTTTCTATTTCATGCACTGCTCTAAATACTGAAATACTCACAGAAAAGATATGTGCCAATATAGATACATATGTACATACATATGTATATATGTAATTAGGCATATTGTTAGCAAAAAGCCTACAAATGTATTTTCAAAATTAAATTTACGATCACTTGCATAAAATGCAGCAGATAAGTACAATACTACGAGTACATCTGCATCAGCATGCAAATAGGGTTTTCGCTACTTTTATTATATTTTGAGGGCGCATTCAGTTGACAGCCAACACACACGGAGAAAAGTTCGTTTCGATTAAAAAAAAATATTATTTAATTTTGAAGCTAAATAATTCAAAAATTCAGTAAAAGCTCTGCTATCAAATATGTTTAAAACCAATTGATTTTAGTTACGCTATCGATTTTTTCACTATCGATCTTTTTTTTTCTTTTTATTGCCGGCCGATAAATGTTGTGGGAATATTAGAAGAGAGAAGGAAATGAGTTCAAACTTTAAAGTTATAAAACATTGTGTAATAGAAAAATAAGATTTTAAAAAATATAGAATTTATACGATTTAGGCAGTAATATAATTGGAGGAAAAGAAACTATGAATGATTTAACGAAAAAATATATAATTGAGCAAAATGACGCATTTGGAAGGTAATTTGTGTGGACCATTTTTAAAGTTTTAATATTTTTTTATTTATATATTTATTTCTTAATTATTTAGTATTTTTTGCTTAAAAATTTTATTTTCGAAATTAAAAATATTTATAGTGCCCGTTTTCTATTTTCGACCTATTTTAGTAACTGTATTGTCATACATTTTCATAATAATTCATATTTCATGTGCTTGTATTTATGTAAATATTTACATATGTATGTACATATGTACACGTAGATACCTAACAGCAGCAGCAGATATTAAAGCCGGCGAAACATTTTTGTTAGAACAGCCGATATTATTGTTGGCATCTAATGGCGATAGACGTTGCACGAATTGCCTGAAATTGACAACAGAATTTTGCAGGTAATTTTCGAAAGGAATTTATGGACATGTACGTACATACATGTATTTTAATTATATATCCTCTAGTAAAAACGAATATTATAATACGAAACAGACTTTCTACATTTATGTAAGTACGAGGCATATCCAGAAAGTAAGAAAGTGTACTGAGACCGTAGGTAGAGTTGCTGCTCGCCTCGTTTAAATGGGATGTCCACTGATCTAGCACCTGCATATTATATTACTGTCTTTTTACCTCCCTGAAGCTGCACGTGGGTAGCAAAAGGTTTTCAACCGACGTGAAGGTAAACGAACAGGTGGTGAAGTGGACAATGGGAGTTGCGTGTAACTACCTCTACGGTATTACCTTTTTTTGTTTAGATAAAAAAAATTCAAAATCTACAAATCGTCAGTATACCTACTTTGTGGATATACCTAGTATTTACCGAACTATTTTATTTGAGACAAAGCCATAGTACCGTTGGAAAAGTCAGTAGTCGTAAATCCATAAATGAGTACCAGATATGTTTCCAAAAATATGTTTTTGGATATTATCATGGTTATTGGAGGAGTGCATAAGTTCGTGCCCGATTTCAAGTGCAATATAAAATTGAAATTTTTTGAAGAAAGCGCCATCATGTTCGGCAATCCACTCCCATTCAAATTGTTCTGCAGCAATCGAAAACAATGATAATCAGAAGGTGCAATGTCGGGTGAAAATGGGGGATGCGGCATGATTTCCCAATTCATCTCCTTCAGTTTGGCCAGGGTCGGTTTTGCAACATGTGGCCTGGCGTTGTCATGATGGAAAAGAACTCCTTTGCGATTGGCCAAAATCGGACGTTTTTCATCAATTGCTTTCTTCAATTCGACCAATTGCTGACAATACTTGTTGGCAGTGATCGTTTCTCCAGCTGGCAAGAGCTCAAAATAGATCACGCCTCGGATATCCCACCAAATGCACAGCAGTACCTTCATCGGATGCAATCCACCTTTCGACATCGGTTCCGCCCCTTCGTGTGCCTGTTTCCATGTTCTTTTGCGTTGAACATTGTTGTACAGGATCCATTTTTCATCACCAGTCACGAGCCGATCCAAAAAAGGTTCGTTTTTGATCCGTCGAAGCAAAGAAATTGCTGTTGACATACGGTCCACTTTGTTTTTTTCACTCAACTGATGTGGCACCCATGTATCGAGCTTCAAAGTGTACCCAACCTTTTTTAAACGACGAAACGCAGTTGATTTGTTGACGTTCAATTCACTGGCAACCTCTTCCGTCGAAATACGTGAGTTATTCGCAACTAAAGTCCTTAGAACATCGTCATCAAGCTCAGAAGGCCGTCCACTGCGAGGTTGATCTTCGAGGTTAAAATCTCCAGAACGAAATTTCGCGAACCATTTCTTTACTGTGCGGAGTGCTGGAGCACGGTCCAAATAAACTTCGCGAATATCTTTAGTTGCAGCGCCTACTGTTTTTCCTTTGCGGAATTCGTATAACATAATATGACGCATATGATCTTTTTCGTTGTCCATCTTCCATGCGTCTTTCCACTAAGCAACTCAAATCAAAATGAAGTTATTTTATGCTTGATTTACAGTTCGGACTGTCACCTTTCCAACGGTATATTATATAATATGTATATATTTCTTTCACGAGCGCCACTCTCAAACGATTCGAGCGGCATCCAGCGGAATCGGGCACGAACTTATGCACTCATCCAATATTATGGGGATCTCACTAGCCAGTATTTTTGCTTCGATAATGAATAGATTGCGATCCTTTTCTCCTCCCTACGTTTACCACTCTATAGCGTCTCTGAAAAGTAGTAATAGAAATAAAGAGTAGTGGGCAGATCATGATACCATGTGGATAGGTTCGGATCCTGATCAGACTAGTTTCCAACATTGTAAAATAATAATAATTGCAATTAACGACTCGGAGTCTTTTTAAAAGTGCATCAGCCAAAAATAGAAACTCACGATTGGTCTTTCTTTTTATTGGGAAAAATCGTATTCTTCTTCATCTAGATTAGTGTAGGAACACTCCACACGTGCACCCTGGCTAAAACAGAAGCTGTGCGTTGGATGTGGGATCCGCCACGTAGAAACCATCAGTAATGAAAAAGTTAGCAGTAACTCGGATGAGAGACGGAAATTTTGATGATGTTCACCGGCGAGTACGGCATCAAAAACGTTCAATGCTTAAGTGTTGTCGCTCATCCGGGCTAATTCTTGTATCTCATACATCTCAACGTTCCGTCGTCTGCAGTATTCGCCATTCTCAATGCGCAAAGTTGCATAAATCGTTTGTAAAACCCCTTTATATCGAAGGTTCCTCATCATCCAGTCCCGCAGAAGATTTACGACAAACCGAGTTGGGAGAAGACTACATAGATAGTTAGAGAATGGGTTGGAAATATGGTGTTACCGTGTTGTAAATAAGACATTGTGATAGTAGTGAGCTTTTGCACAAAATAGGGTACTCTAAGTATCAAGAGAATAATATCAGGCTTAACATGGTCCGCTGCGTGAAAGCCAGTTTCCTTCGTAACTTTTTCGCTATTTAGCAATTTTATATTTCTTACGTTCATTCCAATCGGATCATTAATACCATAATATACCAACAGAATTTGCCAGGTATTTGCGCTCTGCGACAACTGCGCTTCTCACAATGAATACGATTGTGGTTTACTTGCCGGAATGAAGGATATACAGGTGGATCTCGTCAAGGAAAATCCACTCATTTATGGACTACTTAAATGTCTGCTATTGCGTGAGAATCCAGAAAACACAGCATATTATGGGCAACTAATTCAAATGGAGTCACATTTAGAAGCACGACGTGGTAGTGAAATTTGGCGAGACCTACAGCAACGTGCAGTCGAGCCATTACTTCAGTCAGGCCTAACAAAATACTTGAAAGATACACAGAGCGTGGATGAAAATTTGCTCCACAAATACTTAGCTATAATCGATGTCAATTGCTTTGAGATACGGGCACCGGATGAAGGTCAATTACGCGGTATCTACCCGCTTGCGGCGCTTATGGCGCATAATTGCGTATCGAATGTACAGGCCAGCATTGACGAGCACTATCAAATGAAGGTATATGCAAGGTGTGATGTTTCGAAGGGCGCTCTGCTCTACAACTGCTATACAAATGTGCTATTGGTATGGTCATGAAATATAGAGATATATATGTATTTGCTGACTAATGCAAAGCATTTTCGTTTCAGGGCACTGACGAGCGACGTCATCTGCTAAAGGTGGGTAAGTATTTCGATTGTAAGTGTGCGCGTTGCGAGGATCCCACTGAGCTGGGTTCACACATGAGTAGTTTCATGTGCGCGCGCTGTGCTGACAATAAACGCGCGGGTTTTATTGTAAAGAAAAAGAAGGAGCCAGCGCAAGGGCAGCAACAGACAGCAAAACAAACGAAAAGTTCGGCAACCAAACAACTGTGGCTGTGGCAATGTCAACAGTGTGAGCACACCCTAACGGCGGAAACTGTAGAACAACTAATAGAACGTGCCAAAGAGGAAATGTTTCACGCCAAAGATGATGTGACACGCTATGAGCTTTTGCTATCGAAACTCACGCGCTACTTTCACCCAAATCATTACCTGCTGTTGGACATAAAACAGAATATAGCTGCCATCTTACGTTCGATACTACAGAATTTTTCACTGCAACCGGGCCGTAAGGTGTACGAGCGAAAAGTGCGTCTCTGTCAGGATATATTTGGCATTTTGCAAATAATATTGCCGGGGATTTCACGTCTGAAAGCAATTGTGCTCTACGAGATGGCCAATACAACGGCAGAGTTGCATCGCATGCGATACGAACAGAAGGAGTTGCAGAAGATGGAGTTGGTGGTAAGTTGAGTCAAAAGGAGAGAGGGAAGAATGAAACTTTCTATTTTTTAAAAACATAACCTCAACGGACTGTATATCAATTTTATTCTAGGCTCTTCTAAAACACATAGAACAGATGCTGCGCGAGGCTATTCGCATGTTGTTATATGAACCACCAGATACACCGGAAGGTCAGATGACTAAAAACATGCTGAAGGAACTGAAGGATCTGCAAAACGACATAAAATACTTGGAGGAAAATCAATGATCAAAATAATAAATTAACTAGAGAAAGTTTTTGCCAGATTTGTACGCAAGAAAAAGATGAATAAATAAATTGTGTGCTTAGAATGACCCCCGACAAAAGTTAAAGTTTACTTTTTCTGCCAAGAATTTACCAGCGGTAAGACATGCCTGTCGTGAGAAGCGACTAAAATCCAATAGTTCCCGCGACAGTCGGGTTTTTATACCGGAACGATCCGGATTTTTATACGGTCAAGGACTGTCACTCCCGCAACATTCTCAAAAAAGGTCTATAGGGAATATTTTTGCGGTTCCAACAACACAACCACATTACTGTCGAATAAGCAACAGCGCGGATTCGTTTCTTTTTTTGTTTTTGATGTTTGGCACTTCCACCCGATCTTTCCAGCGGAGTGAAGATATTTCTCTTCCGCTGCTTCCATAGGTATCATTCGAACGACATGAACCGCTGTCTCTTGACTTGCTGAACTGTGTCAATGTCCCACACCATAATTCTTTCGCAACACCTCTCCTGAAGACTCCTAGATCCCCCTCATCGGACGTTCTCAACGTCTATGTTTCAGCACCATAAAGTAGCATGGGAATAATGGAGAATTTGGGCAGTGTTGGATTTTGTTCCTCAAGAGAAGACCTATTTTGCTTTTCAATTGCCAACAGATTTTAAGGCTGATATAGTTTTTGGTGTTAATGCCACTTCCAAGCCAGGTAAAATCGTATAGGACTTGAAAGTAATGGCTTTTAATAGTAACGAGAGTGCCAAAACGTGAATGAGCTAAGTGTTTACTTGATAGCAGAAGATATTACGACATGCCCTCGTTCACTACCACACCGAATCGCTAACCTTCTTTGCATGGCTTAGAAACTGCGCGGTTGTTGAGTCCGATTTTGTCAATATCATCTGAAATACGCCAACAGTTGTAGGCTTTTATATTGGATGAGTGCATAAGTTCGTGCCCGATTTCAAGTGCAAACTGAAATTGAAATTTTTTGAAGAAAGCGCTTTTATTAATCAATTATGTATTCGCCATCATCAATTTACGGATGCCTGATTCAAAGAAATCACGTGGTTTCTCGTTGAAAAAGGTGTCAAGGTGGTTTTTGACGTCTTCCACATTTTTAAATTTTTTTCCATTCAAATTGTTCTGCAGCGATCGAAACAAATGATAATCAGAAGGTGCAATGTCGGGTCAATATGGGGCATGCGGCATGATTTCCCAATTCATCTCCTTCAGTTTGGCCAGGGTCGGTTTTGCAACATGTGGCCTGGCCTGTGTCATGAAGGAAAAGAACTCCTTTGCGATTGGCCAAAATCGGACGTTTTTCATCAATTGCTTTCTTCAATTCGACCAATTGCTGACAATACTTGTTGGCAGTTATCGTTTCTCCAGCTGGCAAGAGCTCAAAATAGATCACGCCTCGGATATCCCACCAAATGCACAGCAATACCTTCATCGGATGCAATCCACCTTTCGACATCGGTTCCGCCCCTTCGTGTGCCTGTTTCCATGTTCTTTTGCGTTGAATATTGTTGTACAGGATCCATTTTTCATCACCAGTCACGAGCCGATCCAAAAAAGGTTCGTTTTTGATCCGTCGAAGCAAAGAAATTGCTATTGACATACGGTCCACTTTGTTTTTTTCACTCAACTGATGTGGCACCCATGTATCGAGCTTCAAAGTGTACCCAACCTTTTTTAAACGACGAAACGCAGTTGATTTGTTGACGTTCAATTCACTGGCAACCTCTTCCGTCGAAATACGTGAGTTATTCGCAACTAAAGTCCTTAGAACATCGTCATCAAGCTCAGAAGGCCGTCCACTGCGAGGTTGATCTTCGAGGTTAAAATCTCCAGAACGAAATTTCGCGAACCATTTCTTTACTGTGCGGAGTGCTGGAGCACGGTCTAAATAAACTTCGCGAATATCTTTATTTGCAGCGCCTACTGTTTTTCCTTTGCGAAATTCGTATAACATAATATGACGCATATGATCTTTTTCGTTGTCCATCTTCCATGCGTCTTTTCACTAAGCAACTCAAATCAAAAGTTATTTTATGCTTGATTTACAGTTCGGACTGTCCCCTTTCCAACGTTATATAATATGTATATATTTCTGTCACGAGCGCCACTCTCAAACGATTCGAACGGCATCCAGCGGAATCGGGCACGAACTTATGCACTCATCCAATAGAAGTTCAGCAGATCGTATTATTTTCTCCAGCAATAGGTTGAAAAAGTTACACGATAAAGAGTAATCTGTCTGCTGTTCAGTATCCAACGACTTGGAAAGGCCCTTTGTACTATGGAACTTTTTACCACTTAAAGAATATCTAGTCTATGGTAGAAGCCACATCGGTCACCAGATTATCACCTTGACTCCTATATGAGTACGCTCCATTCTTGAAACTTTCTGTAAGTCGGAGCCGCATCTTTACATAGAATTTTCGAGCACTACACATGGTCAGCTTCCCGTTTTCTTTTTCAGAACGCAGGTCCCACACCTGTAGAGAACTGTTCGGCTGTCTGTCTGTTGCGAATGCGCTTTTCGACATGGAACCCTCTCTGTGTTTGTTGACTTGCGCTTTTAGCTGCACAGAGCCGGTTGGGTATTTTCGTTGCGCCAAAAGGGTGATCAAAGTCGTTGCTAGGCCCTCGGAACGCGCACACATCTATATCACTAAAGAGATTTCTTCCCTCAATTATAACGTGCGCAATTTCGTAGTGCGATTTTCGATCCAGCGCCGCCATGTGGCTTGATGCATTTTCTAGTGCGGAAATCTGGACAATTATTTTTCGGGATTCGGAGAAGATGCTCAGCCTCAAGCCGCATGGGTAAGTTTCGTCAAGGAGGCTAAATTTCCCACCCGCCAATATTCTAACACCAAAATAAATAAAAATGAGTTTTTTTTTTAAGTTCATTTACGCGTATAAAAATTACTGCTATTAAATATTAACATTTATTTCCACTTAAACTATAAATATCACCGCGAGTTTTCTCTTTAACATACACTTAGTATAGTTACATTTAGTATAAAATTACAATAAAGCTTAGCTAAAATTTACATAATTTTTCTTTTTTAATATTTTGTATTACATCATAACCTAAAAATCGTTCAATATTTCTCCTATCAACTCAATTAACGTGAGAGTCGAACGAAAGCGTGACATTTCCTGAATCGTTCCTGTGAGATCGCCTTCCACACCTGAGACACAGTTATCAAGTAGCCATTCCAAATTTGGATATTTCACTGTTATTTCCGATGGTATTGGTTTGAGAAAACCCTTCGTGCGATCACCTTTCAAGTCTTCGCGTAAAAACAGACATGCTGACAGTAAATTCAAGTCACTCACACTATACGAACACAAACGATCCGGCACGAACGCAAAACAATTATCACACTCAATCAGCTCATGTTTGTCTACGTTTTCTCTAAACAACACACTCCTCGAATCAACAATGTACGCGGTATTCAGATCAATGAAATAGAGCTTGTCCCGTTCAACATTGTAGACTAGATTGTCTGCTGTTAAATCGGTTATGTAAATGTGATAATCCCTGAAACCGTTGGTAAATTTCAAAGCTGCCTCAAGTAGTTGTTTGGCAATACGCAGTTTGATGTCGAAATTAGCGTTTTTGAACACCTCCAGTGTATCGCCGACATGCTCCTGATACAGCGTATAACCACATAAACCATACGATCTCGGCACGGGAAACCCTTGTTCTTCCAGGTGACTATGCAAAATCAGCTGTGCGTTGGTGAGCAGTAGTAGCCAGACGTATGTCTCATTGTGCCCGCTCATGTTGCTTAGAAAATACACGAATCGGTCTATACTCTCATGTGGACAGAATTGTAAGTCAAAGTTATTGGCGCGCATTAGGAACTCTCTTTTTAACGTATCACTATTCAATGGGAATGAGAGTCTCTGTATGAAATTTGCATTCTTCGGATAGCTTTTCGCAATTATTTTGCCATCATCGTCTTTTCGACGAAATATTTGCGTCTTACGACTGCTGCCCGCGTTGGACGCCAGATGATTGGCGATGTTGTGTGTGCTTGATTGGTGGTCGAACTCAATCATTTCCATAATATCGTTGCACTGTTTAAGTAGACTTTTGCTGTAGACTTGCTCAAGAGGTAAGCGTTTGTATTCCATTGTGTGCATGTGCTCCAGGAAATCACGTAGGTTCAAAATGATTATGAGGAATAAAAGAAATTTATTGCTGGACAGATAGCGACCGATAAGTAAAAGCATAACTGAAATAAAAAATATTATATATATATAAAATAATTGCATATAAATAATAAAGGGTGTTTTTTTTTTTTAGATGGTAAGGCAATACTTTTTTCGGAGTAGGTCTTTTGCCAGCCATTAACAGCTGGGGTGCTGGGTTGCCATTTCATAATGAAAAGATTTACTATGCAACAGCATTTGCCAAAATAATGGTTTGCTCCGCGCGACACATTGCCCAGCGAAGTCGGTAATTCGAGGAACCATGGTCGATTTCATACAACGTTTACTCTAGTGATTAATGCGCGTCCTCATAGTCTTACATACAGTGCGTATCGAAGACTCCGATGTGGAGTAGAATATCGAAGAGAACACTAATAAGTTCACTGCGCACAACAATTAGAGATGTGTACATCCATTCTATGGGAGATTAGAACTCAAGGATCTGTGCTTGCGGGCTTCCGAAATCCAACTCGTCCGAGAATCGAAGAACGCGGATCATCAAGCGCGCCACACCGTTCGGTAAACGGTCCGACACTCACAAGGAATAAATAAAGTTGTAACATTTAGAGTGATGAAAATCCAAAAGACTTTGTTGAGACACCAACATCCTCAAAAAGTCATTGTTTGGTGGGCTTTATATTAGCAGAGGAAATCATTGGTCCGTCGTGGGCTTCCAAGACCGTGCTATTGAACGCCACTAAACAATTGTTTGTGGGGCTATGTAAAGTCTACGCAGATAAGCCCGAGATGATTGACGCCGCGGAAGAGAATATACAGCACGTTATAGCTGACATACGGTGCCAATTGTTGCAAAAAGTCGAAAAGTGGGCCTTTCTCACTCTTAATCAGCCGTTCGGAATCATTTTTGGAACATAACACAATAAAGCTTAATTCTTGGATATAATATCTTGAGAAGCATATGTCTACAAAACTCATCGAATTGGCGCTTCTTGACCGCTGAAACGATTTTCATCGATTTTTCCTTCTCTAATTTGTGATGTCTTGATATGTGTCCAAAAACTTAAACAATTTGTTCCTTCGTGCCGCCTCTGAACTCGGAACACTCGGAAGGCTTTAAATTCCCGGCGAAAGAGCGAACCGAACTATTGATGTACATATTTTAATGAGGGACCCCTATTTCATGTCAGAAATACACTCGGAAGGCTTGACATTGCCGGTCAAAGAGCGACCGGAATCAGAAAAATAATGAACAGACGCTGTAAAATGACTGTGGTGATCTGCTGCTGATGGCATCGAGGAATACGAGATATACGGCGACACGACCAGTTCGACCTCAGATCAAGTCGCATAGGTAAAGGAAGATCTCCCCTCCTTTGGAAAGAAGATATGGGACCTGGCTTCACTTGGTGTCTCACATGGGCCCAAAAGGACTAAGAGAGGCAACGAATGGCAGGCTGTTAACTTTCTTTCATTAAAACAATCAACGAAATCACAATGAAAAATTCCCCAAACTAAATGAAAACAACACACTGTGCTGCAGTTCCTTAGTCTTTTGGTCCAAAGCATTTACGGGTGCTTGTCAGTAAACATTTTACTTAATAAATGCTAACTGCAAAAGCAAATCAGCTGGAAGAAGTCTTTTAGATACGAAGAAATCCTGTTTCGCAGCAACGTTCTGCGGTCGTTCAGCCCGGCATCTGCAAGCAAGTACGAGTATATGTACGTGTATGTATGTGTTCTAGAAAAATCAATATGATACCGTGATGCCACTGTGCCTTCTGCCACACATTCATGGTGCTTCTTCCTCTTTAGCTAGCATCGCAATATTTTATTTTATTTTTATTTTTTGCAAATTCTCTTTCTTTAACTTCTGGCTGTTGCTATTGACGACCGGCGAGGTTGAGGATGATGGTAAATTTAACTCGCGCAGCTAAGACAGCTGTGCAAGTATGAACAAGTATAAAGAACAGAAGCAGAAGAAAAGATTGTGTTGTGAAGAAATTACCAAACACACACTTAGTCGGCGCACAGTTCAAGGTTATTCAGGGTAAAGAAGAGAAAAATTAAAATGTGAGCAGAATAAATTGACGAATTCATGGAAAATATCGCCATCAAAGTTGCGAGCTTAGAAAGAAAAGAAATATTTCCTTTGTTAAATCCCAGTACAGCTAAGGTTTAACTTCCACAATTTTGAAAACCCAATTGACAGATGTCAAAAAATCTACCAGCTGATCTTGTGGCGGCTGATAAGTGAACAACGACGTGCTTAGATCAAAAAAGCTTATTGTGATGCCATGTAAAAAGTTGCTCTAACCCTACGTCTCTTTTTCCATTCACTTGAACTCCAGTTTGAACTTTGTTAGTTCGCTTACTCTAGTTTCGCCCACATCGCAAAGGCAAAACATAAAAGTGAACTCAAAAAATGCCAAAGTCTATATATGCATAGAGCAGAACAATGGCATAACAGGTGAAAGATATTCCCCATCCTCTTACGCGTCATTGCTATGGTCTCCATGGTATATTCTAAAAGAGGCTGCTAGTTTTTCTGCATGTTGTCCTATAAGGCAATGTCCATCAGGACTCAAATTACCTTTGAGATATCTTTTCTTCAGTGAATATATACCATTTGACCTTCCTCAATAGAGTCTGTCTGTACAAATATTCCTTTGGTATTTAGTTTGCAGGTGGCTACAGGCTTACCAATGCTATATTTATTCGAAGAACCTGCTTTGCATTTCCCTCTCTATGTCTCTACGTATGGGCAGAGACCTATTCGAAGGTTATGCTGCAGCTAACCATCTTACATACTATCTTCCAGCCATAGGAACCTATCTTATGAGAGCGCCATGTGAAATGAAAAGTTGTCACCGCTTGCCGATGCCGTTACCAACGGTTGTCCCTCAGAAACTAGCGGCGATTTGATTTTCTCCGTAAAACCGGTTTAGCTTATTGCTCGCTGTTATACAAGGTTACCAGTATTGACTATTTTAAACGATATTTAATATTAATACTGGGTAAATTAGTAGGTTTTTCAAAGGAAGTGGAAACAGGAATCGTAATTAATTATATATTACCATATAGCTCATGTAAACTTAGTTGGAGTTTATATTCAAACATATAAATTATGAAATCGTTGACATATATTATAAATTTGTTTAAAAGTATGCTACATCTATGCTAAGTACACTACCAACTGGCAACACTTCGTCGCTGTTAGCAGCGTCGATAACTCGTGTAGGCATATCCCTCTTTCGGTAGGATGTTACGACTGTGTGGTATGTAAAATGGGTAGTTGCAGCATTAGTCTGTACTCTTCAGCGATTTTCGGAAGAGATCTGTGACAGTCCTAGCGGCGTATTCAGAGATATGGTAATTGATATGATAATTGTGAGGAAAACCTTTTTTGTTGGTTATTTTCCACTCATTAAAATCCATTCAATTGTGGAAAATTTTTTTTAAACAAGCAAAAATAAAGAAGAAACAAAGATTACAGCCATTTTCTTACACTTAGCTGCACCACTGAAAGCAAATTTCTGTTTGAATAAAAATCCGATACTAACTTAGGCGTCTCGATTGATTTTTTTTGATTGCTTGCATTTGTCATTCTTAAGCAAATTGCCTGTAAAGACAGCGAGGAAGTTGGCAAATTTATTACTTGAAATATTGTTGGAAATCTATTGGCTACGAACTGTCAGATTTTCAGTTTGACAGCTAAAATTTCATATGCATGGAAGTAAATGAATCAAATGAAGGTGCAGTGATTATCATATTCCCGCCGGCGCTGTAATTCATATTTCCCGCGGTTGATAGTGCAATCATGTGCGAGCCACCGGTGGTACGCGCCGGCGTGAACGTGTTAAATGAATGAAATCTGCTAGTCTGAGTTTATATGAGGATACTTTTGCCGCTTATTATCGTAATTTTCTTTTTTGTCTCACTCTTCACGTTCACACATAGACACTTTCTTCAAGCAATTTTTTTGACATCCTCTTCCTGATCATCAGATACAATCCGAAAGTCTTCTTCAGATACGAATGGAAAAAAGAAAACGTGTCGAACGATGCGCTGTCGCCTTCGTCGTCGCTCCTCCCCAACAAACGAGAGAGAGGTTCGTCGACAAAAAGGTATCCCCGTGCAAACTCGAACCTACTATTTTCATTTTCCTTCCTCTGCAGTAAGTTTTTTTTTGTCTTTTAAAGTGTTTGAGGGCTTTTGTGGTGGTTGGCGCGATTTTTCAAATGATTGCGTTAAGATATCAAATGGATCCCGGACAAAAACTTGCATTCAAATTGCTGGCAGTTATCTGTCGAAACGACAGTTATAGGCAATCGATAGCAACCTGTAGAGATGTGAGGTTATTGAAGTTTTTTTCTTACAGAGTTGCTTGCGACTTAATAAATATTTAAAAGTTTAAAACCGATTTTCGATAGCCATGGAATATAGATATCGAATCAAGTTCGCAATTTGAACCGAAAATCTAATTTTGAAATCGTGACAAACAACTTCATGAATCCAAAAATGGTTTGAGATCAGAAAAGCGCATACAGGGTGATTAAAAAGATCAGCAAAATATTTTAAATATATCCAATTAGAATAATGAAATTGAACTAAAATAATTTTAATTCATTAACATTTAATAACATTTGCAATAAAAACGATATGTACATATGTATGAACATATGTATGCATGGACATATGTATGCATGCTATAGTTGGAAAAATCAGATAACACGATTTAAGTTAAGCCCATTATATTATATTCATCAACAGGTGTGACATACATACATATGTATGACTTCAAAAGTCAAGCACTTTCATAAGAACATAAGTACAAGCCTATGTATATACGCGTATATATACTATATGTATATATATAAATTCACACTTAGTGTTATTATTTCGAACAAAAATAAAAACAAACGAACGCGTGCGAAGTGTAATAAACTCAAAATGTTTATAAATATGTACATATGTATTTTTTTTTTACAATTAAACTGCCACTTAATTTTGCAGCAGCCTAACAAGCAAAAACAACACATTTTTGCACCAAATATTGTATATATACATAAATAGATATGTGTATTTATATCAACAAGGAGAGACATGGCTAATTCATTGAGCTTAGAAAGGCTTCCACTCTACATCTCAGCTTGTTTTGTTAGCCACAAATTGAAATATTGAAGCATTTAGACCAGTTCTCTGGTCTCAGCAGCAGTTCAACCAATCTGAGCGTGTTTGTCAAGAACATTGAGCGTAAATTGTTCTATGTATAAATATGTATGCAGGTAGATATGTATTTTTTATTGATTTATAGAGCACATAGAGGTGTGCGAGTAAACTGTAAGATTTTGGTTAAGGTTCCCTGAGAAATCTAAAATAGTTATTTTTCACCGTTTCAATAAATCGGAGCGCTGCATTTTCAATCAACTGACACATTTTGGTTCTCTTTGATGTTGTTGTGGGTTACTTTATGGGATCCTGTCTTCCTGCAGGGCACTATCGCCAAGAGATGAGATCTTTCTTCTAAAGAAATACACAATATCGGTAGTCGGCTCGACATGAAACACTCCACGTTTCTTAACAGGCTCGATTGCATCGTTATCGCGGATCGTCGCAACACCAAGCTGTTGTCAGGCAGCCGCCTCTACTATACTTGTTCCATGGTAAAATTGCGTCGGACAGAACCACTTAAGAAAAGGAGCTCTAAATTTGTTCAATGATGGGCCAAAGCTTAACGGAAAGGTCGACTGTGTATTTTCTGCCATGAACTTTCCATCGGCGCAGGGTTTAAGCTTCCGGACAATTGTTGAAGTGTAGAGCTCACAGCTAATGAGAGTGGTTTCTGTAAAACGGGTCGGGCAGTCATTACTGTTTTGAGTTATTAAGAAATCTTAACGTCGTTATCCATGGACTTCATTGCTAGTGGCGCTAGTCCCTGTATATCAAACTTCAAAAACGTGTTGTAAATTTTTTCACTCATAGTTCGAAGCTTGATGGAGAGTTGGACATGTATCTTGGTATAGCGAAGTGATTGGGAACTACAAAAAGCTAATAAGCACACGCATATTACAACAACTCTTCGTTACTGTCGGACGAAACACAAGTGGCTGCTGCATCTGAACCGGATGGCCTAAAGCATTGGGTTCGAACTTCTGAGTGAAAGATCCTTTGACCGCAGTTGGACATCGCTAGGACAGAGAGACTCCTGACTTCTTCAAAATCGTCAAAAGTTATGTCTGTTAATTTTCCAAATGATATATACACAGAAGTGGAATCAGCTACGAAATTTCACCTGAATACTGACTTAAAGTACTCGAATATGGCTAAGCGGGATCTTCTATCTTAACTAACTTTACAGCGAAGTACAAAAAAAAAAAATTATTAATTCTTCCATTGAAACCACTTCATTTGAACTCATTTGGCCGAACTTTTATCAATCTCTCAGTATTCATGAATTTTTCTTAACGTAAACTGAGCGGCGTTAGTTACGCTCACAACCGGCATTGATCGATAAAATTGCTCAGCTACAAACATAATAAACTCAAAATACTCGTCGAAAGTGTGACGGTGAAAAATTATCAGAATTTTGCGAAATATCATTTAATCGCAAATGAAGTGTCGAAGCGTAAAGTGCATGAGGAGCTCGCTTAGAATTTTCAATTCAAAGAAGAAGAGAAAAATACAAACAAAAATTCAAATCATTACGAATATAACAGAAAATTAGAAAAAGAAAAACAGCAAAGAAAGCAATCAAATCAATTATTGTGAGTGAACGAACGTAGGAGGGAGGTGTTTTTGTGATCTTGAGAAAGGTAAATGAATGAAATTAAAGTGATTTTGTGCGAGTAAGTGTGTGCAATAAAAGCAGACATACATATGTACATATATACATAAGTATGTACGGTGAATTAATAAACATAAACATAAAGATCAGCTGGCTACTTTTATGTAGATTCATTCATACATAAATTTCTATGTTGTGTTAAGAAAAAAATATATCGGTCAAGTACATTTACGCATACACACACACACATATATATATATAATTCTCATTATATATAAATGTGTATTATGAATATCGATACATACATATTTCTTTAAATTGTACAAGTGAACAAAATCGACAACATTTTACGTAACAAATTCGCCGTGTGACAATTCTATATACATACATATGTGCATTTGCGCATAAATACACACAAATTGAGTTATGTGAGCTTTAAATTGCAATCGATTTTTTTTTATAAAAATGTAGTAAATCTAAAAATTTTATTTATTGTCCACTCAAAAATGTTGATAAAATTCCAAAACAAACAAAATATTGTGAAAAATTTATTTTCTAAACTCATAATAAAGCAAAATGGAGCAAAATACGGCTCTTTTTGTACCTTTTTTGCTATATGTTTACTATATGTACGTGTATGTACATAAGATTATTATATTTTGAATATTTCAAAAACATATTGATCAATTTCTTAAAATATACAGGGTTATCCATTTTGCGTTTTCGAAAATAAACGTAAATGAAATGCATTTAATATGTTTTTTTTTTAGTTAAATTTTGTTAAATTTCGTTTTCATTATAAAGTTTGAACCTTGGCATTATATTTACATACGTACTTATGTAAAACACTACAACATTCAAATAATCGTCTCGTGAATCTTCTCTATCTCTTTCGAGTAGCTCCAAAGAAAGAATTCAATGGTGTCAGATGGCAAGATCTCGGTGGCCAATTCACATCGCCAAGACGAGAGATCACGCGACCGGAAAATTTCACTCGCAATAAAGCCCTATTCGTTCGTGTTGTGTGGCATGTGGCACCATATTGTTAAAACCACATATTGTTAAAACCGTGTTCATCGATTTCAATTCAAAAAAAAAAATCAGCTATCATAGTACCAAAATGCCCCGAATTGAAAGTGACGACGAGACTGTCGTTGACATTTTCATAGAAGTGAAGTCCAACCACACCTACGGTCAAAAAGCGCTTCAGACAGTAAGTTTTTTTATTTGAGGAATCTCGGTGCCCCATTTGCAAAAATGATGCTTATTTATGTATCCTCGAGTGAGAAATGAGCCTCATCGCTGAAATAAATTTTGTTCGTGAAATCGCCATCCATTGCTTGCAGTTCATGCACTAAATCGTCATATGCTGACCATTCGCTGACTTCAGTGTGTTGTGTTAACTGGACTTAATATGGTGTAAGTAAGAAAGCCCTAGCTCTTGAAAACGTCGAGAAGTAGACAAATTCGGGTCTTCGGCTTCGGCTTTCACTTACAGTAGCACAAGCCTTACAATAACTATAACCCATATAGTCTCTTCACATTTCTTCAAAATTTTACTTATTGTATTTCTTGAGTAGTTGGACATCCACCATAATCCTCATCAATTAGAAATATTTATTTTTAAATATTCTATATGAAAAAATTGCTTTCTAATCGCGTTTGATTAACGATCTTCTATAACTTGTTGTGCCTACATACATCATACACACAAATTTACAACTTCTCATACTCGTATTGCCAAGAGCATCATCTGTTATTCGATTACAATCGTAAAACTCATAAATCAGCAGCTCCTTTAGATGAGGTAATCTTTGAGATAAATTAAAAAAATTAATTAAAAAATTACGGATACCTTTGAAGATATGTACATAAATATATGTATGTGTGCAGTATAAATGCTTTCGAAATGTAATTTGCATATGAGAACTTCTTGGGAAAAACAAAACTACAAATGTGTTTTGAAAACCGGTTTTTACTTTCGTAGAATTTGCGCATTAGTTAAGAATCAATCAAAGCGAAAGATTCAATGAATTGCGAAATAGAACACCGTTAATAATGTTTAACGTCTTGCTAAAGATTTGCGCCATTTCTGTTGATCTATAAGACTTGGGCCGTTATAATAAAAAGTGGTGTTAGTACATTCTTATTTATAATTTTTTTATTTACAACAAAAATTAATGAGATTCTTTTTTTTTTTGGAAAATTCGACTTGTAAATAACGCCGTAATGGCAAGCTCATTTTTTAACAATTTCAAGCAAAACAGTGCCGAAAATATATAGAATATACTCGTAAAGACTTTCTTCTGACTATTTATTGACATAGACACCGGTAATATGACCAAGTTAACAACAGCGTACTATTTGTTTCTTCTCTTAGCCGTTCAGCCAATTGGATACAACAAGTGAAGCCATGTCCTTCTGCAGCTGATCTTTCCAATTGAGTGGAGGTCTTCCTTTGCTAAAACACTCACATGCCTGGTAGACGGATTTCTAGTGTCATCCAAAGAATTCTCAAAAAAAAAGCGCACTCGCAAGTTTGCAATGTTACCATATCTTGTTCGCTGAGTAACCTTCCTCATGCACGACATTTTTTATTAACCTACAGAGCTTCTCAATGCATCTTTTCTGACCATATTTCGAGTTGAGAATGACGGAATCGTCCGTTGTTCCCGCTGAGAGTTATAATATCGCATTTGTTAAATTTCGACATTTATTTTTTATTTTACGAAGAAATATACCAGAGAATAGAAACAAATAGCAATCGGCACCAAAGATGACAAGATACGAAACTTACTCAAAATCACTCATCCCCATCTCACATTCTAATGTTGGCAGCAGTGTCAGATCGGGGAACTTTCGCATCTGATGTGCAAAACGCATCAGTGCCACTATGTCAATAAAAAAACCCATTATTTTTGTTTCATAAGAAATTTGATTCAGCAGTAAATATTAAAGAAATTATTGTAATTATATTATGAAAACTTAATATAATTAAATATTGAATTGTTTCTTAATAAAATATTTTAGTGAAATTGCAATTAAAGACGCCGTTGTTTGTAATAAAATACCCAAAATATACCTAAAAATCCAAAGAAATCTTTTTTCTATCACAGTGGCACTGTTCAGAAATGTTATAAAAAATGCGGATTTTTGAGCGTTCTCACGGAAGAAAGAGTTTCGTATCTAGTCATCATTGTCGGCACGCCCCGATCCTTCTCTTTAAAATACATTCTCTGAATATATCACTTCCTTTCTTGAAAAAACATTTCTACTGACGTTTAATTTTTATTCTTCTTCTAACACATGCCTCATTCACAATAAACAACTTTCAGAGTTGTTTTCGCGAATTTAAACTGATTGCGATTTGCAATGACAGTTAATTAAATAAAATTAAAGCATTTTGAACGTATATTCTAACCTTTTTCTCACTCTGTATTATGTGGCAGTGTGTATTCTTATATATTTTTTTTAAACTGGGCGGTATTGCAATACTAGGCAAGCCCGTGACAAAGATAGAACAGGCCCATAAAAAATTTCATCCATTGCTCGTACGGAGGATGTATTAGATGTAAATCTGATAACAACAGATACTACACTTTGATTTTAGGCATAAGGAGGAGAAGCGATCGGTTCCAACTAACTTGTTATATTATGGACTTCTCTAATATCTTTTATTTTCTACTTACTTTTTCCTCATTTCTCTAGTTTGATTAATGAAGCCAAGCAACCAACAAAATTTTCCATTTAATTTCACTCCTTTTACTAAACAAGCGATGAGTTTAAGGTTTTGATAAAAATTAATTTGGGCTTGGTTTTGCGGTTTTATTCGTCACCTTACCAAATGTTGGCCTACCTACTTTCATATATAAGCTTTGCTGTTCTAAGCATATGCATATACATATATATATACATACATATTTTTTTGTGAAGGTTAAAGCTTTGGTTTCCTGCACTCTCCGGTAGAATTGACTTTATTGTAAACAAAACCTAAACTCAAGTTCAATTTTGCGCAAATGAAAATCGAGATGCTTGTACTTCGAGCATAATTTCCTTCAAGTGAAGAAAAGAAAACAGCTTAGAATCGATTATTAAAAACATATGTTTTTATGTATGATATGTACATACTATGTACAATAGTAACTTGAGGAAGCTACAGAAAAAACCTAAACACTTTAAAACAATTTTAATTTATTAATTTTTTATAGTTATTGTTTATATTGATATATTTTTCTTATTAATCATAATAATTATTTTTATATAAAAATTTTTCTCACGTTTCAAATATGTTTTATACATATGTACATACGTACAACAGTTTTGCACTCGTTCATACAAGCCTCCATATTTTTATTTTATTCTTTTTTTTTGCCGCTGATTCAATTTATTCGTTCTAGTATTTTAACGAACCAGTTTCTGTGTTTTGTTCTAAACGGATGAAAACTTGCGCTCAGCCGCAGTCTCAGCCATGCCGGTAATCGTTGATGATGACAAATCAAAAATTTAGCTTAACTTTGTAGCTCTGTTCTTGATATGTATGTAGATACATATCTACTTGTACATAGATAAACAAACAAATGACGACTTATGAGCGGGTAAATACCGATTCAGGAAAGCACGCACACATATACACACACGCCGCAGAGCACACGTTGTTCTTTCGAATCGCGACTTGTGCTTTTTTGAAAAGTTGCTGCTCTATGTATATACATATGTACATATGTCTGAACATGTAGGTACGAGTACATACATAGGTATGAAAAAGTAAACAAAATGCTGATATTATTGATGTTATGATTATTGGATTTTTTATTAATTTTTTTTAGTTTTTTTTTTTTTAATTCCATTAAAGGCGACCAGTTTTTAGCAAAAAACAAAACAAAAAAACGTTTTTTTTTAACGAGACTGCACTCAAGTTCAAAGGCTTATTCAACTATTTAAACAATGAACCTATGCACATACATACTCATACGTAGGTAGAGGCTGAAGCACACACGCCACTTCAAAAGTGTATATGCATATGTGCTTTGAAATGTTCAAAAGCCCATTAAATAGCGTTATCATTTATATAAATTAATTTATTATTTATAAACAATCAAGCACTGAACGGAAAAGCGGCGTATTTGCGACACCCCGAAATATGAGCATACAAAAGTAACATAGAAACATAGAATTTGTTGGATTTTTGCTCAAAAATTTCATATCTAAAGAAGGCGGTTGTATGGAGGCGTATATGGTATAATCCTCTAACCAAGTGAACTTTATACCCCTGTTCATTGTAAGGTGGAGTTCTTTCCCAAAAAAAAAAAAAAAGAAATATATGATATGTACATATGTACATTGTATATACAAGAAATAAGGAAAAATAAAAATAAAAGAAAAAAAAAAATAAATAGATAAATTAAATAAAAAGATCTCACAGAGATGTCCTCAATGAAGCTCTTCGTTTCAGTCCTTCCACGCAGTTACTCGCACTTTGCTTTGGAACACATGTGAGAAATGGAAATTTATTTCGTACAATAACAAGTAGTAAATATTAAGCACGTGTTTGGGCTCACCATCATCTTCAGATTCTAAGCTAGACACTTGTCTGTTTAGAATGTGAAGTGGGAAAGAAGAAGAATGTTAGACAACATTAAAACGCGTATATGGAAATGTATGTAAGGCGGGCGCGTATATTTGTATACATGTATGCTAAAAATAAATGATAGATACATATTCAAAACACGATTTTTGATCAATGGAGCTTTGAATGAGCTGGTCACCTTAAAGTTGTCAGTATGTGTTATGCATAACCATATGCATGTACATAGATATAAATATATCTGATGTGAGGTATTGGCAAAAATAATAATCAATGTTTGTATGTATTTAAACTTGGAATTTTCAAGTTCAAGGTCAAATATAACTATGCATATGTTTGTGTATACAAATCCCTTCTGATAAAATGTAGAGAAACTGCGAACTGATATTCTTTAGAAATTTACTTCGTAAAATTTGTTTAAATAAATATTAATTGTTCTACGTTAAAAAATATAATAAAATATTTATTTATATGTATTTATATTATTTATATAGGTAGGCGCATATGTGTACAACAGCATCATTGCAATAAATATACGGCAAAATTGATGGCAAAATTTGTTGTAAAATTGTTTTACATCGCCATAAGAAATGTCTAAAAATAAACATAGAAAGTCGTATTAAAAATTTTGAGAAAAATCACAAATCTGCGACCATGAAATTTATCAAATTTATTTTAATTTATTTATTATTATATGTAATTTATATAATTTCTATTTTTACTAAATAGAGCAATTTAACTCTAATGATAACCATGTAAGCAAGATACGATGTGAATGCAATTTAACTAAAGTCAAACGAATTTCAAATATTTTTTACATATTATATTTGGTGCGAAAATGCGCAATTTTATTGTTATTAGAGTCAGTTGGCGATTCGACTCATAGAAGTTTGCAATTAATTTTGTACTAAACAAATTGCGAGAGTGTAAACATATTATAAGAATATCGGTTATTTTAAACATCTCATAAGAATATTGGTTATCGATATCGATTCAAAGCCTACATTTCTTAAGTCAAAAGTAATCCATTATTTTTGCAATAGATGGCTGAAGTGCCATTGGATTACGCTAGAGGCTATTATAAAGATGATATTTTGTATTAAATAAGATAAAGGGAGAAGTGTTGCGAAAACGCTATTCAGGCAGCTGAAAAAGTGATTGTCCTCATACTGTAGTGGTCCTCATACTGTAAAAGTCAATAATGCACAATGCTCCACGAGCGATGTTTCGTTTGATCAGTAGCTAAATATAGCACAGAGAACAGTTTGGAACCACTTGAAAAGTGCTGGATACACAAATGATCTTCAGTGTAGGGGTGTTACATGAGATAAAGGAAAAAAAATCAATCCATTTCTGAAGCGAATGGTGACTGGTGATGAAAACGGTCTTGGTCGAAGGGCAGTGAGTCGGCACAAACGGTGTCCAAGTCAGGATCGGTGATCAGGAAGGTTTTGTTGTGTGTTTGGTGGGAAGCAAACGACCCATCTTTGGCTTATCGGAGAGAAATTGTGTTTCATCAGCACACTGCATCCCCTTTATAGTCCATGTAATTACCATATGATTTGAAAAAAAAAAAACTGTAATCGAAAATGATTTATGTGTTTTTTACCCGCTTCACACGGGTCTTAACCAGGAGTTGTCGAATAGTTTTCTCTATATCGACAAAGCGTGTGAGTGGCTCTCATTAATTACATTTTCAATCTACTTAATCAAGTCGGGGAAGTGTTCTCGCTGTAAACTTAGTATGCTCCAACCATTGGTCCCCTTAGCGCCTTCCTAATTCCTACATGAGAATACCCTTTTTTGAAACCTTCTGTAAGTCGTAAAACTCTCAAACATGTCCTCGCTTTTTTCGATAATGGCCGTAATGTTGTGGAAGCGAGATAATTTTTCACAGGAATTTAGTATAACAATTTCTCTGACGCCAGCTTGCAGGGCTTGATATTACAACAGTACTTTTAAACTGAGTTCATCATAAGTGCGCAGTCGAAAACCGCTTAACCGTTAACCGTTTGTTGTATTTGCAACTATCTATTATTATCTATTTTCAGCAGCTCTCTTGGGCTTGCTTTTCGGAGTTGGCTGTATAAAGACGAGTGCATATTCGTCTGCGAGAGTCGTTAATAGGACCTCGGAGCATGCACTGGAGACCAAATGAACAATTTGATTAGAATATTTTTAATCCGCATTCTTATAGCTTGATTATTTTTCTTTTTCTTAAATATTTTACTACAGACAACCTTGTATAATTCGTGTCCCGGCGAAGTGGAACTGCCTCAGCCGGTTCCCTTCCACCTTAGGTTAATATTTCAAATCTTCGTAGCCCTTTCTTCACTTCAATTACTTATTGCTTTATTTTAAACTGTTCATACATTAATAACACACGATTTTCTTCCTTTTCCAGTATGAACCCCATATTCCCGCCGAGCTTCTCACAACCGGTTCAGCCACCTCAGTGCAAATCTGTACAATTAGCCCATCAGCTTATGGACAGCACCACCATGGCCACACAATTTAGTCGCCGCTTCGAACAGCTATTACACTCCGAGAAATTCTACGACTGTGTTTTCCACATTGCCGGCGGGGCACAGCTGAAGTGTCATAAATTAATATTGTCCACAGCGAGCCCAGTATTCGAAGCCATGTTCTATGGACCATTGCGCGAGCAACAACAAGAAATCGAAATACTCGATATAAGCGCTGAGATATTTCAAATGCTACTAAATTACATATACGCCGGTACCATTGACTTTGAGCTGCTCTCACTGGAAGAGGCTATCGAGCTTTACTATTGTGCTGAGAAATATTTAGTTGCAGATTTGTCGCAGAGTTGCCTGCTGGCGATAGCACGTAAGCTGCGCTACACTAATATACTACCCGCTTTGGAGCTTTGCGTATGCATGGAATTGCGTGATTTGTTGGAAGTGTGTATGTCATTTTTCACGCGCTGCTGTCTGAATAATCCGCAATATATGACGTCACACAAGCGTCACTATGTACATGTTTCCAAGGAGTGCATAAAGGCAATAATAGCGGCAAATAAAGGAGAGAAGACAAGCAAACAGCTGCTCTGGTTCGTCTATGAATGGTGTCAGCAGGAATGCCACGAGCTCGGTCTACAGCAGGAGGACTGCGCATTGATTATCAGCGATCTACAATTACCAACAGCTGGCGATGTGGAGTGCGACTACAAAGCACTCAAAGCACAACGCGAACAATGCAACTCAATCGAACGGAGTTATTTCAAAGCATGCCGTCCCTTTACCATAGATCAGGATAACTACACATGGACCGTATATGTAAAGTGTAATCGCTTTATAGCTCTACGTGGACTTATTATATGTAGTCGTCTTACACCGAATCTATCACCACCACTGGCGCACTATGCGCTCAACGCCCAGCCCAGCGAGTACAGCGAAAATTTACAAATTGAAATCTTAGCACCCGCGCGTAATGCCAACGATGATCAACAACAGCCGCAGCACGCCGTCGATGGTAGTGATGGTGAAAGTGAAGAAAGCGATCAAGAAGCCAATGCCGAGACTGTTATTTGGCAACATAAAGTTACAAAACAACCGACAAGATATAATTGTGATATGAATATCGAGTGGGGAGATGGTCTGATGATAACACCCGATATTGAGTATAAAATCAGGCTGATATGGCGTACAGATGCATTTGGTTCTGAGTATCCGTGTAGTTTGCAATCCTTCCTGGTGGATGGCATACGCTTTAGAGATGTGCCATTGCAAGCGGGCAGCTTAGTGAAGGGTTTAAAATTTACAAATTTAGTTGAATAAGTAATAGCTTAGTAGATACATAAATATATGTATTTATGTACATGTATGTATGTCGAGTGAAGAGCAAGCACTCGTTAATGCTGTTTTTTTCTGTTCGGGTGATAAGATAGCAATGAAAATTACTAAGTTTTAGCAAGAAGAGGAGAGTATAGTCTTTGGTCAATCCATTCTGAGCAAAATTACATCATTTGAAACAATACTGGCGCACGATAGTAATGTAGAAAGAACGAAGTGATCACCCAGTATTGGTGCAAAGCATCTCATCAATCGGAGTTCAAATACGGCATATGAAAAAAAAAACATTAATAAAATTAAAGTGCATATAAAGTCGAGTTTCGTGCATTGATAATTCTTTAATTTTAAATTTTTTTTTTGCACAACAAATGAATTTTTAGGTATTCAAAATTGTACGAGATTCTTCAAAATTTCTGTAAAGAAAAGAAGTAAAAATATTAAGCTGCCTTTATACGGGACGATTTCTATCGACAGGCAAATCAGATAAATAAATCGACTGGAGAACTTACACCAAGGCTGCATCGTAACTATAAATTTTTTTGTGTTAATCTAAACATTTTTATCGTTTCGGTTGAAACATTTGGAAATATTAACGTTAAGACAGTTATCAAAATAAATTTCTTTTCATTTTTACTGGAAACGAAAAGCTGTCGTTAATGTTAAATAGATAGAACAGATAATGCTAACAGGCCTATTCTCACTGTTACCGGTAAAGTAAATCTCGTTACTTTTCAATGTTTGAAAAAAATTTGGCAGCACTGGCACATTGAAATGGAAGACGGTGCACAAAAAAATTATAAAGTTTTATTAATTTATTTATTAAATCATAAATATTTGAACCTAATTACGGAAAATATGCCTGGACAACAAAAAAAAAGCTGTATGAAAACGATATCTTACAAATTAAAGCGGCTATTTTTTGTCTCGAAAACTTTTTAAAATACGACTTTTTGCACTTTTTCCTTCATCTTCAATGAATTCCAGGCCTAAAATATGCCTACCCATTTTGGTTTTTTATTTTTTCTCAAACTCACAACACAAAATCAAACAGCAGATATTTTTGTTACCTCCTATTTCGCTGGTAACAAAATTTACAGGGTAACAGTGAGCTCAGAATACGAAATGGTAACAAAATTTACCGAATGGCAAATTTTAATATCTAGGTAAATTTTGTTATCCCGACAGAATAGGCCTGTAAGAGTGCTGTTAAATCATAGCAGGCAGCCATTTTGAAATTAACGTTAACAATTTCATTTTGTTGAATTGATTTTTCTTGTAAACGAAACGGAATAATATCGTTGCGTTTGTTGAGCATTTCTGATATATACACAGGGCGACAAAAATCGCATGCTGAAAGTGAATTATTTACTTAAAAATATGTGAGAAATGGCAATTTAATTGTCGCCGTGAATGATATTCGGAATTACATACATACATACATACATATAATACATAAATATGTACTTATATAAGTATATGGGCGATCATCAATTGCCTACTAACTGTAATTTTTCGGTTTTTTTCGGTTGCCACTAATTTGATTGCGTGTTTTTATGTGTGGCTAATTTGACTTCTTAACATAATCATTTGTAAAATCGCTAAGAGAATCTGAAGAGAAGAGAAAGAGAAAAGTGGATCTTTTTAATTTTCTAGTCACTTCATCTCCATTTAATTTTAAAATATCAATGATATTGCGATCAGCACTTGCTTCCGTACAAATAATATTTTAACTGTCAAAGCGAAAATCTGACAGTTGATGTATGTTTCAAGCAATAGCTCACGTAAAAAAATTCCCTACTTCAATCAAATTGGTGTCTCGACATCCAAATTGCTGGAGTATGGCAATTGCAAGCAATCAAAAGTGGAGTGTCAAAACGTTAAATTATCAAACCGAATATAAAAAGATTTCAGTGTTGCTCGGATTAAATTTTAATTTTTATCAACTATCGACTATAATTGTTTGAATTAAAAATGCAAATATCGATTTTTGTTGAACAATCAAAGTCGATTGGAGAATCGGCCAGTGTGAACGTAGTTGTTTTTTCTACGCTTTTAGGAACTCAAAATTTATATTTTTCTATTGAAAGTTTATAAATATGTATGTGCGTGAACCAAACTAAAACTTTCAAGATTAAAAATTGTATTGAATACCAATTTGCAACTCTTTTCTTTAACCATATTCATCAAAAAAATAATAATAATATTTAAGCCCAGTTGTTTTAAGGTAAAAATTAAATAAATGAAGAGAAGAATAATAACAGCTCAATGCGCTCATTTTGGCTCTCCACTCTATTGAATGTAGATTTGTGTGCAAAGCTACGCCTCTATGATTAATTAGAATTTTTTTCTTTTTTCTTTATAAAAACTTGAAAAAGATTTAACAATTATATATGTTACTTTAATTTATATTCGCTTAAACAAAACAAAATATTTTTACTTAATTCAAAATAATAACAACAAATGTGTGATTTTGTGCAAGGTATTTAGAAAATTTGTCAGGTCAATAAACCATAAAATTTTTGTACAAAAATAAAAATTCCGATTAATTTCTTTTTTAAATATGTCCGCAAATGTTAATATGTGTACATGCATATATATGTACATACTACTAATTGTATATGAACAAACTTGTGTTTGTTTGTTCATTTTTTTTTGTTGTTTATTAAAATTTCAGCTCATTAAACAGAATTCAACTTTTTCACATGACTAAAAACCCGTTTTGTTATATTCAAAATTTTTAGTCTGCGATGCTCTTTCATCAATCATGCAAATTTATGTATGCTTGTATATGTGGTGTATTTTGTCTACTTTCACCAAATAAATTTCTAATTTCGAATTTCTCCAATGAACGCGCTCATAAAAATTTGTTAGGCTGCTTGATTGGTGAAAATGCATACGTCGAGAGGGGGAAAAAAGCCTGATGTAATAAAATTGGTCCAGTTCGGTGTGCTGATGGGGAGTAACAATTGTGAGCAATTTTTACTGAACTGCGGTAAGGCAAAAAAAAAAAAAAAAAAAAAAAAAAAAAAAAAAAAGCTAGCTGACATTTCTCACTGAGCAGAGCTTATATTTCATAATTAATAGGGTCGCTATGAGACACTTCTCATTTGTTGTTACTTTTCCTTCTTGATGTGCGCGCATTGGACTTAAGGTGTTAACTGGTGAACGTTTCCTTAATGTTAAAAAAAATGTAAACTGATCGTCCGGATATACACATACACTTCGCATACATTTTTAGATGCAGCTGTTCTGAGCATAGTGAAAATATTAAAAGTTCTGCGAGTATTCCAAATAGGAAACGGAAGAGATATTTGCGCTGAAAACTATGCAATAATTTTGTAAATAACTACAGCGGCTGAAAAATTCATGTAATTGTTAAATTTTTATTTCTTCTCTGTATTAGTTTATTATCGATAATTGAATATAGAAAATGTTCTAATTTTTCGTGTCATACAAATGGCGTTTTTTTTAATCATTGAAGCGTCTTTTCGGATAAGTTCATCCTAGAGTTTGTCGTGCGCGTCATGATGTTTACCCCACAAAAAATAAAATAAATGTTATGCATTTTAACTTTAAAATACAACTTCTTTACGCTTGCTTGCTGTAATGCTTAACACGAAAGCATTACGTTCGAGCGGGGCGTACGGAAGTGCCCTGCGATACTGCATTTCTTAGAATAGTAAAACACCTAATCGAAATTGTTGTACAATTCTATTAACCAGCAGTGTATATCCGTTAAAAGAAGACGGCTGCAAAGCCAACAGAACATATTTACATACCATGTCTGCAAGCATAAAGTATGTATGTATGTAAATACATACAGTGGCTCAATAAAGAACTCGGACATATATTCCACTGTTATTAACATGCAACTTCAATATAAATTTTTTTCAACCAATTGATATTAAGCATTTTTGTATTTTATGTTTCTATAGGGTATCCCATAAGGATTTAAAAAATACCGATAACAAACAAATTAAATAGTTTATAGGACTCCTATAACCTTACTTCAAAAAATTAACATGCGTCATGCTAGAAATTTCGTCAAAAAAGAAGTCGGACATTTGGTAATATTACAGTTGCTTGGCATTTTAAACAGGGGAATCCCACAATTAATTTTAGTATTTTTTTTTGGAAAAATAGGTGAAATTTACAAACATGGGTACACAGCGTGGATAAAGTTCAATTGAAGTAAGGATTTTGAAATAGGAAAAACCATTCGGGAAATCACAATGTGAGCAGACCCCGCTCGACTGTGCATGACGTGATTAAACGATTCATACAAACAAAATCCGTGGAAAACAAAAAGAAGTCTGGACGACCGAAGTTGTTTTCGGCTGCAGATGAGCGGTGGATAGTGCAGAAAATCAATATAAATTGTAATCCGGAGAGTATCCGAATAGTCTTACGAAAAAATAATTATAATGGAAGAGTAGCCCGGTAGAAACCATTTATAAACGAGGTTAACCGAAACAAAAGGATAAAATTTGCGAAATGTCATGGGGATAAGGGTTTTCAATTCTGGAAACAAGTTTTATTTGCAGATGAAAGCAAATTTAATATATTTAGGTCAGATGGATGTTTTGAGAAAACCGCATGAAGAGTTGCTAGAAAAGAATTTAAGTCCGACTGTTTAACACGGAGGCTGCTCAGTAGTTATATGGGGTTGTATGTCCGCAGCTGGTACTGGAAATTTGTGTTTCATAAATGGTAATATGGACCACAAGCAATATCTGAACATTTTAAAAGAAAATTTAGTGCAAAGTGCGGAAAAGTTGGGAATCAAAGACAATTCCCAGTACTACCAGGACAACGATCCCAAGCATAAAGCACTTGATGTCTGTCTATGATTCATGTATAACTGTCCTAAAGTGCTTGAAACACCTCCTCCATCTCCCGACATTAACGTAATTGAACATCTGTGGGCTCATTTGGAAAAGAAACTATAAAGGCATGTTATTAGAAATAAGAAAGACCTAGAAAATAAATAAATTCTTTAACATGCAAGAATCTAGTTGAATCTTTGCCAAGAAGACTGAATGCTATCAGAAAAAGAAAAGACTTGCCGACCGAGTATTAAGAATATTTTGTTTCTCTTTAAATAATATTTTTAAATTCTATGTTATGTGTATGCCCGAGTTCTTTATTGTCATAAGTTTTGTTAAGCTGTTATGTTCATATTATTTTTATACGACCGAGTTGAATTTAGTTTATGGCTTAGGTTGTTTTGAAAAATAATCTTAAAGAATAGAAATATATGTTAAACAGAAAGCCCTCGATTTGCATTTTATTATATATTTTTTTGTTTTAAGTCATATAACTTGTGTGTCCGAGTTCATTTTTGAGCCACTGTATGTTCATATACACATACATACATACACATATAAATGGATAGGAAGTATGTACGTACATTTGCGCACCGGAATTTTTAGCCGTGCGGTTAGGAAGTATGTACTGGTGAAGGGTCAAAAATTTCACCTATAAATTGCACCAAATACATTCGTCAAAAACCATAAGTATATATATGTAGGAACTTTGGGAAACCAAATAAATTAAATGCATTGCTTCGCTGGTGACCATTACACGGTGATATTTCTCTAAGTTGATTTAACAAACTTACCGCCCACACTATTTATATAAATGTCTCCAATAAGCAATACACACTCACACAATGTACATATGTAAATGCAATGTGATAAATTATAAATAAATTAACAAAATATACGAAAACAAATTAAAAACTAATTGCACTTCCGCGTTTATACGTAAATGTAATCAAATGTCATCAGCTGTTCGTTGCAGCCAGTGTTGTGCAAAAAATAAAAAATGTTCACATTTGGCAGGATTTTAAAATGCAACTTTGCATATTCAGGTAATTCTGTAATGGGTATTAATCTATTTTGACGTTTTTTTTTTTTTGGTTTGACTTTTAAATTACCAACTTCTACTTGTAGCTTTTGCTAATTACATAAAAACTAATCAATGCTTTTGTACAAGTTTTTTTGGAGAAATAATAATGCATATTTTTCATTTTTCCACAATGATACGTGGATGCAAACCTTTTTAAAATTTTATTTAAATATTACAAGCATACATAAAAAGTTGAACGAGTAATCTGCTAGAAAGTAAAACAAATATCATTAACAGCTAGATATAAAGCAGTCTAATAGAAATTATAAATTAAATTATAAACAATTTATGCTTTCGGGATTTCAAATTCACTTGAAGGACGAAGTACAACTTTGCGCGTACGTAGGGAATAAGTGCGTTGATCTGTTAAATAGATATAGATATATATATAAATATATATTTAATAAATTAACAATATTAGCAATATGTATATTAACCTTCCGTGCTAGTTTGCAGATGCTGTTCTTCACTTTCGCACAACTCTTCATCATCCTCAATTGTAAATTTGAATTTCTTAACACTCAACTTTTCGTTGAAAATTACGTTCTTAGGTTTGCCCTTCGCCGTGCCAGGAGTTTTTAATATAGATTTGCGACCAATGTTTATTGCTGGTGTAGGAGATGGTGTTTTAATTGGTGTACGTTCTCTGGTAACTGCATGACGCTCCGAATCAATTGGTAACTCGATGAAACTTGGAGTATCACTACGTCGGCGTGCTTTATGCGCACTAACGGCTAATACGTTCCGCAGTAATTCGTTGCAACCACCAAAAGCTTTCTCCATACCATTAAGGCTGCGGCGTAACTCATTGCCACAAGCCCTAATGGACTTTGGTGATTCCACCACAATACGTGAAAGCCGCCTTTGGGCTGCAGCAGCTGCTGATATTGCTTGACTTTTCACAGGCAAACTGATAACCGTGGCGGCAGCTGATAGTGATTTACGATCACGTACCACCACGGAAATACAGCGTGGAGTACTTTGGCGTCGGTTCTCGTCAGCATAATTACCCACTTTCGGTGTGCCGCTTTGTGATCGTCGATGGCGTTGACGAGTTGGAGTTAAAATAATGGGCATATCCTTGCCTGCTTCAGCACTGTCATCTCTATTCTCTTTCTTTTTACGCATTTCAGCATGCATTTTACGTAACATTGCTTGCAGGCCAATACTGGCTTTTGCAGGAACCTTTGACTTTTTAACCTTATTCAAATTCGGCTTGGATTTCGGTTTATGTTGTTTGATTTCTTGGACATCATCAGGATCATTCCAATTATTGTCTTTCCAACGCGTTAAATTTTCAAAACGTTTCTCGACATTGTCAACCTGTTAAGTGGTAAAATGCATTATATGAGGAAATATAATAAATTTAGAGACGGTTTACCTGTAAATTCAACATGGACCAAAAGCCTTCCAAATCCACATCCGAAATTGGCTTCGTTGCCTCGCTGCCATCATCAACAGCTGCCGTGCCTCTGGCGCCATCTTCACAACGATCTATCAGTCCTTTGAACTGTTGAAACTTTTTACTAGTCAACAATTTAGTCTGACCAATGGTGACGTTTATCATATCTTCTCCCCCAGCTTTTTGTAGCAGCAGTAAATTTTCTTGTTTATATTTTTCCCATTGATCGCATAAAGCGTGTAAGCGGTCGATTTCATTCTGAAGTTGCTGGCGAAAATAGCGTACCGCTTCGAGAATTCTTCGGGCCTCAACGCTTCTTGGAGTAGCAACTGTTTTAGGAATTTCTGCTTTATCGGTGTTTACAGCGTTTAATATCGTCAAACTATCATCGGCGCTTGGTAAGTAAATGCTATCCCTCTTCTCGCGTTCTTTCCGCGCACTAACCTTTCCACGCGAAACGGAGACAAATGAACTAATATAGTTAACCGGACGTTCCTCTTCATTTGATTTTGGTGTCTCAAGTTGATCCAATTGCTTTTCAATTTTCATATTCTTACCTGCGTCAATATAAATTGAAATGATTTCATTTTTAGGCATAAAACAGAATTCAAAGTTTCAAATGTACCTTCATGTATAGATTTTTTCGGTTGCACTTCCAAAATTGTGTTTTGTTGGGTTTGGTTGTACGCAGTTGTTTCAACCGTTTCTTCCTTTGCTCCTACAGTGTTTACCTCTATTTGTTCATTTATGCCACTCATATCCGATTCAGGTCTTCCACACGAATATCGTATAAAATTGAATTTATGTTGCTCTGTTTGAAGTTTTGGCGATTTTTTAAGTCCGTTCTGTAGCAAAGCACGTTTTGCTGTAGTTGAACTATGTGCTCGGATATTCTTGTGAGTAACTGTTTCTGCGTTAGCATTACCCACTTCATTGTTAATTGGACTTATATTTGGCATTTTGGTTGTATGTGGTGAAAGTGATTTTATACGGGTTGATGTAACAAATGCCTCAAATGGATTGACGTTTAGCAAATCAGTTGGTGTTTCAGCGATTGCGAATGCTGTAGTTGCAGTACTCGCACGTTTACCTCCCAGTAATGTCTTTCCCTTAACTGTAATTTTACTAGGAGCGTTTGACCGGTTAAATGTAGAGGCTTGCACCTTTTTTGACTTGAAACTAGTGGCGAGTTTGGCGTGACACTGAAGATTTTGTCGCTCCTTTGCCTCGGCTAAAGTTCTTTTGCTCTGCAACAAATGAGCCTTTCCTACAGCACCACTACTACCCGCTGTGGTACTATTTTTTTCTGAGGTGCTGCTTTTTGCTGAATTCGTATTTGAATTTGTGCCAATCAGTTTGGGACGGGCTATTGGTTTACGAGTTATAGGTTGAGGACGGGCAAATTTCGCAACATTATTTACGCGATTCGAAATAGGATTCGCAACACTTTCTCCATTTTTATTAAGAGGAATTTTTTTTAAAGGGTTATTAAATGCGGCAGAATATGCAGGCCCTGTTTCTGACGGCTTGTTGCTAAGTGCGCCGTCACCCGGCGTCCTCGTATCAATATTTTTTATTGCTGATGGAATTTTCATAACTTTTGTACCATTCACATTGGACGATTTGGTCACAGCTTTCGTTGTAGTCGCTGGCGTCTTATTCGAATTGGAAATTACCGGAGTCTTGGTAAGGACCAGCGGTTTCTTCATATTAATGCTATTTTTTTGTTTATTTCTAGGTGGTGTTGGCACCACAGTATAAAATGATTTTCGATCATTGTTTATAACGCTTTTTGCAGCTGATGTCTATAATGAGGATTATGAAACATTGTAATTACATATTTAAGAAAAAACTTACCATCTTAGATAAAGTATTCTTTAATCCAGCTGGAGGTTTGAATGTATTATGATCCTTCGGCACAAATGTCGCTATTTCTTTGCATTTTACTTTACTCGTTTCCTTAGTAACCGGTCTTGCGCTATCGCCAAACGCATTACCGCCAGGACCGCCAGAGGACACAAAAGGTCGTTTTTTCGGTTCCAGTACCTGCTTCTTTAGTTTATGTGCTTCTTTCCATTGTATAAATCTTAAGAGGTAAGCTTCTTGGCGAGTTGATTTTTCAGAATTACCTTTTCCCGTCGCTACTAAAGCTATGCGGGATTTGTTAGCCTCGGTTTGATCTATAACTTTTGGTTCGTCACATTCCACAATTGGCTTGTATTCCTCAACTTTTTTATTTTCCTTGTTTTCAAACTCCAGTACATTTTGACTCTTTATACGATCAATGCACTCCTCAGCTGCAATGACCTTTTTTGGCGTTGGGCTAACGGAGATCCTACGGATATTTTCATAAATTTCTCTACGTTTTTTGGCGCGATTTGCATTTTGTAGTTCCCGATTTGTTTTACTGTGCTGTGATGGAGTTGAAATAGAAGAGTTTTCCTTGTAAAGACTACGATATCGATCCATTTTTATTATTTTCGCAGCTTTTATGCACAAAACTTAATACAAAAACGACTATTTTCTAATTTACTTCCAAATTGATATTCACTCAAAAGGATATAGTACAAAAATTTCAAACGCTTTGGGTATTTCCACTCACTGAACTGAAATTTCCCCGAGGGAATTATTTATATTGCCAGGCTAGAAATTAAATTATTGTGAATAACACTAGCTCCTAAAATATTAAGTCTACTTGAACAATTTATGTTCTTTTGGGTTAAAAATTATTTTCAAAATAACATTTTATTTTATTATTTATATTATTCTCATTCCCTATTGTTTAAAAAACAAGCCACTCGTTGATTTTAACGCTACAAATGCGTCTTCAATCGGGCGGATGTATCTGGAGCTGGGAATACTTTCTTTTAGAAGTTGAAAAATTCGGTATTAGGTCATATTTTGTCCGAAATAAACATAAACATAAGTCAGCTGTTCTTGCAGCACATCAACTCAAACAAAATGCTGCGAAGTTTACATATTAATAATCTTGTGAAAAAGTTGATTCCACGGCATCGGTACTATTCATCTCTGAAATCAGAAAATGGAGCAGCAAATGTTTACGACTGCATCATCATTGGTGGCGGTCATGCTGGGACAGAAGCATGTTCGGCATCGGCAAGAATGAATGCACACACACTACTAATAACACACAAGTTGGACACAATTGGTGAAATGTCATGTAACCCATCGTTTGGTGGAATTGGCAAAGGACATTTAATGCGCGAAGTCGATGCGTTAGATGGTTTATGTGCACGATGTTGTGATGTTTCTGGAGTACAATATAAGGTATTAAATAGGAGACGTGGACCTGCTGTGTGGGGACCTCGTGCACAAATCGACCGACTGTTGTACAAGAAAGCGGTGCAAAAGGAATTGTTTAATATGAAAAACTTAGAAATTCGATGTGCTGCGGTCGAGGATTTGCTTATTGAACCACACGTAGATGGTAGTGCCCAAATTTGCAAAGGAGTTGTACTGAAGAGCGGAGAAATAGTTTATGGGCGTACAGTAATCTTAACAACCGGCACATTTTTACGAGCCAATATCAACATTGGACTTGAAGTACGGCCTGCAGGACGAATTGGTGATGGACCGGCCATAGGTTTAGGGCAGTCACTGGAATCAATCGGTTTTCGAATGGGACGTTTAAAAACAGGTACGCCGCCACGTATTTCTAAAAACACAATAGCTTTTGAACGCTTGGCACGGCATTTGGGCGATAAACCACCAGTACCATTCTCTTTTATGAATGATCGAGTTTGGATTGAAGCTGACAAACAATTACCTTGTTATTTAACGCATACTACATTAAGAGTTAATGAAATTGTCAAACAGAATTTGCATGTAAATCGGCATGTGACGGAAGAAGTTACTGGTCCACGTTATTGCCCATCCATTGAATCGAAGGTTTTACGCTTTGGTGAAAAAGAACACCAAATATGGTTAGAACCGGAAGGTCTCGAAAGCGAACTTATCTATCCACAAGGATTGTCATGTACCCTGCCCTACGAAAAACAAGTAGAGCTGGTGCATAGCATACAAGGGTTGGAACAAGCAGTAGTTGTTCAACCTGGGTACGGTGTAGAATACGATTTTATAGATCCACGGGAACTTTTTCCAACCCTAGAAACGAAACGTGTTGGGCACCTCTTCTTTGCAGGCCAAATAAATGGCACTACCGGTTATGAGGAGGCAGCTGCACAAGGCATAATTGCAGGTGCGAATGCTGCTAGCAAAGCAAAGCATAAAATAGAAATCAAAGACACACCGCAGCTGACAATTAGTCGCACTGAAGGCTATATAGGTGTACTGATTGATGATCTAACTACCTTGGGTACTAATGAACCATATCGAATGTTTACCAGTCGAGCAGAGTTTCGTCTTTCATTACGTCCAGATAATGCCGATATGCGTCTAACGGAAAAAGGTTACAAGTTTGGCATGGTCTCCGCGGAACGCTATTCACGTTTTAAAGCGACAGAACAAAAGCTAAAACAAGCCATTGAACAACTAAAATCTCTCCAAAACCATTCCAATTATTGGCGTAGAAAGTTGGGCTTACGCGAGGCAAAAGCTTCAGTAGAAAAGACTGCTTTCGATATGTTGGGTATACCAGCTGACAACATTATGCTTAACCATTTGATTGAACTACGACCAGAAGAATTGGGTTGGCTACGCAATGAACCCGGTATCTGTGAACGTTTAAAGATTGAAGCTTTATATGCCTATTTTGTTGAAGAACAACAACGTGATGTAGCCGATGTACGACGCGATGAGGGACTAGTAATACCAGCAAATATTGATTACTTCGCCAAAACGTTGAGTCTCTCTAATGAGGAACGTCAAAAATTGTCACTAATACAGCCGCAGACGATAGCTGCAGCTAGTCGTATACAGGGTGTAACACCAGCGACCATTGTGCGATTGCTGAAATATGTAAAGCGACAGCAACAAGGAGCAGCACAGCTGATGGGTGCGTGAGAGGGTAAGGGCGGTGTAAATTGGCTACATAAAAAAGAATAATTTTTGTAATATTATTAGTAATATTAAATTTATTAAGGCTGTAATGTTGCAAAAAAAAAATATATTCATTTTTAAAATGAAATGGACGAATTTCTGTTTGTATTTACGATTCAACTATGTTCTAAAAGTAAATAGTCAGCCCTAAAAAGAAGGGGTGTCAAGTGGTCCTTACTACCAAAAACTGCTCATATATCCAATTGAGGTAGACACAATTTACGTTTTCTTTCATCTCCTGGGTAGTTACATTAAAAATAAATAACGACGTGCCATTAAGTGCTTAGTGCTTAGATAAATACTTTATTACTTGCAGTACACATACATATATTGATGGTTTTAATAATTATAATAAGGGCATAAAGTAAAAATCGAAAGTTGGAATTCCATATATGCATATGTATGTATATATTTTCAGTAAACTCTGCATGTACAATAATATATTTGAGAGATGTACATACACAACTAAAAAATTTACAATTGAAATAACAACAATATACATATTTAGGTACGTACTATATGATTTCTTTTACATGTGTTCTTTTATAAATATATGCATTACACGTTCGTAACTAGACAAGCACTATACATATACATATATGTAGGTACATTTGCATTAAATCATTTCGTATTTATGGATTATGCGTGTATTTGTATAATTTACCATACGCCATACAAACATATTAATCAATGTATAATGTCTCTAAAAATTCTGTCTAATTATTTTTCTTTTTGTTTTGCATTTTTCTCATTACTGCTATTACACATAATCATAAAAAACAACTATTAAACAATTGCAATTGCAAAAAATAAATTATTGCCACATGCACGAGGCACACAATCGCTTCTTTCGTGGTGCACATAAATCCGTTATTTATGTTTAAATTTGATTTCAAATGTTTGAGGTTAGCTTAATAAACAATTCTTATATATTCTCGAATTTGAAATATTTTGATTAATTTGAAGGAAAGTGTAGTACATAATAAATAGTATTTCTTTTAAATTTTTTTAATTTATATTTTTTTAATGTAACTTTTTTTTTTTAGAAATGCATTTAATTAGTGAAATACAGTAAATAAACACAGAAAGTAGGTTGATAAATCTTGAAGATAAGCTTCTATAATTTCGTTGTAATTGTTCAATTCTCTTGATCTGTTATTGATATAATGCTTTTAAATTTATTTTTAAGTTTTCTTGTAAATAGCCTTTTTTTATTCTGAATTTTTATAATGGAATGGAATTTTGCATTTTTTTTAAAGATTTTAAAAGTTAATGTTAATTCTTCGTATTTTTATTAATCGTTTTATAATATATTTATATGTTTATGTGTTATCGCAAATTATTGATTATAAATTGAACTGTCTTGCTTATTTAAGCGTTTATTTTTATAAAATTTTATCAAAAAGCATTTAAGAAATAATATTAAAAATAGATAAATAATAGTCAAAATATACATAAAGTATTTAATTATATCATCATATTCTCTTCTTCATAATTGACACATTTATCGCACCATTTATAAAGATTACAGGCGCGCTTGCAAAGCATAGTATTTTAATTGAACTTGTTCAATAAAAAAAAAACCAATTGAGCTTCTTGAGGCTTAAAAAAAGAATTTTGAATTTTAAGTCTTTTTTTTTTAATAGATTTATATCAAGTCAACATAAGTTAACTTTTAGTTTATTTGTTCCTTATTTAATTGCAAACGTGCTGCCATAACTGATTAATTGACTTTAGGCGCGCAACAGTTAGATTGATTTTTTACTTAAATATCAAAAAAGTGGATTTCTACAAATCGAACGAAGTAATTCAAAAATTATAAATCTCTAGAAAATGGAAAAACAAAAGGGAAACGTTTATTTGGAAAAATGTGCAAAAAATAATAAAAATAAATTGAAAAAAAAAACAACAGTTTTTTTTAGTGTTTTTCATAAACAATTAAATACATAACAAATATTAAGTTAATAAAAAATGATAATTTACACAAAAAACAGTAGTAAACAAGTGTACATAGTTGACATCCGCAAAAACTATAATTGAAAAAAGCAGAACTAGTAAAAAAGGTATGCAAATTTTTTAATTATAATTAAATGGCTATACGTCTATGAGCATATACATATTTTTATAAAGATATTTTACTCAAATATTACGTATTTTACGTATTGGAATGTAATAATGACATTGGAAAGTTATGTTTTTTTTTACACATTTTCTTGGTGTTAAAGTACAAACTGTCTTTTAGGACTAAACTTTCTTTTTTGAATTATTTAAGCAGGAATAACAGTCAATATATATGTAAATATTTATTATATTTAATTTTTTTTTTTCGTTTAAAAATTTTTTTTTTACTTTTTTTTTTCAATTTTTCTTACAAATGTAGTATTATTTTTATGCGAAAAATCTCGGCGTTAAATACTGATGTGTGTTTGTTAAAATAAAAACAAATACTAATGCAGGAAGACACATAATTAAAAAGAAAAAGAAATAAATATAATAAAAAATAGAATAGAATTTACTTCAAGTAAATAATTTCACATTTAGGAAATTTCGTGTGATCAAAAAAAAAGCGCTGAAAAAGTTAAAAAATTAAAATTTTTATATTATTTAAAATGTGTTTGAAAGAATATGGTGTATTATGATTATCATGCCTTTTTACTACATATACATATGTAGTCGTATAGGAGTTAGTAGTTTAGCTTTACTACATTATTGTATTTCTTTTTACACTTTTTTTTTACTGGCAAATCGCTTAATTTCTTCAATCAAATCTCACTACTAGGTATTCAAGATTTCGTTTTTTAACGCTTGATGCTTGATTGTAATGTAAATAATATTTATAATATATTCTCAACAAATTTTTATACGTTTTTTAGGGTCAGCGATTTTATTGTTTATATATATATATGTATATTTTTTATTTTTCTACCATTAATTTTCATTATTGTACTTTTGCATTTCTAGTTTATTTTATATTATTCTTCTTCTTCCATCTATATTTTCTAGCACTGTCATATTTTTCCAGCTACATGTACTGTTATTTTTATTTTATTAAGTAATCAAGCAAATTTCTTACAAATTTTATCTTCACCATGCATACGTACTGACAAATAAATCTAAGTATGGCTATAAATTAAATTAACATATGAGCATTTAAGGATATTTATAATCATTGCAACCGTTTTTTTTTTTCAAAAATTTGTATATGCAACGGTTAACAGTTTTTCAACTTTTACATATTATTTTGTTGATATTTGCTAAAGTGCAATTTTTTTCTTTGCGATTTATTTAAAAAGCATTATTGCCTGTATATGTGTCGTGCTCATCATCATCGAGCATTTCGAGAAAAGCACGTGGTACTAGCCCCTTCAATAGACCTTGCTTACCATACATGTAATCCGGATTTACTGGTGAGCATTCGGTAACGAAAATTACCTACAAAATTGATTGTGTAAAGTCTTTATTTTGTATTTAAATATATGCGACTAACCTCATTGGCATTCAAATTCAATTCCGTATGATCTTTTGCATCATAAGCGCATAGCACACGTGCCCGATGCAGCTGATCAGCATTTAGCACAGGATTGGCCGATCTTTTCGCGCCGCTGCTACCGCCCAAACCGGCGCCACCGCTGCCACTGCCACTAGCAACGCCTGGATTAAGTCCAATACCAGCAGCGGCATTGTGATTGCCACTAACATCATCACCGTCGTTGTAAATATCGATTGGTACGTATGGAGTCGGGCCTCCCAAACTACACAAAATGATATATATATACATACATATGTAATATGAGAATATGTGATAGATTTCTTGTTTTTGTTTTGAAGGATAAAAAACTAACGTAACGCCATAATATTGTGTTTCTAATTTATTTATTATTATTCGTTGACTAAGTTACTACTATTTTTATTGGTTTGCATTATATTGATGAGTGCATAAGTTCGTGCCCGATTCCGCTGGATGCCGTTCAAATCGTTTGAGAGTGTCGCTCGTGAAAGAAATATATACATATTATATATCGTTGGAAAGGTGACAGTCCGAACTGTAAATCAAGCATAAAATAACTTCATTTTGNGCATAACATATTATTTTGCTCCTTATAAGTCGGAAAATTAAGATTAAACAAAATGTATTTATAAGCGCGAACTATGTATAAATATATATATTCTATATACTATACATTTTAATAACAAATATTTTTTGGCTGAATTTTCAACATTAATATTTTGACTTTATAGTAAATATAAGCATAATTGGTTGGTCTTTTTATGTAACCTTTATACCGGTTTATTTAATTTAGTGTTTGTAGCCTGTCTTATGAAATTCAAAGTGTTTAATAAACAACAACATTAGTAATTTGTATAGTAAGTATTTTATATAAGTTGTCACTGGAAGATTTGATTTGTGTTTTTTTTTTTTAATTTTTGAAAAAGCGTAGTAATTGGGATTTGAATAAGAATGTGAAGTGTTTTCTTTTACTGTTTTTTTTTTGCCTTTTTTAACCAATGAAATAGCAAAGCTTTTTTAATAAATTTTTTATAATTTGAAGAAATGTGCAGCTCTTTAAAACATCGGTTATATTATTAATTTGTTCAAATTATTCCGTCTTCATTTTACCATTTATTGATTGATTTTTTTAACTTTTCTCTCCATTTGCTTGACAAAATTTAATTCATTTAACATCACTTAAGGTACATTGTAATAAAAATACAACCATTCATATCGATATACCGCACACACAAGTAGTTTTACACATACTCGTATACATAAATATCCTCTCCATTAATTGTTTACCATACCTAAACCGATGTTATTGCACTAGTATCGAATTCAATATCATATTGTTCTAAAATTTGCGTTGTTGCAAATGGATTTGTATTATTTAATTGATTATTTGAGGTATAATTGGTATTATTTTGGTTTTGATTTTGACTTTGGCTGTCATGAATATCAACGCTTTCAACGTTATTTATATCAATTGAGTGGAAATTTGGTAAATCTTCATTATCATCAGATACGTTTACAACATTCACATTTGTATCACAATTATTTGTTGCTGCCGTTGAATAGGTTGTGAGATGAATTAACGTATTGGGAGGCCCATCCACATCTTCACTGTTTATGCGTAGCCGTGGCTTTGCGGGACGCATTCTGTAAACCAATTGTTGATGATTTTCTAACTTCTTTAATATGTGTGTATGCATTTACATATAAAGTTATTTTATATTACATGAATTAGTGCATAATGGAAACTTATATGTATGTATAACACACACATATACTTCTATGTGTGCATGTTATTTAAAATATAATACAATTTTGCGTGTTAAAAAAAAGGTGCGCTTATATAAAATTGTCAATAATTACATTAAGGTGCATAGAAATTAACAACCTAACTAATAAAACCACAAATCTTTCAAAGTAAGTAATCAAAAATTTTAATAAATATTAATTTTCAATATACGACTTATATTGTATTATTTTTCTATTTTACTTTACTTTAATTTTACTATATATTGTATATATAATTTATAGTACATTGCATCTCAAACTTACTTGGCCAAGTCGCGTTGCAAATTATTCATTGCATCCATGCAGTGTTTGTAGTAGCGCACTTGCGTTTCAACGAACGCATGCAAATGTCGTAAATGTGATGCCTGTGATGTACTGATTCCATCGAGTAACACTTTTGTAATCTCCGATTGGCGATCGAATTCTGCTTGAGCGACTCGTAAATCGCGTTCCGCCTGCGCATGGTAAGAAAAGATGTCAAAAAAGTTTGAAGAAAATATTTATAAATATACTATTTATTCTTTACAGCTATTTTTATATGTACCTGCTCAAGCACTGCCTCCGGAGAGACACCATCTTTCTAATAATACCATAATAGCAGCGTGAAAGTAATATTAAATTTTAGTAAAAACTAACACAGTTTGTTAAATAATACAACTCGTTTTGCAATGAATTTTATGATTTATGAATGATTTAATTCTTAAACTGATTCTTCTTTTTTTACGTATAGTATATGCTTTAATATTATATAAAGATGTAGACCAAGTTCAATTCTCATCTATTGATTGGAAATTATTAAATGCTATTGAAAACTAAAATTTCAACCACCTATGCGTATGAGTAACAAATTGCTAATATTTAGTATAAGAAAATTCTCAAACTTACCGCCTGTTGTCCCAACATACTTCTAGCTTTCTTCACACGATTCTTGCATGCATCCAAGTCAAGACTGTAATATGAGGCATTTTAATTTATATTTGCATAAAAACTTAATTAAACCCACCGCTTGGTTTCTAATATACCGCGCTCTCTTGTAATGGTCTTCATTTCGCCATCTAAGAATTTGCGCAAAGGTTGAGTGAAACAAATACCAGAGGATGCAATGAAATCACGTTCACATTGACCCAATTTTTGCTCAGCTTGTCCAACTTTTATTAACGCCTGACCATATGGTAAGTCTTGGCCAAAATCTCCACCAGCCTCAATCATATCCAATGCTAAATGTTCTAGGTTGCTCAATCGTTGTGGTTTTGTTTTTTCAATTTTTTCAAAGATGAAGTCCTCTATGCGATTCTGAGGATTCGGTATCAATACTGTTTCGGTGTCGCGTACTAATTTCTCTGTCCATGTTTTAGTTATATCAGCACGTTCAGCTAAATTCTGGAACTCATTATCATATTCAGTACGTTCGGTGGTACCCAGTTTTTCTTCCGTTAACTGACACATATAAATATGTACATGTATTCGAATATGGTACCAATCGATGTTACGTGTGAGCAGTTTCGAGCAAAGGAGAACATAAAAATTATTATAAGTGGAATGACATTGTTATATTGGTGTCCTGTTGGCTTGTATTCACAAAGTTTTAATACAATCTTTATATTTGTGTCACCTCGGCAAAAAACCACTTATTGATACAATGGTCTGTCTAACCCACAATATCATTATACAAATATATGGTTGGCGCCCACCACCCACTGACATAACAGTACACTTTTGTCAGTAAGCATTTACACATATTACCTGAACCACTCTGGATAGTGTACTCCCCGCCTCCTTCACCAGATTTTTCACATTGAAATTTGGTAAATTTATATTCATTTTTTCAGTTTATTAGTCACCGCTTGATTAGAAAGCTTAGAGTCTTCTTCTCCTTCGATTTTAGTGTATTTCAAAGATTATTATATTATTTAATTTCTGCTTAATATGACTTTTCTGGTTGTGCAAAAAATATCCAATAGACTCGAATAAGAAAATAAAATTTTGATTATAGGCCGAGAAAAAATAAAAACACACGGTTGCAACAAGAATTATCGAATACAGAGATTGCACCAGACGCAGTACTTTCTTTGAAAGAAACAATATAGCTTTCTTTTATGTGACGTCATGCTAGCAAATTGAATTGTATGCGCCCCTTTAAATTTTCTATATCTGGTAATGAATTAAAAAACCGTGCAAATTTTCCTATACGCTCATTCAATTAAAATAGCTTTTGTGCCAGACAAAATATCAAAAATAACTGAACGCCTCTCACATAGTTTTCAAATTAATGTTTCATAGTATGTAAGGGAGAAACACAGCTCAAAATAGATAAGATTACTGTTTGATAGAAAAAATGGTTTTCTGGCGGAAATGAACTTGCAATCTGGGTTCTGGGTGAAATTGTGACAAAGACTTTAAATTAATATATATTTTCAAAATACATTGATAATTGCATTTAGTTTTATTAATCAAATTATATTCCTCTGCTCTAATTTCTTAAATTTCGACTCCAGTCGTTGAAGGAATCGACTTTAAATGTTTGTTCGATCTTTAGTTAACAGCTGATTGGTGAAATAACTTTTTCTGGCGGCTGATTTTGCATTTAAACCATATCTATATAAATCGTGGTGATTGTGTTTATATTGCGAATCTCTAGAATGAAAACAATTCGATGACATATATATAAATAACAAACGACATGGTGTTACCGTTAGAGGAAAAGGCTAAATTGAATATGGAATCTGCTGGTGTATTTATAATAGATCCGTGTGTCTTATCTAAAGCGAAAGAGCAGCATAATAACAGTGTAATATTGAAAGATCAACAGAAATCATCTGACTCCACAGCGAGTACACACGTTACTATAACGTCAAGCGCACCGTCAAAAGCAGAGCAAACGTTAAAAGGACATCAAAACCTAGCTGCCTTAAGTACTGATTCTTCCGCCAAACTACCTACGACATATGCTTTGCCGGTGCAAGGTGCAATGCCGAAAGTGTTGAAAACAACTGCCTTGAATAAGGACATCACTGAACGATTACTTAGCATACATACTACGATAAAGGAAGTTGCAAAGGCAAAATTGACACAAGTGTTAAAGGAAAATCATCAAGCACCTGTCTTAGTTAATCATCCCTCTGCTCGATTGCTTAGTACAAACGCTATAGTACCAGTACGCAAAACCCCTGTTTCGATTAAGAATCCCTCTACTGCTTTGTCCAAGACTCTTACAAAGGCTAGTCCGGTAACATTACCGAGAAAAATGAATGCGTTTGTGCTACAAACTAGCAAATTGACGATTTCGGATGCTGCGCGAAATAAAGAAATTCAAAGATTAAGAGAAATGAATAAAAATAAAAATCATACTCAATTACAATCGAAGCCATTAACGACACTAAGCACAACAACAAAGTCAAATAATTTACAGGTTAACCAAACTACTCCAATTCAAACACAAGCATGTTCGGCACAATATTTTGAATTGTAATTTCCCTTTTCATTCTATTATATCATATATTCAATGATTGTAAAATATTTCAGTGTCAATGAAGCTTTATTTGATGAGGAGGATTTGGCGAAAAACCCCGTTAGCTCAGAGACTGATTCGGATGAGGAAGAATTGAAAATTGAGGAAAATTTAATTGAGTATTTTTTTGGAAACATTATTGACGGTGGAGTTTTCTTTTATTTTTATTTTTTAATTATAGATATGCTTTGAGTAATCCTATATATGATAAAGTTGAGTGTACTTCAATTGCTGTACAAACTGAGGAAGCGTAAGTTGACTGTCTAAAATATCAGTTTGAATATATTACTACTTAATTTTTTCTGGCCTTAATAGTGCTGAAGATCGTATTCACTGCGGTTTTGTAAATGTCTCAAAAACTGGTTGTGATAAATACTTCAATCTTCGTTGCTTTTATTGCGATGCAGAATTTCCCATTTCATTTTGGTCTGAATTCTCCGATCATGTAATTTTTACGCATAAAGATTTGGAAAACTCTTATGTTAAAAACGATGTTAAGTCAACGGCAAATGAAGAGATTGATACTTTCTTTGATGCAGATTTCAAATTTCCGCTAACATTGACAAATTTGAATGCAATGAATCTGTTCAATGATACAGACTCAAGTGATCAAGAATTCATAAAGGAGCCACCGCAAAAAAAGCCATATGAAAAATCAATAAAAGTCGAGCCCATAGAATGTAAACCAAAACTTGTCATAACGAAAGTGCCAACGGACGAACTACTTCCAGAAGACTTTAATGAAGCTAATGATTGGGATAGTGATAGTGATAAAGAACAATTTCACATGTCTGTTAAAAGTTATAATCCCAATATAGATCATTGTTATACTCAAGTGAGTATTTTTTTTAGAAGTTGTATATATACAACGTGACATAACATATTTGTATTAAATATTTTCGCTTATAATCAAACAGGGTATGAATGTTGTTGAAAAGGTAGCAAATGAGGAGCCAATAGATCAGGTAACTATTTTTACTACTTTATTCTGCTATTATTTCATTAAATTTTTTTGAATTTACAGATAAGTTTCGCTAAAACGCCACGCCATATTGTTATGGATTTCTTGGAACATTTAAAAGGCTTTCCAAGTTTATGGTTTGCGCGAGACGTGGATTCAGAGAGATATGATAACCAATTATTAGATTTAAAGTCTATAATCTCAGAAAAATGGGGTCTCAACTTGAAAAGGGGTTATCTGCGTAAAAATCTAGAAAATATAAAAGCTTGGTTTGTTGCTATGACCAAAGCGAAACAAGTAAGTGATGGTAAAAACTTTACTAAACAGTTTATTGAGTACTACGACAAATGTGCAGAATATTTGCCTTGTGGCAACTTGAATAAACCAGAAAAAATTTACTGTGATCTATGCCATCGGTTCTGCTATGATCAGATTGGCTTACAACTACATAAATATCGTTGGCATAGCATTGGTCAACTGCCATACGCATGCAATAAGTGTGACAAACGTTTCGATTATATTCACAAACTACGCAATCATTTGCAAAAGAAGCACGCACCACCACCTCAAATACCAGCAGAAATGACTTGCGGTCTGTGTGAAGAGAAATTTACACAAGTAAATGAATTTAAAAAACACTTCAATACACATTTAATGTGTATTTGTGACATATGTGGTTACCGCACTAAAACCATGGGATCCCTAGGCATACATAAAAGGAGTCATCAGCCGCCGAAGCCACCAATGGTGCCATTAGTTTGTGTTGAATGTGATTTCAAGTGTTACACTCATGGTAAGATGAATATGCACAAAAAGACCCATGGCGAACCCGGTTATCATTGCGAGATTTGCCCAAAAAAATTCCATTATGCGCATTATTTGAAAAAGCATATGGCTTGTCATGAAGGAAAGCTCGATTACATTTGCGAGACATGTGGCAAACTCTTTGTACGTAAAGCATACCTGCAGGATCACGTGAAATATGCGCATATGGGTAAAGGCTTTTGTAAAATTTGTAATCGAAATTATAACAAAAGTTCTATATTCCATAAACATTTGCGAAATGTTCATAGACCGTTAATTGGTACAATTGAAGAATTAACAAAACGACGGCACAGAAATGTCGGTATCCGTGTCAGCCAGAAAGGTAAGGGTACCGGTCCGCGTTTACAGATGCGTAAATACACATATGTCTCGGATCCTGTGACGCAAAAACGTCGTTTGTTATGTCCGAAATGTGATAAAAGTTATTATCAATATGATTCATTATACTTGCATCTGAGAAACAAACACGGTTGCGGCGCATGGGTTCACAAGAAGCCTAGAGTACGCAGTAAGGTTACTGCTAAGCCGGCTAAAGATATCGTAGCCGAAAACACAGCTGAAGCGGCAGCTGCTGTTAACACAATCGTTGAGAACGCTGATATAAGCCAAAATGATCCTGTGGATCTTAGTAAAACGCCTTGCAACGGTAATGAAACTAATGACTTCAAGGATGTAATGTCATTGTCTTCATTTGAAAAATGCAGCAATAAAATTCCTTCAAATACTGATTTTACTCTACAATCCACGAGTGGCGGCCACCAGCAACAATTCGTGTTAAAAGCAGGAAATATAAGCGATATCAAAATGGAAAATACTCCAGTTATTGATTTTGAATATTTACTATTCAAGTATGATGGTACAAAATTTACGTAAAAGTCTACTATTTTGTGTATATACATATGTATATATATGTATGTATATATGCAGACCATTTTTTTATTGCAAATATGTGTAACATGAAAATTGTTTAAGAGCTGTGCAGTATTTATAATTTAATTTTTAAAGAACTGAGCCCAGCTTAGAAAGCAAAATATAAAATATTAAAAAAGTAATGAATTGTATTTATTATTAATTAAATATGCCAAACGTTTTTATATGACTATAAATTCATTGGGAAAGCGGCGCAAATTCTCATGGGAGATAAGATAAAATGATTTGAGCGTATTTATCGATTTAATACCAGAATTTTATAAAAATGCTTAAGAATTTGTTTATTGAAACTTCGAATAATAAAATAGGACATTTGCCAAAATAGATTACGAGTTGTTGTTACATATTTTCCCGACCCTTTTAAGTGGAAGGGAATTTATGAGCTACACAGGAAAAAAAGCAAAAATCTTTACATAAATTAAGTAAGAAAATCGACTACATTTTAGTTTTATATGCATTTTTTCAACCTTTCCCAATATTTGAAATATTTTTTAAATCATTTCATATTTAAATGCAGCCATTTTATTAGCGGTACAATACTGTACCGACAAAAAATGGCAGCTCAGCAGTACAGCCAACTTCGCAAACACGAGCTCTATCAACGAAAAATGGCAACGCCATCAATTCCACCAATCACAACAGCTCAAGGCGCGAATGTCAACGCAAAGGGTGTATGTAAAATAATAGAAGGAAAAGTACAAAAATCCCAGTTCAATGCAATAGTGGACGGTCGTAGTGTTAAAATCATTTGAAATTTTATTCAAAAACACTTTCGAATTTGTTGAAAGTAGAATTCTACAAGATGCAACAATTGCACATTCTATAAGTTAAAGTTAAGAATAAAGTGTTTCCAAAAATTTTTCGTTTTGATAAGCGATCGCGCGTTTTTGTGTATTTGGTGCGTTTTTGTTTTTTCGGACAAACTTTTAGAATATATTACGTTCATACCCATACCTTTGCATTTGTTGCATTTTGTTTATTACGCGGTGAATTTATATGCGTACTCTAATTACACACAAATCTTAAGGAATTGATAATTATTGTGTACTGACAGTTTTGCTGGCGCTTTGACCAACCGTTGCCCACGGGTTATGCTGCAGTGACATTCGCGTGTGATACTTACTCAACTTATCAAAGGCCTCTAATGAATGTACTATGTCATTGGAGTATCCGTGTTGAATGAATGAAAAATAAAGTTTGCTAAAAGTACTAAATTCATTAAAGAAATATATAACAACGAGATGGATTCAAGCGCGAATGTTGGTAAGTAGCCAGTTAAGTTTATGCTCTTCATCATTTTCGCATTTCAAATTGAATTTTCAATTTAGCTGCTTCTTTGGTAATACGGTCATGGTTATGTTTTGAATTTAAAAACAAAATTGCAGTAACAATGATAGGTAGTTTGTGGAAAATAGTCAGTCCTCAAACATAGTTGTATCATGTTATTAATGTTAAATGATATTTATATTATTAAAATCTTATAAATAAATACACCTGCTTATGGGCTAACATATTGGGGTGGTCATTGAGCACCTTATTTTGACAGGTAAAAGTTTAATAGACAGTGTGCATATAACCACATACAGTGAAAACAATTTTTGTAAAATTGATGACTATTTGCAATGAATACATTGTGCGTGATTACAAGTTTCTCTACATGTATATTCTATTTTGGCCATGTTATCAAATATTTGGAGCAATTCTAACGTCATTGTACAGTACACTGACGACAATACCTCCAAAATCAGAAATTACCATCGAAGGGATATTTTTTGAAAATAGTGATGCCAGACCGTTTGGAACAACTATTTAAATAAACACTTTTGTATAACTTAAGGAAAATTGTTGCCGTTTCTGTAGCGACTAATTAAACTTACAAACTTTAAAATCGGCTGTGTCAGTTAACCTGAAAATTCATAAACTTCTATTCCTAAAGAATTAAATGTTTATCAATATTGTTAGCGTTAGGTTGCATTTTTAATGGGACATTTTCAAATATGTTACAAGTAATAGGCGGGTGTCAATTGTAACGATTTTTCCCTCTGATTACTTGAAACAAAATTATCCGTTAAATTTACAAATCCAGTTCACTTATGAGCTCTTTCAAGTAATTTATCGATCTGTCGCGTGCTTCGAAATAATATTTGTTAGTCAATTTCGTATTGGGAATTGTCTTACCGACGTATAGGTGGCGCGCTCAAAAATTCTTTTTTGACATTCGCCTTTTGTGGGGCCGTTTTGGGGTTAGTTTTACGCAATTGACTTTTACACGGTCTATTCAGCGGCGTGAAATTTCTGCGATATTTTCTTCTGATATCAAAGAAAATCTTGTGTAAGTATTAACCATATAATTAATTTGAAAGTATTGTTCAGATTTTTTCTAAATTGTGTTTTACAGTTTCTCCTTTGGTATATATAATCAGTGGTATCATGTCTGCATTTGCTGCCGTACGCCAAGCCAATGCATTAAGCGCTGCGCTTGTTGCTGTGGGTCGTTGCAGCGCTAGCCGCCGTGCATTAAGTACTGGTCGTCTGATACGCAGCACACGAGGAACAGCTGCAGCGCTCTTACACTGCCCACATCGTTTGCCTTCTCTTGCAGCGGCTACACCAACCTTCCAACAATATGTGCGCACTTATGCCAATGAGAAGAGAGTTTTTGAACGTACCAAACCACATTGTAATGTCGGCACAATTGGGCATGTAGATCATGGAAAGACTACCCTAACGGCCGCAATCACCACTGTGTTGGCAGAAAAGGAATTGGCTGAAAGTAAGAAATATAATGAAATTGACAACGCACCAGAGGAGAAGGCGCGTGGTATTACAATCAATGTAGCCCATGTGGAATATCAAACAGAGTCTCGTCATTATGGACATACTGATTGTCCTGGTCACGCTGATTACATTAAAAACATGATTACAGGCACGGCACAAATGGATGGAGCTATACTAGTTGTGGCTGCCACTGACGGTGCTATGCCACAGACCCGCGAGCATTTATTGTTGGCCAAACAAATTGGTATTAATCACATAGTCGTATTTATCAACAAAGTCGATGCTGCTGATCAAGAAATGGTTGATTTGGTCGAAATGGAAATCCGTGAATTAATGTCCGAAATGGGTTATGATGGTGATAACGTGCCCGTTATTAAAGGTTCTGCATTGTGTGCATTAGAAGGACGTAATCCTGAAATTGGTTCTGAGGCTATTATGAAATTGCTGAAAGAAGTTGATAACTTCATACCCACCCCAGCACGCGAATTGGACAAACCATTCTTGTTGCCAGTTGAAAACGTATACTCCATACCCGGTCGTGGCACAGTAGTTACTGGCCGTCTGGAACGTGGCGTAGTAAAGAAGGGAATGGAATGCGAATTTGTGGGTTATAATAAAGTTATTAAATCTACAGTTACTGGCGTAGAGATGTTCCATCAAATCCTCGATGAAGCTCAAGCTGGTGATCAATTGGGTGCACTTGTACGAGGTGTAAAACGTGATGATATCAAACGTGGTATGGTTATGTGCAAACCTGGCTCCGTAAAAGCGCTCGATCAATTAGAAGCGCAAGTATATATCTTAGCGAAGGAAGAAGGTGGTCGTCATAAACCATTCATGTCCTTCATTCAATTACAAATGTTCTCACGTACATGGGATTGTGCCGTGCAAGTACAAATACCCGATAAGGAGATGGTTATGCCGGGTGAAGATACCAAATTGATTTTGCGTCTGATACGTCCTATGGTTTTGGAGCAAGGTCAACGTTTTACACTACGTGATGGTAATCTTACATTGGGCACGGGTGTTGTAACAAACGTGCTGCCACCACTCAGCGAAACCGAACGTATGTCTCTAACGGAGGGCAAAAAGGCACGTGAGAAGAAGGAAGCTGCTAAGAAATAAAATAATATTACTAATATTACTAAAAACTTATGTAATTATATTTAGTTTTATATACACACATATGAATACCGTACCTTTTGTAATGGCGAAGGTGAAATGTAGGGAGAATATTGAGCATCTGCTATAATCCGACTGTATATGGTATCATATGAAATTGGATTCTGCAGAATAATTCCATGCATTCAGTTGATTGTTGAATAAAAAGTCAGACTTACATTAAAAATTAAAAAAAATGATTATTTATTGTATTATCTATATGCGTAATAAATGGTAAGATCAACTTAGTAATAAAATGTGCCTTTATGTAGGTAAAAAAATTTCGCACAGTATGAAGCCCACTATATCTACATTCATTCACACATTTTCAGATCCCCTAAATGATTCCGCGCCTATGCCGGAGTTGAGTTTTGAAGATCTTTTAGATGATTCACCCGTAAAGAAATCGTTTAGCGCAGTAGAAGATCCTTTGGAGTTCGAAGACGAACTTCCGCTCCCCTTAAGTGACACTTTGAATACACCAGGTCCCAAGAAACCGCCAACAAGTACGAAGCAATCTTCTGGTGCAACAGCTACAACCACAATGACACAAAATCCAAGTACCAACCCAAAGGCCACCACAACTGCATGGGACAGTGCCGCTAAAACCGTTGCGGCAACTAACGCTTCTGTTAAGCTTACGCCAACAACAACACCAACATCGTCAAATCCCACCACACCGGTTGTACTGAACCACAGAAACCTTTTACCCAAGGCCGCCACAAGTGGTGCTGGCCAATTAGTAAAAATTTCACCAAAAATCATGGTGACCGCGGCAACTTCAACACTTATAAAAAGTCCATCGACAACAACAACAGTAACCGCTACCAGCGCAACCGGTGGCAAAACGGCCATAAAAACCGCAAGCGGCCAAATATTGTATATACAAAAGAAGGCAGCAACTAGCTCAGCTAATACGACCAACGCCAGCGGCGGTACATCCACATTAACAATTGCAACAACTCCAGCAAGTAACAATAGCAATAAAACAGTTGCTTTCAAATTGATGCGTACAGCCGGTGGTAGTTTAGTACCTATACAAACTACAACAGGATCACCAACTTCAGCATCAACAACAACAACAGCAACACCGCCAGGTACAACCACAAAAAATACATTAACACTATCACCAAAAGTTGCGTCACAATTGCAAGCGGCGGTTGGTGGCGGTAAACGGATAGTTACGGCTGCAGGCGGACAAATTGTGATTAAAACGTCGCTGGCGCCAACGGCAACGGTCACAACTACTAGATCAACGACAACCACTGCAACCTTATCAGCGACTTCAACATCAACAACAACAACTACATATCGAGTACCATCTAGTGGCGCGGCCGGCGCGACAAGCAATATCAGCGTCGTCTCAGCCGCCAATACCAACAAGACTGGTCTACCAGCAGGACACAAAATATTCGTACAGTCGGCCAATGGCAAGCAGATCTTAGTTTCCAATCAACAATTCATCAAATTGTCTCCAAAGCCGCCTACGCTTGGCGCCACTATCAACTCCGGCACTACAACAACAACAACGAGTAGCAGTACGACCGTCTCCACGAACGCAGCACGTCAATTACAAACAATACAGCAGTCCGGCAAACAAGTGCAATACTTGCGAGTGTTACCAAAGAGCAATGCAGAAGGCAGCGGCACGGTGGTGTCCAGCTCAGCTGCTGCGGTATTATCAAGCTCCGCTGCCGGTTCGAGTACGACTCAAAGTAAAACCAACGCTACGTCGACTTTCAAGATATTGAATGCCGGCGGTATGCCCTCCAAATTCACTGTTGTGCGTCCGAGTCCAACGAGCGGTTCGACAAAGTTGATCTTAACGCAATCACCCAAGAAAGAGGGGGCTGTACCAGTAACGTTTTCGCCTATAACTTCAAAAGTGGTAAGTTTTCGACATAAATTTTTACTTAATATTTTTTTTATTCAAGCTCAAATTTCCTAATCGTCAACTTGGGTTTACTTGCAGCAAAAAACCATAGTGACTGTACCAAAATTAGGCGCACTCGGCGATGGCCAGCAACGTAGTCTTGCAGTAAACACCACAACTTCTTCCAGTCAGTCATCAGCCAATCTCATATCGTCCACCTCATCGCAATTAGCCAATACCAGCACTAGTCAATCGCTGATCAAAAGCAACACAAACGCGACAAATGCCACTTCGTCTTCATCGGCCACGCTCATACGCAAGCATAAAATCTCAGAAATCAATTCGGAGTTGAAGCGCATAACAACCACCGGTGTTGCTGAAGACGACAGCGTTGACATGGACGCACCGCCTGAGGCGAAGAAGTTAGCAAGCGGCAGTCGCATTGTCATGCTGCCGCGCTCCATGTTGCGCACCACAAGCAGCGGACAAGTGCGGCAGGTGACATTGCAGTCGAACGCTGGCACTGTGGGGGATAGTAATGGCGGTGGTGCTGGCACCAGTCAGTCGCCAACGCGTAAATTATCCATGCATCAACAACAACAAATGCAAAGTGTACTAAAAAGCAATAATTGTTATGTAGTATCTGCAGATGGGAGCGGACAAAAGTCGCTACTAATAAATGGCAAGGCGCAAACGTTGCTTAACCAGCAACAACAACAGCAGAAATCGTTACAATTAAAGCGACAAATGCAACAGCAACAGCTACTACAACAACAACAACAGCAACAACAACAACAACAATATAAATACCTGCAACAAAAGAAACAGGAGCAGCTAGAGCAACAAAACGACACAAAAGTCCCCACGCTACAGAGAATTGCAAATATCAATAGCAGCAGCAATAACAACAATACCGCCAGCAGCTACAATAATAACAATGCCAATAGCGTGGATAATAAATCATTGAATTTCAAAATAAAAGTGGAACCGTTAGAGTTCGAAGAAGATATCAAACCTATACCGTCCGACCTGTTAGCGGACGCGGCGAATGGTGGCATACGGCGAAAACATTGTAATTGTAGCAAATCGCAATGTTTGAAATTGTATTGTGACTGTTTTGCTAACGGTGAATTCTGTCAGGATTGTACGTGCAAGGATTGCTTTAATAATTTGGAAAACGAGGATCAGAGACAAAGAGCAATTAAAAATTGTCTGGAGCGAAATCCCAGCGCTTTCAAGTGAGTAATTGTAGTATAAAAAATAAATAAAAATATGAAAAATTAATAACAGCATAAATAATAAATATAGATATAAAAATATAAATAGTAAATAAAAATATAAAAAGTAAATAAATATATAGAAGGTAAACAAAAATAAAGTATACAAAACAAAAATTAAAAAAATACGAAATATAAAAATAAATAAAAAAAAAAATATAAAAACAAAAAAAAAATATAGTTGAAATTGTGAAAATATAAAAAAGATAAAATATTAAATTAAAAAATAAATAAAATAAAAATCGTAATAAAAATTGAATAAACAAAAAATAAAAATAAAACAAAACAAAAAAAGAATAGAAAACAAAATAAACAAAAAAGAATAAAAATTAAAAAAAAAAAATAAAAGTAAAAAATATAAAAAAGTGAAAATAAACAAAAAAATAAAAGTGCAAAAAAAAAAGAAAAAAAACATACATAAAAAAAACAAAAATATAAATTAAAAAAAAAAATAATAATAAAAAATATAAATAATAAACAAAAATATAAAAAAAAACAAAAATATAAAAAAATAAATAAAAAATTAAATAAAAATAAGAGATATAAAAAAATACTATTTGCAATACAATGCAATAAAAACAAAATATAAAAAACATAATGCAAAAAGAAGTGTGCTGCCCCCAAACTTAGTATGTGGTGTGTACCTGTTTGAATTTAAATATTTGAAAATTTTATGCAAGTTCAGTAGGCGTTGAGAAACTCTAAAGCACATAAAGGGAATAAAAAGAAAATCAAACGCGGTAGTTGGTTTGCTTTTTGAATTTCATTTCGTAATTTCTTTTGGTGTCAGGAAGCGCATTTATTTTATTTGCAATTTTCACTTTACAAATAAATATTTGTATATATTTTTTCCGCAAATTTCTTAGACCAAAAATAACGACGTCACGTGAACAAGGCGATATGCGTCACAATAAAGGCTGTAATTGCAAACGTTCCGGTTGTCTTAAGAACTATTGCGAATGCTATGAGGCGAAAATACCCTGCTCGTCCAACTGCAAATGCATGGGTAAGTTGAGCCTAAATTTGAAGACCTTAATACATATACATATGGTTATGTACATACTATATATCTTCACTAATTTTTTACAATAAAAATACGAATATTTTATGCATTTTTAGGTTGCCGCAATATCGAAGAACGGCCCGATTTGGACATGGATCCCACAGATTCGAAACTTTTGGCCACCATACCGAGTGTTGGTCTATCAGCTGCCGGTCAGAAGCGTACCTACGATAAAACCAATAGTAAAACGGCTGTCAATGACAAATTCTATAAAGATACAGCAAAAACTTTAGGAATCGGCAATGATCTGCTTGCAGGTCTAGCTGCCGGTGGCAGTGCTAGTATTATGACGGGCGGCGGCAGCAGTAGTTGCAGTGGTAGTGGCAGTAATGGAGTGAGTGCTACACCTGGCGTTGCTGGCACAACAACTGGCAAACAACAATGCAATTTTATAACACAGGATGTTGTTGAAGCGACCATACAATGTTTGATTTCGCAGGCGGATCAGTGTGAAAAGAATGGTTTACCCGCTTATCAGACAGAAAAAATGGTTATGGAGGAAATGGGCCGTTGTTTGGTGGAAATAATCGATTTTTCTATACGCAATACAGATACGAGTTTTACGCAGGAATAAATTGAGGGGAGAAAAAATCAGAGGCGACGACCGCTTATGTTTTGTTTATTATTTTCTGACTTATGAAATATTCGCAAACGTTTTGACAAAGATGAAAAAAAAAATATATATAAACAAATATTTATGTTTAAAAATGTTTAAAATAAAGTTAAGCAACTAGCAGCTTGTTATTTGTAAATAGAGTTTCACATTTCTTATTTTCTCTATAATATTGCTATTATACTTACATATATAGTAGTACTATATGCTAAGCGTCAACTCTTCACAAGCGCATTGGCTTATAAACAATTGTATTAGATTTATATATAAATATCAAAGAGTTACTTAGCAAAATGAGTGGGCATACTTTTACGCAGCATTTAGCGCGTGTATATTATAAATATTTAAAAAAATCATACGTATATTGTTTTTTTTTTACTGGTTAGCTTTATTTTGCAAGATTAAGTAACAAAGTTTTTCTTTATTTATTTCGTATTGAGTTTACATATTGTAAATTGCAACAAATTTTTGTTTTTTTTCGCAAACTTTATAACAACAAATGTTTTTTTTTAGCTTTTATAAAAAGCAGCAGCATGTTTTTTCTCTTTTAAACTATTATATATAATTGTAATTTATATTATTTTGTGTTTAAGTTTAACGTATAACGCTATTTTTCAATAGCCAAAGTTTTGTTGCTTTAAATTTTGTTTTAATACCTTTTATAAATAAAGTATGCACTTCTAAAAAAAAAAATAAAAAGATAATATAAAAAAATGTTGCAGCCTTAGTTTGAGGAGTTTTGCAAATAGTAAATACGTACTAACATAAATATTTGTTTATACACAATTTACTTACAAAATACATATATGATATATTTTACTAAATATCGTGTATATGCAAATAAAATATAAAACAATACACTTTTAAAGTAAAGTAATTTGAAAATTTTGACTTTTCTTCAAAAGTTAAGTAATTTCAAGACGTGTATGTAATAATACTAACTTATAAGAATTACAATTGTATAACTTGACCCATTGTAATGTAAGTAAAGGTAATTAATTTAAACAAAAGAGTGTTTTATTTCTATAGCTTTAGGAAATGTAATAAGAAAATGGTTGCATCAGTATATTTTTCTATATCTTCGGAATCGCTAACAAATTCTAACCTATAAATGGGGGCAGCTGTAAACTTTATTTAGGTTAACCTAGAATTGCTAACAAATTTTACCTACCTACAAATGGGCGCAGCTGTAAACTTCATTTAGGTTAACCTAGATTAATAGGGGTGGTTAAAGTATTCGGCGATTTTTATTCCTACAATAACTTACCTGTTGAGTTTTAAACTATATACTGCGCGTTGTTCTATTATTTTTATATTTTTTCCATAAATATTAATAAAAAGAGTTTATATTTTTGTTTTTGAGTGGGTGTAGCTCGTTTATTCACCAACAACTTGAATTTTATCTGTATGTATGTGTGTGCAAAGTTCTTCGCATCATTGTTATAAATTACAATAAATATATTTACCATATATTATACCACATTGTTTTTGTTTTCTTGATACTGCATGTACTTACATAACTGCTCAAGTTTTATATTTATAAATGATTTTTTATATTTAGTTTTACTTATAATGCCACTTATTTGTTATATTTTTTAGGATTCATGAGTTTTATTTTAGCAATATATATATATTTTTTTATTAACACGAGTATGTACTATTTAGAAAGCAAGTATGTATATACAACAAATGCTGTTTATTTATATATATTATATTTTAGATTTTTTACGACATACTGGTTTCTCTCATAGTTTTGTATAAATATAATATGCATTTAATTTGGTATTTAATGAATTAGTTTAATGGCATATGTGTAATTTTTTTTTCTCATTGGATATACATACATAGAAATATTTATGAATGCTTTGTATTTTCTTAATCAATCATTTGTTTTTCTAAACACACAATTTTAAGCTTTCGTTTTGACTCTTATGTTCAAAGTAAATTTTGTTATATGTAGATTTAAATGTTACATTTTTAATATTTTCTATTCTTTTCAACATTCACATCTTAAACTAATGTTAATATATATATTTTTTAAGATACTCGTAAATACATACATTTAACACTTTGCAGGTGTGATAATAATATTTTAGTACTTTGCTATGGGTCACAAAGAGCTTTGTAAGTTTTTTTTAATTAAGAAAAAATAGTAGACATTTATAATTTTAGATTTTTTGAATAATTTTTAACTTTTAAGTATATTTTTAGTTTCTTTTTTGAATTTCTTTGTAATTCTCTACGATTGCGGATAAATTTTTTAGGAAATCTGTGTTGCTCTTTAAGGTTTTTCCGCTAATACATATATTTTCATATATTAAAGTTAATATTTTTTATATTTTTTTTTTTATACATATTTCATGCACAATATATATCATAAATGCCTATAAATTATGTGAATATATGTAATGCCAAACAATTTATTACTACAACATGCATAGTTTTACTTTATAGCAATTATTCAATTAAAGTTTATTTTTTTTTTGAATTTAAATATTTTATTAAACAGTGTTTGACCCCATACCAGCTTTTTAACAAATGCACTAATAATATTGTATGCAAATTTTGATTAACTCTTTTATATAGCACAAGTTTTTTTTTTACAATTTCGTGAATTAGATTTTTTCATTACTTTAATGAATATTAAATTGTTTTGATCTCAATATTTTTATAGAAAGTAAGTAAAGATCATATTTATAATGTCGCAAGTTATTTATTACTTTATATATTAGCACTTTTGTACCGAACCATTTTTGGTTTAGTTTTTATACCATATATGTACGTAATATATTTATGAAAATTTAATATTGTAATTATGTTATTTTGTTTGTTAAAATATTGTCGCACTCACACAAAAAGTATGCGTAAACGGCACGCTAAACCGTTATATGTATAACTTTTAGAAAATCTTTTTATTTGTTTGCATATAAGATGTGATAAATACATATAATATATAAAGGTAAATATTTTGCATAATTATTTGAAATTTTTCATTTAAATATAAGTACCATATTTTTGTTAAATTATTTAAAAATATTTGATAGCAATGGTTTTTTTTAATATTACTTAATTTCTAATTCTTTGAAACTTTGCTAAACATTGATTAATTTCTAAGACTTGTATGCATGCTGTACTGCTCATATATTGTTCACTTGGAAACTGTACTGCAGTGTTACCCTGTACGAAGCTTTTCATTTCCTTTAGCTAAAGTGTTGATTCATGTTTTTTTCTGTTATTCTTTTCGCGAATTGTTGCAAATTAAATTAATAGCACTTTAAATATTGTTGTTCTAATTTATGTGTTTATATTTATTTTATGAATACTCGTATTTATTGTGTAAACTATTATTTTGCGTAAATTTCCTTACTGTGATTAACCGTACGTTTTATGAATGTTACTTTTGCGCCTTTTCCTTTCCAACTGTTCCGTTTCCGTTTTGTATAAAATCAATAAATTGATTGCATCTGGCAATTCTTTGTCGCTTGATTGTTCAAAAAGGTGCGGTTTATAGAGCAGTGAATTATTTTATGAGCATGATTTATATTTTTGTTTATTCGTGTGTTTATAAGTGTTCATATATTTACTGAAGTATGATTTACATATTGTATAAACGTTTGTGTCTATGCAAGCACGTGGAAATCTCAACAAACGTTCAATAATACTAATGAATATATGTAAGTTTGTAAATCCTCACATCTAACTACCTACATACATATTTACTACATATCCAATCGACAAGCATGCCAGTTATGCTTTATATACAGTACAATTTTCTTTCACAAATTCGAATAACTGCTTGTATGCTTGTGATTGACTACATAATGTTTGCTTTTTAACTTTCCAACGTTGACGTTGACGTGCTGTGTACAACGTGCCTAATTTTTACAATAAATAATGTGTTTTAAATTTATTGGAAACTATTTTGAATTGATAATAAAACCTTTATGCGTGCATTTATAAATACATTTCTTGGGTGTGTTTGTTCAAGCATAGTTTTATATCTAAGTATTGTGGAAGTTTTTATTTTAAGATTAAATCGTAAATATTTATTTATAATATTTTTAACGATAAACTCTTTTCAACTATATATTTAATTATTGCATTTAATACGTTTTTGTTTGCACGTTTTTGCCGCATCTACAAATATCCAATATTTTTTTATACCATAAACTTTTTTCTATTTGGTTTTAGAATGTGCGCAAAAATTGTTTAATATTTTTATGTAAATATACTTGTACTTGTGCATGAGTGTAATTAATTATTATATGACTGGAAGTTAAAAATGACTTAAAAGTGGCCATTTCGATTGTACATCTTGATAATAAGTTAGTTAAATAAACAGCATGGATAGAGAAATTACAAATCGCCGGAGAGAGAAAATAAGACAAATGGTGTTTCTATTACGTATATTTTTTAATGTTCATGATCAGTACTTGATATAGCGTTTGCATGGTAACAATTTTGTGGAATTTTATTATATGAAAAAGTTTTTAGAATTGTTATTGGACTATTTTATTCTTTAAAATGCGAGGTGGAAAATAAGTAAGGAAATGAGAAAAATTTGATATTTTTGAATTTTCTTTGTTAACCTACAATCATTTAATAATTATTTGTGCACGTAATTAAAATATCGGGTTTTATATTCTACTTTTTAGAACAACGCTTAGAAATGCTTGCAGCCATTCAAGCATTTCGCGTAGTACACCCTTATTTGACCAAGTGTCGGTTAAGAAATAAAATTTTTTGGTTATTTTAGAAACTCGGCAGACTTTTTTTTTTGGTGTTTTAAAGAGTTCCACAATAATTTTGTGTTTAGAAATAAGTTGAAGTCTTTGAAAAAGGGGAAGAAAAGATTGGCAGTTTTTATTTACACATTTTCGATAAATTAATCCACTTCCAACACTAAAGTTGCGCTCAAGTTTTTTTAACGCTCTTTATATTTCGTTTTCACCACTGCAATATCTTGTACCAAGTTTCTAAAAACCAATATTAAATTAAAAATACAATTTGTGCGCACATATTGGTTAGAGATTAATATAATTAATATTTCACGTACATTTATAAAGTATGTATGTAGATGGAGAGTATTTTAAAGAATTATTAGCATTTTTTTTTCTAAAGCTCATAACACTTTCTACTACTATTTTAATGTTTTTTAAGAACAATTTTTATTCAATCCAGATTTTTTATATGTATTTGTAGATATTAATATGTATATAATTCGCAAAAAAAACTGTTCTGGTACTTACATACTACGTTTTCCCTTTTTGTGTCAGATAACTTGTGTGCTGTTTGCTAATTTTTACAAATATTAACTATACATTAGTGCGTAAATTTTTATGTATTTGCTAAGCTAGAAAACTTTGTGAAAAAATATGTGCTAGAATGTGTAATTTTTTTTTTATGTTGACGAGCTTGTAATTTTGTGAAAAATATCAATATATTTTCGTTTGAAATTTAACACTAAATTATAGGCTATAGATGTTGGCTTTTAGCGATAGAATTTACAAGTTGTTTTCGAAATTTTGGTTACGTGCCGGAAAATGCAAATATGGGTCTTTTTTATTGCATTTCCAAGCACATTTCCCATATTTAGATATATATTTAAAATCGAAAATTTATTACTTTTTCCTTCTTTACTTAATATATGTATGTACATATATACCTTTTTTAACAGCAGCCTGCCATGTCCTGGGAAATAGAATGACATTTCTAAATATGTTTCCCTTTCATATATATATTTTTCTTGGTTAAAAAGGTTGAAATATTTCAAAATTTTCCAAAATTTTGGCTACAAAAAGGTAAATAAAAAAAATTAATGAATTAACTCTAAGTTGTTTCAACACATTCATAATTAAAAAGCTTTTCTGTGCATGTTGCTGAGTAAAATAAGTATTTGTTGCTTGAAATGCTGTCATTGTGTTTTAAAAAATTGTATCGCCGAAGGTTTTAAGTGAAAAATAAAACTCCTTACTAAGGTAAAGCGATTTAAAAGTCTGCTAACGAGTTTTAGAGTTATTTATTTTCAATTTCAAAATTTTTAAAATCAGATAAAGCGATTTAAATTCTGCTAACGAGTTTTAGAGTAGTTTAGTTTCAATTTCAAAATTTTTAAAATTAGGTAAAGCGGTTTAAAACTCTGCTAACGAGTTTTAGAGTTGTTTAGTTTCAATTTCAAAATAAAATTAAAGAAAAACTAAGCTTTTAAGCTTTGTAAACTTTTAAGCACTCAGAAAAGTGCTTTGCATAACTTTCACGTATGTGACATTTAATTAGAATACAAGCAAACTGTAAAGCTTTCAAGCTTTTAAATGTGCAAAAATGTGGTTTGGAGCTTTTAGAAGTATTAAACACATTCCGAAATCTTTAAATATATATATTTTTTATATAAAATTAGTAAAAGAAAATATTTAAGGTTTTATATTTTCATTATCTCTACTTTAAATGTCAAATATTTGTGGTTTCAAGCTTTCATTATCTAATTCTCATTCCATTTCTCTTTTTTTTTGAGTACGTTTTTTTTACATTACTTTATTACGGTTAAAAAAAGTTAGTATCAAAATGAAAGCTTATGTTATTCGATCAGGCTTAAGCAAATTTTTTAAGTTTTAAAAGGTTTTACACGCTAAAAAAACTTTTTTGCAGAAAAATATTCTTTTATGGAATAAAACCTTTCACAAGGCTGCGTGCTTTTATAGTACGAATAATATTATTTTGAAAAAAAGATGAATATAAAAAACTACGTTTATAATCGAAATAGTTTTTTTTGAAAAATATTTTATATATACATATTTTTTTAAAATTACTTTCAACTATAGTTCAGATAATTTTTCAGTAATTTACTATGAGAAACTTCAAGTCATTTTCTAAATGCTTTTCAGATTTTCGAAAGTTTTTCCTTTCAATTTAATACCGACATGTAATAAATATTTTGTAAGAAATAAAATCAACAAACTCGTCATTTCACAACAAAACTTGCTCTTTACCTAATATTGAATAGATATTTACTAAAAAATGTTTTTTTTTTTTTTAATATTTTTACATAATTCATATACGTGTTTAGTATCTTGCTTGGAGAATATTTTTACAAAGCGTTTAATTTTTATTTATATAATTACTTTTTCTAACTTGTAATATTTTTATTTTTCTTCCTACATACATAATTATTGCTACAAGATTTAACGATTATTAACTAGCATTTTGAATTGATTCAATTAAAGAAGGCTTTTCGATGCGCCAAACACCGTGTTAGACACCGCCTTAACCCTTCACAAATCGCCTTTATGTTTATCGACAAATCGTTTCGTTAGTTAATCGTACTAATTAATCGGAGTTTGGTTACCCTCTAGGCGCATCTTAGCTTCAATGTCATTTTAAATTCACTCAAATCTGTATTGTGATTTAATTATTCATTTCGAGGATGAGATGCCATACAAAATTAAAGTAGTTTGTAAATTTGTGTACAAAAAATCGTACTACTTTCACACACACAAACCCACGTTCAAGCAAATAGAATCCAAATGCCTTTCGTTTGGCACATTTGAAGTTTTTTTTTTAATGATTTTTTGTGAAAAAAAGCATTTTGGCTGTAAATAACGACTAAATATTTTTTGAAAACAAACAAATTCAGAACCGATTGCACTACAGCAGCAAAAGTTGCCGCAACGCATACGCAGTAGCAGTAGCAGCAGCAGCAGCCTGACAAACAGACGCCACAACAAGAATGTTGCTAGTGAAAAAACTTTTGACTAAATTCAACGAGCATTTTCCCAAGTTTGTTTTGAAAAATTACTCGTATATTTTCTTAGCTATTTTGATAGAATCTTAAGCAAAAGGAAAAAATTCACAAAATTTTTCAAAAAAAATTCGACCTTTAAATTAGCAATGAATTATAATCGTCGCAGGAACATATGTAAGAGTATTTAATTGAAATGTTATTTAATTTCTAATGCTGGTTTCTCATTTCAACCACAATAAATTGTACTGCGACGAAAAATCTACAGTTACTTTGGGCGATTTTCATCAATATCCAAATCCAACACAGCAAATAAAGGCTCAGCAGAACCGACGTCAAAGTTCCGATCCCTTCGAACGAGATCCCTTCAAAATCCAATCGTACAATTTTCGTTACGCCGAGCGTCCATCTTACCCGTTACCCAATCTGTACAATAGTCGCGTACAACCGGCATCGTCGTCCTCGAATAAACGCTTTGAGACATTTTTCTACAATTATGACTTCACTCCTTCTGTGCATGACAAAGAGAATCCTCCAGCACACAAATTTCGCGAATTTCGCCGACGGAAATTCCTATTGGATCACCAACACCAACAGCAGCATCAGACAACACCATTCGTGCACGTGCCGACCGTCAATAGCCGGGAATCGTCGTCATTCCAACAAACCAACACCACCACCACCAACAACAACAACAGCAACCACATGTGCCAACAACAGCAGTTGCATCCAATCGTCAACGCCACCATCCGTATTGGTACAAGCGCCAGCCAAACTGCAATTACGTCGTCCGCTGGCGCCGCTGGAGCAGCAAGAGCCGCCAGTCGGCCGAGCTCTACGCGCATTGAATATGAGCGTACACACGCAGACGACGACGGCTGCGGTGTCGCAAGACATCACCAAGCAACACGTTGCAGTGCAACAGATACGAGCAGCGTCGCTACAGCAGCGGGACTCCGTTACGGACGTGACAATGTTAGCATATCCTCGCACATGCCTAGCCTCAACAAATCCGGTCGCAAGACGCATGCGCGCTCTACTGGGAACCGAGAATATTTGCGTGCACTCGCCACAGCCCATATCAACGAGTCCGCTAACCAGTCAAATTTCTTTGGTCGGGGGCATGGCGGCAGTAGCCGCACGTCAATTGAACGTGGCCGACGGTCACGCTTTGAGCGCTTGGGTAACGGGTACACACTTACAAATGGCAACAACATCTTTGGCAGAATGCAAAGTGGAGAATTGTCAAGCTCAGGAACGTCGCCGACGAAATATGTGGGACAACCCGTACAGAACGTACACTCAGTTTCCCCGAATCGGGTAACTGCAACGGTGGAGAAAACGGAGGGTACTTGTTCCGGCTGTCAAATCAATATAAATATCAAAGGTTTAGACTCCACGCAGTTGGGTGATAATGTAGTCATCAAGATCGAATCGGACAAAATGTCGCCAAACAAAACTAATTCGAAAGCGGAGCAACATGCTCCTGTTATCAGTACGTTGAATAATATTTATAGTGCCACCGGTAGCGCACAGCATAGAAACGACATTGCAATCGCCAAGTTGGTGGAAATAAAACGAAATTCCGATATGTCACACAATCTCGACAACAAGCCGAAAGCGTCAACGCATCAGCAGCCTCAAGCCATGCGTAACAGTTCCTCATCATCATTTGTAATCGATAAACGTCTGTCCAAGTTTGCACTAAATAGCACTGATGAGCCACGTAAGCACCGACCACGGAGCTCCTCATACTCGCGCATACCAATCACCTCGTCCACCACACGCGCTATGGGTTTTAACACCTCCAACTCAGCCGTACGTAGCTCAAATAGTACCGAAGGCATATCACGCGTACCAAAAAGTGTCTCCAAAGAACGCATGCCCAGTATGGTGCCCTGGTGTTTGGACACGACTTTACGTCGCGGCTTTTCGCACGATGAAGATGATACTAAGCCGCCTCAACCAATGAAGCCCACACGACCCTCGTACGACTCCACGCTCAACGATGTGCGTAAAATGCGTCGTCAAGCGGTTGTGGCAGCTTATAAGCCATTCTCACTACAGCGCACTTCCGTAGGTTCATCACTGCGCCCGCGTAAATCAGAAAGTTTCCACGGCGGTAGCAAACAAGCCACAAATAATGATACGTGCAAACCGATTGATAAAACATATTTTAAGAAATCAAACGGGAATTGGAATACCGATAGCGTGCGACATAATGCGTCACATCATTCACTGCGTGCTGTTAGGCCTAGTAGGGGAACTCTGCGCTCGCAGTCAAGCTCACAACTGGAACTTAAACATTCGCCTACAATGATTATGCATCGCAGTAGATCGAGTATACGTCCGACTGCACAACATCCCACTGATAGTCAGAGCCACGTGAGTGTAAAAACTACACCGCTCAATGTTAATATAAATGTTTTTGCCGATAAATTGAAGCTACTACGTGTTTGAGGAGACAATTTCACGTCGGTTGATGTAATTAAATGGCAAACCAAGTGTGCATAAATGTACGATGATAAATTTTTGAAACAAAATTACATCTCAACCATCTGCCAGACAGGGCTTCGAGGTCGGAAGTGAGCTGAAGATGGGAATAGATTGTTTGACTTTCGAATGTGTATCGTTTAATTTGCCTTCCTGGGGGAAGTGTAGAAAAAAAGATGCACATTTGACACGTCTATGCGTATTGTTCACACATTTTAAGCTTGACTTCACACAGACGCCATAACTGCTATCTCAGATAACACTTTTTAAGCAGTACTTCGAAAACTCATCGATCCATTCAAACAAAATTCAAATACCGTTATTAAAGAAAAATAAGTTCCTGCTGAATACAAATTTATAAAAGTTAAAAAAATTCAAAATTTAATCGAAATTCAAACTTCTTCTGTAAGCCTTTATTGTGACTACATGTCGTGAGACCAAACACTCAAAGAATAGTTGTAAAGGAATCTATGAGCATACAATATAAATAATATATGTATATTTTTATATTTATTTTACAATAATTTTTAAGTACAAATATACACAATTCAAATGTAAGGCTTTACGCTAATCATGGAGAAAATTATTAAAACTAAATTGTTTTTATAGTAAACAAATGACCCGCCTTTTTTAATACTAGGAGAAGCTACTTTGTATGCATTTAGACTGTGTACGACGAAAAGTAGAAACATTTTTTTTTAAATTGGAAACTCCACTTCTTTTGCCTTATTCGCACAGACCGACCGCTTCCTATGAAATTCTAAATTAAACCACAACATTTCGAGTGAGTTGACATTGCAAAGCACACCTTCTTTACTGGGAGTAGTAAAAATAATTTCTTTCCCACGTCGTGTGTGAGAAAAATTAAAATCTCAATACGCAAATACAAAAAAACTAATACTGCTAATTACGATAATAATCAAATTAAATCATCCACATCACACAGAACTATATAATTTGATTCGTAGTTTAATATTAGCATAAAACATATAATAATATACTTAAAATATTTTTCCACTGCTGATGGCATTAAAATATTCATTTAAATGATTTGCACTAATATAAGTATGTACAAACATACTGCATACATACATATGTATGTTTTTTAGCACCATATTATTTTTATATGTGATTAAATTTCCTCTGTTAAGTGAAATGTTAGTTTCAAAGAGAATTTGCTCTTCCTCTTTAGAAGTTTACACTTGGAATAGTTTAATCAAGACATTTCAAACAAAGTTCAAGGAGTACAAAAAAAAATTTTATAAATTCAACCTACGGAAGTACACGTGCTAAATCAACTGTTGTCATTGCTGATGACAGCAAAAGTGTTGTTATCGATAGCCGTCAAGCGGTGGTGCTTAACTTGGTTTAAGTCATATTTAGACTTTAATGTAATGCAAGTTGAAAAGAATGGTCATTGGTAAAATATTGATCAATTAATATAATTTAATTAATTAATTAAATTTAATTTAATTTTTTTAATGAAACAAATTATTAAATTCTGTGTGAGTAGTTTAAAAATATAAATAATTTTTTTTTTATAATTTCCAACAAATAAACATCGATATCATAACAAATTTGCTGCAAGCATTTAGTATTGCTTAAGAAAAAGTGTGTAAATTTTCTAATGTATTTTTGAAAAGAAAAATTAATAACTTATTCTTAACATAAAGCAAAATTTTATATAACTAATCTTACTAAATTCATTCTTTTTCAATAAATATCATTTATGTTTTTAAAATTTTTTAATTTATAACAGTTTTTCATCTTCACAATTTTAATTTCTTTAAATACACTGCAAAGCAAAACTTTTCATACACTTTGTTTATTTATTTTGTTTTTATTTCATAACGCGATTTTTAAGCATCTGTTTAAGTTTTCGCATAACATTACCGCAGTTTTTTTTGTCGTTTTTGTGGTGCATTATCAACCAGTTGCTGTTTTAAGAATGTTAACAGTGTTTTTTGTTTGTACAATAAACATGAAATTTATTTGGTTAAATATGCAAGTTAAATTTTTTATTTATTTTTTTTTAATAATTTTTTTTTTTTAATTATTTTTTACTAATATTTTAAAGCAAAAAAAATTGCATTCACAATTATTGCTTCCATAACATTTTGACTATTGCATTTTTAAAGCATTTATTTCTGTTTTATGTAAATATGTATGTACATTTGTATATGCATGCATATTTTATACCTATTATATATGAGAAATAGGTGGGTTCTAATCCGTCGGCCGAATGATGTAAATCGGTGCTACCTCGTCTATATGAATATATTTCACTTCTAGTGACTTTTCAAATATAGCTAAGTAGTATGTATGTATTTTCTCCTCCTTTTTATTGTAATTTATTTAAATTGTTTTTTTTTTTGTATTGATTTTGTTTTCCCGGAGGAAGCAATAATTTTCCATATGATTTTTCTGATATTATTGGTTGTATTGAATGTAGTTTTGCATTGCCGTTATCTGTTACTCGTTTGTTTACTTTTTTCGGTATAAGCCGTTGTTCGATTATGTGTTGATGTATCGATACTTACTCATCGTCATCGTAATTTTGATAAGTGACATAACGCACAGCTGAATGTTCGCCAGTGATCAATGACTGTTTTGATGAAATTGTTGATGATAAAAGAGATTAAAAATATATAGGAGGATTTTAGTGAGTTTACATTTGTATGTATGTATAATAAGTGACGATCATTAAATGCACGAATATTAGTAGTGTGTATATGGCGTGTGTTAACAGCATGTGTCGCGAAAGGAAAATAATAAAAGTCAAGAAAATAAGGTGAAACTATGAAAATAAGAAAAACAAAATTAAAAAATAAGAATGAAAAATTAAAACAAATTTAGAAAAACAAACTTTTCTGCTTTACAATTATATTACATTTTATTAATAGGAAAATAAGAACATTTTTTTTTTAATGTTGAAGGTTTAAAAACTTAAGGTAATTAATATCGAAAAATTTATATTCTACTAAATATGCAATATTTGCGCTAAAATACACAATTTTTCTATTTTAATAATAATATAGTACTAACTAAAAAATTACTTGATAAAAAATGAGAAATATTTTTTTTTTAAATTTAGATTCTTATATATTTATAAAATATGTTACAAAAATATAAAAATTAGAAAAGTATCAATGTACTCGTATATGAAATACTTTAAACAAAACGCTTTGTTTCAACTCAAGCATTTTGCGCTCTCTTAAGGAACGAAGACACAAGCAGCAGTAACATATGATAAAAAAAAATAAAAATAATAATAATCAAAATTAACAGAAAACCGTTTTGCAACTCAAAGACGTTCACATTCAAAAGCCTCATTCGTCATGCCCTCATGCATAATGGCTGGGCTCTTGGCCGTCGCCAAGATCAACACATCATTGCCAACATTCAATGTGCCGCCATTAGCGCACGGCGGCGCTAGTGCAGTTGCTTCAGCCGCAACTACAGCTTCAGCCTCAGCGACAGTGTCTTCATTAGTGGTGGTACCAACCTTTTTCTCCTCTTTTGTTGGTGGATTCTTAAGCAGTGTCAAGAGTGGTGCGTAAAGGAAGCATAAAATTGCAATGCCCACCAACATCCATTCGAAACCGATCGATTTGACCAGTGTACCGCTGAGAGCGGGTCCAACAGCAAACCCTACGCAGAAAGCAACATCACCCAAGGCATAAACACTGCCATAAACAGCCGAGTGACGTATATCTACGAGGAATCCCAGTTCGGGCATCATTGATGAGTCGACCATGCCGATGGCGAAACCCAAGCCAGCATTGGGTATGATGAGATGGACTATGGAGGTGGCCATGGGTATCTGTGGCAGAGTGGAAAGAAAGAAACATCAGAAATTAATTTTAAAAAAAGTCAATAATTATTTTATTTTCCTATACACTCACCATAATCAAACAACAACCGATAATAATCAAACCCAAGCAAGCGGCAAACCAACGTCCAATCTTATGACCCAACGGTCCAAAAAGATTTGTACCAACCAAATAACTTATGGAAGCCGGCAAGAAGGCAACACCTTGTTCCCAACGTGTAGCGCCCATATTATCAACCATCCAAAGTGGTAAGGACGGTTCCAACATGGCAATGCCCATATTTGCGAAGGTTATAGAGCCTGACAGTTAAAGGATAAACAAATAGCTGTAAACAAACGCTTCCGTGACACTTTTGGTTATACAAGTAACACTTACCCGCTGCGATCAATATATACGGATCACTAATCAACGCCTTCAATGATGGTGGTTCCGTTTCGGCACGTTGTATCGACGGTTGTAGCATGAAGAGTTGTAGTAAACCATCGCCCAGCGCCAATGCGGAGAGTATTAAAAATGGCGCTGATTTTCCAACGAACTCATACATAACACCACCGAAAGGCGGTCCAATGAGTACACCCAAAGCCAAGCCACCCAACGCTATACCCATCGCATTGCCGCGCTCTTTATCGTCCGTGTAACGATCGGCTAACATACCCATACCGGAGACGGAGGAGCATGAAGAACCGATGCCTTGTAGCGCACGGGCAATAAATAACACCAAGTAAGAGCGTCCGAAAGCGAAGACTAAGATTGAAGGGAGCACAAATTTTAAAGAATGTTTAACAAAGAGCTTAATAAAGATGGAAGATGCGAAAGGGTGCGTATACTCACTTATGGTCGATATAAACATAATAACGAAACCGGCAAACATCGGTATGCTGTAGCCGATTCTGTGAGTGAAGGAATACAAATAAATTAAAGCATGAGAGTTTCTGGTTCCCAGCTCTTTATCGCATCTTAGTACATACCTATGCGTCAGAGGTCCAACGATGGGATTAACTAACAGCTGTACGAAAGCTTTCGATGCAAACAGTATACCCACTTCAACTGTCTCGCCCACCAGCTCTTTGTGTCGCTCTTCCATTTCCCTATATAGCGTGAAATTTTCTGTAAAATTGAGATTTTAATAAGCGACCAGAATGAAGTTGGGAAGACCTGTTGGCCGTGTTAGTCAAAATCTTTCCTTTGGAAGTCAAACTCTCAATTTTTTTAGATTCTTTTGCACTCCCCTCTCTCAAAGCAATATTTGACGCTATTAGCCGCTGAGCTTTTTTTTCGAATTTGCATTACTTCTAGTGCTACAGTAGTCTACATAAAGGTAAAAAAAATCGATCTTGTTTACAATTTCGGACCTAATATTTGTGGAGAGACTGATGGGCAATCTAGATTTTGCTTTCCTAGACGAGTATTAGGCGTAGTTCATTTTGGTCTGAATTTGAGAACTGGGAGTATTTGATCTGGTGAGACAGTTCACAATGTCTTAAAACTTCCTTAATTTTTGATGCAACGGCGTAGTGGTTCTTAAGAGAGTGAACACTGATATCTCTCTGCGTTACATTGAATTTTAATGGAGAATACAGGAATCAAGAATGTCGGGAAACTATTGCTCTAAAAAGTGATATTTGCAGGTAGGAAAGGTTTGGATGAACTCGTTTTGGATTTTTTTTTTCAATTCAATTCATATACTTACCTTCCGGACTCAGCGTTACTACTTCCGCGATAGGCAGTGGTTCACCATCTGCACTACAGGGCGATGGTGTTGGTGGCGCTGGTGTGTGCGTGGTGAGTGGTGTACGTGGAAAACTGTCGAGCGGTGCATCGGGATGACGTATGTCGTACAGGAACTCGGGTATTATAGGAACTGCAAGAGAAAGAGTGAAATAGAAGTGAGAGAGAGAGAGTGAGTAAAAGAGAAAAATGTGTGCAAAGGTACAGCGTTGGTTGACAGGATGTTGTCAATTAAATTAATATTTTATGTCTCAGCGGTTGTTGTTGTTGTTGTTGTGTAGATATTTAGTAACAATTTGCAAACAATTAAGCGACGCAGCAAAAAGTTGTTGGCACGTTGATGGCTCTTGTAATGGGTTTGAAAGCCAGTTAATGGTCGCCTTTAATTAATTGCAGTGCAACTGAGGATCTTTTTCTATTTTATTTTATATATTTTTTTCATTACTTAAGTTGACCGAACCACCGCAAAAGAGCTCTTCACCACTTGTTGGCGGCCTTGTGTAGACGAAAGCAATTTACAAAGTGTTGAAATTGAATTATGCCGAGGACACAGTGACTAAAGTAGTAAACACACGAGCGAGAGACGGAGTGAGAGAGCAACGGTGTGAATGTGTTTGTGATTGTTGTTAATTACTTTTAGCAGTGTTGTTAGAATGTGCGTTTGGAAAGTTTAAATTTGGTTAAAAATATATTATTAGAAAATAAAATAAGTAAGGAAGGCTAAGTTCAGGTGGAACCAAACATTAAACACCAGGCTGCTTCTTTGATCTTCACTAAGTTCAGATTAAAGTCCAGTTATGTATTTGTGTTGTATGAGGAGCCATTTTAGTATTAGTACTACCAGCAAATGGGTCCCTCCGATTTATTGCAAGACACTTCGGAATGGCCGATATGTGGTTATGAAGAGCTTTATTTCCTTCCGAAGAGCGATCGCAATTAGAAAAATTCATTTTCTTTTAATTTTGGTCGGATTAGAACTCACATTGCTAACCGCTCCTCCGTCACGTTTAGTTACTGAATAATTGTGCTTCTAATACTTTTCAAATTTACCGCTAAAAGAGAGATGACGCTGAATTTCGTGCAATTCCATGCATATGCTATAGCAACCGTACATGTGACCCAAGGAATGAGTGAACCAATTTTCATTAAAATATCTCATTCCTTACTTGAGTTCTAGTGCACACGGACGGATGGAAGGATATATTTAAATCGATTTGTCTCGTTATTCCATGATGTTTGGTATATACATACATATATGTCCATATCTAACTCGATTATTTTGTGCCATTACATATAACCGTTAGTCGTTTTAAAGCCTGATTTTTGGTTCCCACATGCCTTAACATGCAGAGGCCATATACTCTTTGCTAAGATTTGGAAAGCATTACTTTCGACCTCATATCATTGGTTGTTTTCAGAGAAACTACGTCTTAAATCTACAAAACTCGTACTCGAGCAAAATTGTTTGCCTGCAAGATAGACAATCAACACATTTAGGCCTTCAGGCTCATTGTGATACCGCCGTCGGTGTGCTATTACCTTCTCAACTACACGACCCTCTTGGTCTGTCTTATAAACGCTTTGGGACAACTTGTGTCATCTGACGTTAGGGCTTGAATATAATAGAGGTAGCGCTCGATAGGGTTTTCCTGCAATTCGCTCCAAAAACTTTGGTAAAACTCATTACAATGATATACCATTCGTCCTGGCGGTTGAAAAATAAATAATTTTCAAAGCAAAAAAAAAACACCCTTTACTAAACAGTTAAACAGTTGCGTGTAGTCCATAACCCTTCCATATACTCTAAAATCTCCTACCGATATCTAGTATTTTCCCCCTCAAATTTCCTTCACAGTCGGCATAGATACTCACAGGTACATAAAGGAATAACTCATAGGCTCAGTTTGAAAACCGAAAGCTCAGGCGTCAATTACAAGACGAGTCAGTAAATAAACAAGCAGAAACCACATTTCGACAATTTGGTCGTTTAGTCGACGGCCAGACAATTATTTACACACGCTTTGTGAGCAGCTGTCGACAGCTTTGGCTTTCAGCGGAAGCAGAAGCGGTGGTTATCGTACCACGTATCATGCACAAGTACTTTGTTGCTTTGGCACCGGAAGTGGGTCGTTATAAACTTTTATAAAATTCAATTTGTTACTTAATAGCGATACACGGCAAGTGCATGCCTGCTTCAAAGTGTAGGAAGGCCTTGTGATGGACTTGCTGCATGCGAGGAACAGTGTACACAGTACATAAGTTCTCGGAAAAATATTGAAGGGATGGTGGCGGTGATGGTGACGAAGTGCGTAGACGTACGATGGGTTGCTCCAGTGACGTACCGTTGTTAGGTCATGACGTCTGTGTAAGCAAACATTCGCCAGCTTTTCAAGCTCTCGATCCAATAGCTTCTATTAAAAGGATCAGGTGGTGTGTGCAATAGGCGTCGAAACAGAGCGACCGATAGATAGAAAGTTGATAAAATTTTGTATTTACCTGAGAATACCTCTATGTTTATACACACTACGGACAGTTTGAACCCTTCGATAAAAAGATCTGCTGCTCTCACTTTTAACTAAATAGAAATAAATACTTGATAATCTAAACAGGTTTAAGTCGCCAAAAGGGTGACAGCCCTTGACTAGTCAGCTCTGATGCGTAGAAACGGCTGTGGGGAGCACTACTGGAAAGAAGCGTTGCTCAGGACTGCATATTGAAAGGCTTTAAACGCCATTTACCAAGAGTACGTAAATACTGTCATGAATTCTCTTCAAGTGAATGGCCTTCTCGGAATACAAGCTCCATATACTGCAGACGACGACAGAAACAAGTAATACTGTCATAATTAAGATCTTTGCATGCACCGTCAAAACAGCTCGCTTCCTGGATCTCTCATTAGATAACTTAGATGACTTAGACTAGTCTCGTCGCGCGCTTGGAGAATCAATGCAATAGCAAAACCAATGTCAGACATTTAAATAACACAAAGAATCAAGAGGCACCCATTATGTTGGCTAGCTCATGTTCTATACAGGGACCAAAACATTCCAAATATGAAAGTATGCGATGCAGTTACCATTGGAGGAAGCAGAGAAGAAGGCAGACCTCCACTTCGTTGGAAAGATCAGGCGGAGATGCACCTGGAAGTATTGGTGTCCACAATTGACGCCGATTTGCGAAGAAAATAAACTGGCTGACTGTTGCTGATTGTGCCTAGACCAAAGAAACTAATTTCTTTTTTTCAAAAGAAGTTTAGTAAACTGGAAATTATCCTCTCGCACACCACTGTGCGCCGCCGTATGCTCGCTCGAGGTGCATAGACAATTTGCAACAAAAATTGTAAAATAAATTCCACTTAATGTTGCAATGTGTTTGCCGGTACGGCTCACGTTCTGTTATGTAATGTGGGCAATTAGTGTTCGTGTTGCTGATGTCTTTATGTGTTATGTGTAGCTGAAACTCAAACTTAGACTTCCATGGTCGTTCAACCCCCTGAGAAAACCGCTAATCTTTCACATATAATATGATGGCTCCAGCTAAATTCGCTTGAGGGTTGTAAATCCTAGCGTTTTGCGTTAAGTTTTACACATCGAGTTTCAAATTAATGATTTTAGGTATTTAAAATTAATGTGAGGAGGACTTTGAAGCTAGTAGGGCTTAGTATATATATAATTGGAGCTTTGTAACCGAAACGATGAAATGACTTTTCGGCCGAGCTTCTCCTCCAATTTGTGGTTTTGCGTCTTGATATTTTTTGCAACACATGGAGAGACCTACAGTTTAACTAAGCCAACTCCGAACGGCTGAAGGGGTGGACATTTCCTGCCAAGGGGCGACTGCAATTAGAAAATTTAACCTAATTTTTTATTTAAATTGATTTTCTATAACTTTCATATGTTGCTGGCACCGGAATATGAAAAAGAGCCGTTCGAATGTCAGTCAACAATGCTAACAACTCGGCTACCGCGGCCGCAGTTTCATTGCCTACAATTAGGTAATATTTCAGATTATAGCGAGGACACACACCCATGGTAATGTTTAGCTTTTTTTCAAGGCTTTTAGTTATATCTATCCTTAAAAACCATTTACTATGAATATTCCGAGAAAATTTATAACTTCGGGATTGTTATTTTACTGCGAAATGCTCAGCTTCACAAATTCAAATGTATATAATAATATTCGTACGAGTTTTCATAGTCATTGAGCCAATAGATTGAAAAGCTTACATGCTCCCAACTCAATCCTTTGATTTGTTTGTACATATGTTAGGTTGCTAAGTGAGCACTTAAGTATCTACTTATGATAGCTGTAATTAAATTCAAAGCCAATATATGTGTATTTATTACATGCAATCAAATCTACTAGGCAATAAATTCACTCTACTCAGTGCGCACTCCTCAAAAGTGAGTGTTGCAGTTGTTGTAGCGGTTCACCAACCTCACTAAAGAGAAGACGAGAGATCATCTAAAGGGAGGTCAAAAACACGAGCTGTTTCGATAGGTTTGGACCTATAGCCCGGTCATCTAACCTCCTCTGATGACCGGCCTATAGGGCGCATGCAAAGAGGTGGTTAGTGCATGCAGGCCACACGTTGAATATTTTGGGGTTAAGTTTTAATAGATGAGAATTAAATCGAATGCGATAACCAGATCTTAATTGTGCAAGTATTACTCGGTTCCCTGAGGCAGCTCGAACTCTTCTGCTGCAATAGATGATGCTTGCATTCCGACAGCGCTATTCACTGGAAGAGAATTCATATAGGTGCTAATGCCATTCAAAACCGTTCGATGCTGTTCCGTTCTGTCGATTGGTTCTTGTTTATGGCGCTCACGACAGTTAGTTTTACGCATCGGAGTTGACCGAAGCTTCTTCTTGTTAGGCGTGATTTAAGACATCACAGGGTATGTGATGTGGCTTCAAATTCATCGATTGAGGTTCATGTTTTTGATGCGAAGGGTTTGACTATCTGAACAAGAGAAAAATAAAAAAAATCTGGGACACTTTTTGGGTGAAATAAAATCCGGGTTAACTCACCGGATACTCTATAAAGTCTCTAGCCTTTTCGTGAATCTCTAACACGGTCCAACCTGGACTTCAGAATACCTCTCGCAAAGCCCTCTCTAATTTAGCGCT